AGGAAGTAAATAAAAATTGTTTGTTAACAAAGAACCAATGAAAAAGTATTTGTTCAGATCCTGAAGTTAAACACTTCTTAGAACAGTCTGACCCCCTTTTCAAAAAACTAGAAAGTTGCTAACAACAGATTAGGGTTCACAAGGAAGTAAATAAAAATTGTTTGTTAACAAAGAACCAATGAAAAAGTATTTGTTCAGATCCTGAAGTTAAACACTTCTTAGAACAGTCTGACCCCCTTTTCAAAGAACTAGAAAGTCATTTTTGAGATCAATAAACTCAACACAAATATCTATCACATCCGGCTACTGCTTGAGAATACCTTTCACCCCGTTGAAGTTTACATGTATCGCTCTAACAGCGCTGGCTACTGATATACTTCATCACAAGTCTCACTCCTCCCAGCTTTCGGGGATTAAATTGAAGCAGATATAACGCGGGATTACCCCAAGCAGAGTTGATCAGGCTTGTAATGATATGTATCAATTGGTTGTACCAAGTATTGTGTTATGAATTGTGTTACCCATAATGCATTATTTTATAATAAAACTGGAAGTTGCATAAGACACAAAATGGCTGTTTAGTTCAGTACATGGTACTGCGGGTAAAATCCTTAAATATCACAGTAATCCTCATCATGGACATTAAATCTATTATGCCCCCTCCAAGAATGGAGTTTGCCGGGGATGTGGAAAAAAGCTGGAGGATATTTATACGCATCTTTGACTGGTATTTAGCCGCCATTGGTGATATCAGGGATAGCCAGAAAATTGGACTTTTGATAAATGCAGCTGGACCAAAAGCCGCTCAAATCTATGAAACTTTCAAGTTTGTTGAAGGTGAGGATAAGAATAAATATCAATGCATTCGTGATAAATTTGAGAAATATTGCATTCTGATTAACGAAACATACAAACATTTAGTGTTCAGGTCAAGATGCAAGTCTGATAGCGAATCTTTTGATGATTTCCTGGTTGACTTAAAATCCAAAATCCTTACATGTAATTACAAGGACCAAGAATTGTCTAATCTTAGAGATCAGATTGTCATTGGAATAAATAATCAGAGACTTCAGGAAAGGCTACTTCGAGAAACAGAATTAATCGAGCTGAAAGCCATAGATACATGGATACTGGAGCCAAGGCCAACCTACTATCTGTAAAGATTACAATAGTTTGAAGTACAAACCCAAGATACATAAGAAATGTGTAAAACTTGTTGATTATAATGGGTGTAAAATCTCTAATACTGGTGTATGTATTGCACAGGTTGTTCTCAAGGGAAAGAGTCACAATGTAATGTTTGTTGTTGTTGACAAAGGGGACTCATTATTAGGTCAAGTATCCCTTGAAAAGTTGAACTTGGTTCAAAGAATTCATGTTGTATCTCAGACTGATGAATCACGCAATGTTGAGAATAAATCTTGTAATGTAGGTGATTCTAAGTTGTGTAATGTAGAGAGTATTGGAAAGTTGTTTCCAAAGATCTTTGAGAATATCGGTGCCACTCAAGCCATGCCTTTCACTTACAAGGTAACACTAAAGGATGGTTCTAAGCCTGTTATTCATGCTCCTAGAAAGGTATCACAGCCAAATAAAGATAAAATAAAGTCTAATCTTGAAAAGCTTTAAAGCAATGGTATCATAAGAAAGGTCAATGAACCAACTGAGTGGGTGAACAGCATGGTGAGTGTAATGAATAGTAAAGGTGAAATTCGTACAACCCTTGACTCATCACATTTAAATGAATACATCATGAGACAAGCCTACCCCCTCCCTAGAAAGGATGATATCCTCAGTGAAATGTCAGGTGTAAAAATAATCTCCAAGTTAGATGCGTCATCATCTTTTTTCCAAATCAACTTCATCCTGAATCTCAATTACTCACTACTTTTAATACCCCATGGGGCCGTTATTGCTACACTAGACTGCCACAAGGACTCGTTAGTATAGCCAAAAAGAACTTGAACCAAATGACCCCAAGACTTCAGAGATTATTCATGAAATTACAGAGATATGACTATGAGATTATATATACCTCTGGGAAAGAAATGTACTTAGCTGATACTCTAAGTCGAGCTTGTTTTGATGACAATAGTGAAAAAGACCTGATAGATCAAGTAGTTGAATCCCAAATTAACATGGTATATGACAATCTACCAGCTTCTTATGTTGCCCTTCGTGAAATAGCTCAAGAAACAGCAAATGATCCAATATTGTCTAAGATTGTCAACTATTGTAAACATGGATGGCCAAAAGGGAGAAATAAGGAACTAGTGTACTTTCAAATGAGGGGAGATTTGACAGTGATCAACAATATTCTCATGAAAGGACCTTGTATGATAATTCCACACTCTCTCAGACCTAAAATGTTAAAGAAGCTTCATGAAGGTCACTTAGGGATAGAAAAAACTAAACGTTATGCTAGAACATCACTATTCTGGCCTGGATCTCAAAGGATATAACTAGACTTGTGCATAGTTGTGAAGTATGCGAAAAACATAGATTTAGCCAAACCAAGTTACCCATGAAAGATGGTGACAATACCAAGGCTCCTTGGGAGAAGATAGGCGCTGATGTATTTCACTTAGATGGCAGAAACTATCTAATCATAGTGGATTATTTCTCTACTTTTCCAGAAGTTTGTCCACTTAATTCTACCTCTACTTCCTGTATTATTCATCGAATGAAGTCAGTATTTTCTCGTAATGGTATTCGAAAGGTAACTAGAGCGGATTCTGGAAGCCAATTTGACAGTAAAGAATTTCACACATTTGCTGTGTCTAATGGGTTTGATATAAGTCTCTCCTCGCCACATCACCATAAAGGGAATGGTAAGGCAGAAAATTGTGTAAGAACAGTGAAAATTCCGCAGAAAGTCACGAAAGTCAGAAAGTTCCTTTAGCACCACTGTGTCCATATATACACCTCTACTATCACTTTAATTTATAGTTATATATGAGATTAAGTTATTTTCATTTTACAATGAATGATTCACAGACTTCACATAAATATTCAGCACATTTGATACATCTGGCTACTGCACATGAATACTGCTTATCCAGTTTACACATGTCACAGTTTATGTCTTCTTATGATTTTCCCATTTGCTTTTCATTTCTCTCCACTGCTTCATCCATTGACTTCAAAATGAAGTTGGTCTTACATGAACTAGCACCAAGTTTAGGAATACCAATGTGACATCTGCACATAGGACATCTGCCCTGTCAACCCTCATGCATTAGGCTTGATTGTCACGCATTTGCTGGAAAAATTGAAACCACGCATCAATTTTGCCTGTATGATAACATGTCATGCAAATCACACATTATGTTGATATTTTACTGTTTAAAAATCTGCTTTTTATAAAACGCCGAAACAGTAAAAAAACGAATGCTGAAAAAAGGTGAAAGCATTCCGTTCGACTTTTCTTGCAAATGCCATATATGTCACGCATTTGGTTTGAAAATTATGTATTTGTCACACATTTGAATCAAAATTTTCATAAGATTGATATCACCGACAAAAAGACTAAAGTTGAATCTTATTTTTTACATTGTTAATGTGTGCATGTAATAGGGGAAGGGTTACTGTCTTATCTGACATATTAAAATATAAGTTAGTAACTTTAGGGTCATTCTTCCTATTGTTGGTTTACTCTTGAAAATAATTCATTTTGGTAAATTATATTTCAGTTGTCATCTGAACCTTTTCAAGACATGGAATTGCATGAGACTAAAATCAGAGACCTGTTAGGCAATGGCCACCATTTTTACTATAACTTGAAAAGTAGTGGAGCGATTTTGTTCATACAGATGTATTTGATATGTGAATACTCATTAGCCTTGCACACTGTCTCATGACACTTCGCGTAGTAGGCAGCCATTTTAAAAAATGGCTGTCATTTTTACATTTTTTTTACTATACTCGAAAAGTATTGGAGCGATCTTGTTCATATTTGATATGTGAATACTTTAAGCATGGCACATTGTCTAATAAAACTTTGTGGATTAGTCGGCCATTTTGAAAAATGGCGACCATTTTTATGTGTGTTATTTTACATTTATAACTCAAAAAGTAATAGAGCTATTTTGTTCATATTTGATATGTGAATACTCTTAAGGATTGCAAACTATCTTATGACATTTTGGGTAGTAGGTGGCCCTTTTAAAAATATAGTGATATATTAGACCAAGGGCCAAAGGCCCAAGGTCCAATATTTCACTATTTTGCCTGCAGATATGATGTTATTAATATTATTACCACCGTTTATTACCAGGGCTGAAATAGTAAAAATTGACTGGCCACAAATCAAAATTATACACACTGAACGATATCTCATTTCCCGGGAAACATTGCTGGACTGAAATATCATTATTGGCCCACCACTATGACATCACATATTGCTCAGGTCAATATAGTAAAATTAAAACCTTCAATTCTAGTACTAATACTCTAAGAACAGGCCCGGCAAGGTGGTTTTTAAAAGTACATCATATATCAAAAAAATCAACATTTTGAATACTATTTGAGGTAAAGATTATAAGTGCACATACATTTATTTCAGAACTACATCAATGTCATTAATGGCATCTTTTGTACATTATTGTACATGGATTTTTAAAGTACATCAATAAAAGTGTCATTTAATGTCTTCAATATCAATTTACCTCAGGGTAAAGTTTATAGTACATGTATTTCTAAAGTAAAAAAATGTCATCAATGCCATGCCATTTTTGTGCTCCTTCGAGATAAAAATGTAGTCGTAATTGTATATTTTTAAAGTACATCATTTGTTTAGATTTTTTCTGGATATGTACAGTTTTCATCTATGTAGGACCTGTACAGGATTGTCACTTTTTATACTTTCTTAAGTTTAGGGTGGAGTTTACATTTTGTCAAAGAGCATTTTAGAATTTCCAAGAAAATATGTTTTTTGCTTTTGTTTGTTCATTTGTTGAAGAATAGATGAGTTAACCACATATTATATTATTTTTCTACAGGAAGTGGAGCTTTTACTACAACAATTCTATGTGAGGCTGACAGGAGAGAATGGGACAGCTAGGGGTATAATACACTTGGTCAACTCACTGGAGACATGGGACAACAAACTCAATGCTGTCATGCACGGGTCCAACCCTCTTCCTGATGCTGAATGGCTCAGGTATATGCAAAATCACATTTATTATTAATTGTTAATCTCATGATAGCTTTATGTACCTGGTGGAAAACCTCCATGAATGGAACACTTTTTAAAGTACTGCTGTCTAATTGATTAATAGAACTTAAGCCTCTGTAAGTGGAACACCTCCAAAGTGCAACATGTTTTTGATGTACCAAAGGTTTTCCACTTACACAGTCCATCCCAATAGGCAGTAGAACTTAAAACCCAGAGGCCTTCAGTGCAATAACTTCAGAATCCCAATATAGAATTAAATATGGCTTCGTTTTGCCTATTGATTTTCTTGTAATTTCAAACTTGGTTGTTTTGAACCTTTGTGAAATATGTGTTGAAGGTTTGAGATATTCTAAGAGAGCAAAACTTTGTTTATATCTTGATCTTTAATTGTTTACTCAAATTATAAGTAAATAACACTGTTTTCCTTTTCCAGATTCTATCAGTTGTTAGATGACTGGGTACTAAGTATCAATGATACCCTTCAGTATATAGGAGGCACACAGAAGGAAGATGATCGTGAGCAGGGAGGCATGCATAGGAAGTAAGATTTATGTTATTTACATTGTTAAAACAGTATATATATGGTAACCCATTTGTTATATCTGTGTGCAGTAATAGAAATGGAGAGTTTTTGACAGAGAAGTGTACATTGTACTTAGGTACACTCATTTTTGAAATTTATGTGTGTGAAGGACTATCCATTTTCTCAATCAATCAAACATTCATTCATTCGATTTATTCATTTACATGCTGTATCATTTCAGTGTGATGGTGAAGTACAATCAAAATTGAAAATTTGTTTGAAGAGTGTGACGAACCTTTCATTTTTTGTTTTTTCAATCACTAAACTAAAACTAACATCCATTCATCTTATTTATTGATTCATATATTTCAGTGTGCTTGTGAGTGATGTATTCAGGTGGAGTCAAAAGTGGTTGTCATCTGCCACAAATGGAATTGACAGTGAAGATGCTAAACTTGTTGAACAAGTAAGTTATACAATCAGATCAACCCAGGCCCGTAGCCAGGATTTGCCAAGGGGGGTTCACTTTTCGAAAAATTCCAGGGGGGTTCACTTTTGACAATTTTGGTCCAAAAATGCCCCAAATCACTTTAAAGGCTCAGAATGATGAAAAACTGTATGATTTTGAAAGAATTTTTGGCCAGGGGGGGTTCGCTCGAACCCCTCAAACCCCCCTGGCTATGGGCCTGCAAGCCATAGTTCCTCAATAATTCTTCTCTCACACATATATGAGAAATATGTGAGACGCCATTTTTTGTTTGTTTGTACTCTTTTTTTACTTTATTTAGCCTTGAAAGTAGTGGTCCCTCTAAGGGTCGGAATACATGAACTAGGAAAAAGAAAAAATTATCTGCATTCCTGCAAGACACATGTATATTGATACGACATGTGTTTTTCACATGTGATGCACTGTTTGCATTAGTGGTTTTAAGACTTATTCAATTTCAGTATCATTGTTTGAATACTTCCTATCTTGCAAACTGTAAAAGTAGAACTGATTATTTATCTCCATTTTAATAAATACCAATATTCATTCATAATACATCAACCAGTTCTAACTGAAACTTTGTATGTTCACCAGGTGACGACCCTACATACAGAGATGGTGAAATGGATGGTGCAGATGCTCCTCCGATTGGCTCCAGACAGACCGGACAGTTCCAAGGAAGCTAAGGATGCCGTGTTGCTTGGTAGCGCCCCATTGACAAAATTACAACAAAATGCGACGTCATTATTTGAACGACTTGATCATTTTACGATTTATGTCTCGGAGTGTTGCAATGGGATTGTGATGACTGCCATGCAGATGAAGATTGATGCACATGAGGATGGTGCTGACCATGAGTTCAGGGACCTTAAAAGAATGCAGGTATTTACCCAGAATTCATTGTAATTGATTTTAATGAATGTATGTGCATTAGGTTTCTCAGAGTTTGTTCATAGAAAATGGGTAAAAAAATTTCGTGGTAAAATTGTTATTTATGTACCTGAACAGTAAATATTACTTAGTGTTGATACGGGGTTGAGAATCTCAAAAGATGTTTACTGCCTCAAGAAATATTTGTCTTTGTGTATTTTGAACTAAGGGGAAGAATCCTTTACTAAATATTTATTCAAAAATGTAAGGAATGATGATACAATGAAAGATTTTATTCTTGGCAGTGAGATACCTTGTACTTGTTTTTCACTCGTACTTCATGACTATAGCAATGTCTCTTAGCAAACTGTACTGAAAGTTTTGTCTTCCACTTCAGACCGAATGTGATGAGTGGGTCCATACAGCTAAGATGCTACTAGCTGAACTACTTGGCCAACCCGTCCCACTGCCTGAGCATATTAAGAAGAAGGTAGTGGAAGAGGTGAAGAAACCACAGCCTGAAATCACATTTGTTGATAAAGAGAAACTTATCACTCCAGGAGATGAGCAAGAAAATGTGCCAAAGGTATGTGCATGTACATAAAATCATTAATTAAAGGCATGGGCGGTCCTGTAGCTGGAGGTTATACTGCAATGTCAAACATTACGGAATATTTCTAGACATTTCTTCAACTTAAACTTAATATAATTAAATGGCCAGTGGAAGAATAATATCCTCTTAAGCTTTCTAAAGTGCATTTGCCTTGCCTATTTTTAGATCCTGGCTACACTTCTTGAGTCAAACGTCTATTCTTGAAATGAATATAAGAACTTGCATTAATGGGACATACGAGTAAATCCGAACACCTCCCAATCTGAACACTTTTTTTCGGTCCCATTTTTTCCTCCCATTGACTCCCATGTTAAAAAAAACTTGAAATGTGAACACCTCCCAATATGAACAGTCATATTTGAAAAATTCACCTGTCTAATCTGAACACTTTCCATAAAATTTCTGATGTTTTATATAAAATTGCTCAAATTATTTTGTCATGATATCAAAACTTTGGGAAATAATCTTGAATGGTCTCATTCATAATGGGGCTTTCCACTATAGCTTAGCACTATATTACCTACCATAATAGATAGTGACCAAACAGGATACATTAAAAATAGATTTATTGGGAATAATATTAGACTTCTCAAAGACATAATGAAATATACAGATGACAATCAAATTGAAGGATTACTTTTGTTTTTGGATTTTGAAAAAGCGTATGATACTGTTGAATGGGACTTTGTTGAAAGAACTTTAAAAGCATTTGGATTCGGAGAACATTTTATTAATATTTTTAACACCATACACAATAATAGTGAAAGTTGTATCATTAATAATGGTGAAACCTCACAATATTTTAAATTACAAAGAGGTATGAGACAGGGTAGCCCTTTATCTGGATATCTATTTATAATGGTTATGGAAATTTTAAGTATATTGATACGCACTAACAAGCAAATAGAAGGTATCAAAGTTAATGATCAACAAATAAAATTATCACTATATGCAGATGACATCACATGCATCATAAAAAATGAAGAATCTGCACAAAATATCTTGAAAATAATGGACGATTGTAAAGTTTGTTCAGGCTTAAAAATAAATATAGCAAAATCAGAAATAATGTGGATTGGATTGAGCAAAGATAAAACTGAGGATATAAATGGAATAAAATGTTCTAAGCATGTGACAGCTTTAGGATATTGCTTTACTTATTCTAAAGAGGTTGATGAAGACAAAAATATTAAACAGAAAATTGAAAAAATGAAAAATAAATTAAATTTATGGACAAGTAGAAAATTTAAGATTCTTCATAACATTTTAATTTGTCAGGAAAAGCTACAAGCTATGGGTGTAGAACAAACAGCAAATTGTCAACATTGTCAAATGAGACACTCAATCAAACATATGCTAATAGAATGTGAAACATCAGAAAAATTATGGAAAAAGTTCAAAGAGGATATGAAATACTTGTTCAATACAATTCAACTCTCAGATAAAGATATTTTATATGGCCACAAACCCAAAGAAGATGACTATAAGGAATACAATTTAACAATATTAATAATGAAATTTTATTTATACACCAGCTTTCTCAACAAAACAAAACCAACATATTTTGATTTTAAATTACTTTTTCAACATCATGTAGAAATAGCAACATACTCTGTAAGTCATGACAAGTTGAGAAATATACAACAAAGGCTTTTATAATACACACTTCTTTCTTTTTTGGTATGAATGTTCTAAATAAACAATAATATATGCTTAAAATAATGAAAAGTAGTATGAATGAGTGAATGGAGGAAAAAATGGCGGTGGTGTGAAAGACACATTGTTTCTAAGAATAGATAAGTAACTTTTTCTTTTTTTCTATTTTAATTATATCACATCAATTTTAAAAATAGCGCTGACAATCTTAAATTTTGGGCTCTAAAATCTGTTTAAGCTCAATACTTACTCAATTGAATCAAGAAAATGATCATATGATCTAATTTGATGTAATAAAAACAATGTATTGTAAATATGTACTGTCTATTATGTGAAATCAATGAAGTGAAATAAATAAAGTAGAAAAAAAAAAAAAAATAAAATAATGGGGCTTTCCAGCATGATTAGATTCATTTGAATCAAATTTTCAAATTTCTGGAATGCCATAAAGCTATGTGGCCAAAAGAACTATAAATATTTACCGAGAATGTGTTCACGCTTCTTCAGAATCTTGATTATTGCGAATGCAAAAACCTCGAAATGTGAACACCTCCTAATCTGAACACTTTTATCCGGTCCGGTCCCAATAGACAGGTTTTACTGTACATGTATATGTAAACTGTTACTCATTGTTGATATGAATGAGATAAAATCTTCATTCCACAACCTGCTTTTCCTTTTTACCTTTCAACCTTTGATTGTGAGTGATATTTGTGTTCCAGACCGATGGAGCTACAGAGGGTGGCAAAGATGTGGATAAAGATCCTGCAGCACCTCCTACATCCACTGATGAACCTGCTGAGCCAGCCAAGGAACCAGAGCAACCAACAGCTTCTAATGACTCGCCTGAACAGGTAAAGAAACCTTTATTCTAAGCAACTGATTCCATAGCTCAAATTTTAAAAATTGTGTATGTTTTTAGTGTGTGCCAAATTGCTTTCTAAGTGGCTTAGTTAGGCTGAACCTATGTTGTGGTAGCTTACTATGAATTGACCCATAGTCATTTTAGATTGCTCTATTATCTATTCATTTTTACTTGTCTGCAGTCAAAATAGTGACACGAAAGGGCTAAACGGCTTGCACCAAGGTGCGACCGTCAAAAAGATGAGTTTGAAAAATATACATTATTTTAAATAATACTTGTAAGTATACAAAATAAGATGCAAATTTGATATTGATGTGTAATGATAGTCCGTTCGGGTGTGGTAATTTTATGAAAAACAATTATGGTAAAAAATTGGATATTTATGACCTTAAAATGCGATTTCTATTAAAAAGTTACTGTTGTCAAGGATATTATTCCTATTTTATATAGTCAGTGTTTTTTAAATATACCAATAACCATTTCCTTAGTTTTTGACAAAGTAAATAATTATAGGGCTCACACAAGGATCAACTTTGTTCATAGCATTTTCATATAAGTGATGTTTTGAAAAAATACGAAGGTAAACTCAATTTTATTTTTTATTTGTTGAAGAAAAAACAATTATATGTTTGTTTTCTTGTTTCGACTGAAAAATCTCAATTCATCACCCTTGCTTCGCAAGCAGGAGAGTCTACACCAGTACGAAAAAGTCTTCAAAAAGTTGATCCTTGTGTGAGCCCTACAATTATTTACTTTGTCAAAAACATATATAATGGTTATTCGGATATATAAAAAATAGGAATAGTATCATTGACTTTTGATTTTGAATAAAAAAGTATTACGAGCATATAGTGCATCACTTAGTTTATAGCTTGCAGACAGTGATCTAAGAGGCATCATCTTGTAGTAATGGGTGTGACAGTGATGAGACGGGAACTGATTTTATTAATGCAAGTTTTGACAATCCTAGTATGGTTTATCTTACGGACGTCATATTAAAAGATACCAATTTGCATTACATCAACATCAAAGAAGTTTGATTTGTTCACAGATACGTGTCAGAGTGATACCTGTAGCAGTTGCACTAGATTGATATACAACAAGATATGTGTGAGCATATATTGCAACATTTACTTAAGAGTTATAATTTTACTAAATCTGATGGAACATTAGATAATTTAAGTCTATCTCTTTTGGTTTATTCAATTTGAATAGTACTTTTGCAATAAAGATACCTTAGTTTTGAAACATTAGCAGCAATTTCATTTCAAAAAGATCAGTTTTCAACTTCGTACTATGTTTTGTTCATAAAATGTGTATTCAACACAGGTCAAAAGTCAGGGTAATTTCAAGTTTAAAATATCAATATCTTGGATAGTTGGCATTTTAAGACATTTTGCCGATGGTGTGACCCTTCACAACCGATGATTATGTGACCTGAGGTAAAGATCAACTGAATGGGTGTAGGTAATTTCAAGGTCAATATCTAGCAATTTGGTGTTTTAAGGCAATTGAGAACAATTCTGACCCTTGACAACCGATTATTAGGTGACCTGCTGTCAGGGTCAAGGTCTATAGGTCAAGATCATTTCGAGGTCATCAATATCTAAATATTTGGCGTTTTGTGAATCATGAATGTGTGACCTGAGGTCAAGGTTATTTCAAGGTCAAATATCAGTATCTAAGTATTTGGTGTATTAAGGCCCTGGTATCTGCTGTGGCCCCTAGCGACTCATGATAGGGTGACTTCCAAGGTCAATATCTAGCAATTTGGAGTTTAAAGGCAATTGAGAACAATTGTGACTTTTGGAGACCAATGATTAGGTGACCTGGTTTCAAGGTCATTTCAAGGTCAATATCTAAGTTGTTGGCAAATGTGGGGCTACAGTCCTATTTAATGACCAATGATAAAATGACCAGAGATCTATAAGTCAATGTTTATGGATCAAGATCATTTCAAGGTCATAGCTCAATATTTAATTAGTATTTGGCGTTTTGGGGCTGAACATGTTTTTGTGAAAACAATATGATTTTTCTTATGTAAAGTCCCTGTGATAAAAATGATATCATCCAACTTCTTCACTTGAAAAGAAAAAAACATCATGAATCCCCCTCAACCTTTATTTTTCAACTTATTTTTTATGATTTCATTCTGGTTTGATTACTTGACAACTTAATGATACACTACATGATTTTACTACTATATGTACGGGTATAAGCATCAAATGTGGTGCCACCTGTTATTAATAACATTCGTAATAATGCTTGAATGTATCAAAAAATTGAAATTGAAAATATAAATATTTGAAAATATATCTGAAATATTATTGATAAGATCCCCACCTTGTCACTTTTTGAAAAATATTAGGCTTATTTTCTAAAGTATTTTTTCTTAATTCGAATATATCAAAAGTTCTTCTACGCTAATGAATTAACAAATTCTGAAAAGGGGATGGGTATTGAAATGCGATAAAGTTAAAAACCATAAGTTCCATGTTATTTTCCATTGGAAAAACTCAAACTTTCCATTGTTTTCAACATAATTGTGGTCATTGAAAATTAATATCTCCAAAACTAGACTTTCATTACAATTCTACTAATGAAAAAGTTTTAGATCACTTGTTGAATAATATTTTCATGCAATTCAAATAAAAAAGAAGAACCTCTGTTGAGTAAATAATTTCAAAAAATGTTGAGAAGGGTTCCCCATTCATAGTTTTTTAGACTGTTTGAATGATATTTTTATAATCATTGAGAATTGAATTTTCTTGAAAGATAACATATTGTGTTTTTGAGAAATGTCATATTTATATTGAGAAAGTAGTCATGGTAAAATATATGACGATCAGATATCACTTGCCATACTATACCTGGTCCTTTGCCAATTTGAAGTGAATTGTAAAATCATATCGGAAGAGAGGACATCCAAATATGAGGTCATTAGTTTAATGACTGCAATCAGTAATCAACAGCCACGAGAGTTACTTTCTCTAGTAATTCTGAATTGGATCAGTATTGTATTGTATTGTATTGTATTGTATTGTATTGTATTGTATAATATGACCATTTAATTCACACTAGTGTCTTCATATGCCTGGACTAAAAAATCCCGAATCTGTTTGGGTGAAATAACCAAATGTGACCAATAATATGAGTATATTTGAGTATTGTCTCTTCACTTTCCAGTCAAAAATGTAAGATTTAAAAATATTTTTACAAATAATTGCAGTAAAACATGCAAAATATAATGCACATTGGTTATTGAAATGTAAAGATAGTCCATGAGGGTATGGTTATATTATCAAAAACAATTATGGTAAAAATTGGGTATTTCTAACCATATAATGCTTTTTATTCCAAGTTCAAAGACATTCTTCCTATTTTACCTCTGAAATGATTTTCATACCACCGAATAACCATTATATCAGTTTCTGGCAAAGTAAATAAGTGTAGGGCTTACACAAGGATCAACGTTTTTTAAGACTGTTTATGTACTTGTATATCCCCTGCCGTTCTAAGAGGAAGAGCAATGAATTGCGATTTTCAGTCAAAACAATGAAATAAACACAATCTGTTTATTTTGTTAAACATTTAACAAATAAAATTGTGTTTAACCTTATATTTTTTCAAAACATCACTAAATATGAAAATATTGCAAATAAAGTTGATCCTTGTGTGAGCCCTATATTTATTTACTTTGCCAAAAATGAATATAATGGTAATCAAAATATTTTGAAAACATTGAATAGGTGAAATAGGAATATTATCATTAACAACCATGACTTTTGAATAAATATGGTATTTTCAGGTCAGAAATATATAATTCTTCACAATTATTGTTTTTTATAAAAATGGCCACACGCAAATGGACTATCATACTTATCAATATCAAATTTGCCTCCTTTATTGTATACCCATTGCTATTATTTGAAAAAATTTTTTTTTATCAAACTCATCTTTTTGATGGTTGCACCTTGGTGCAAGCCGTTTAGCCCTTTCGTGTCACCTTTTTGAGTGCAGACAAGTAAAAATGAATAGTTGATGGACCAATCTATAATGATAATGGGTCACTTCATAGTAAGCTACCACAACATAGGTTTTTGTGATTTTCTGGGGTTTTGGCACACACTATTTCTTATCTTTCTATGTGTTGATGTATTAAATGTCTATGTTGCGGGAAAAGCATGACAACAGATGTTCCTTCGTGTTCATATGTTAACATTTTTATGTTGCAGGTTAACACACAGCCACAGGAAGATACAAAGCTGCAGGTTATAGGGCAGGATGATAACACACACTTTAAAAAATTAGAAGAACCCACCGCCAACCAGCCCCCAAGTCAAAACATACCCCAATCTAGTAACATCGGAGAGAGACTACCAGACACTAATAAAGCCTATGAAGCCCTTGCGGCTGTGGACAATTTACAAGATCAACTCCTAGCAACGGAAGAACGTGCCCAATTAGCAGAGGATAAATCTCTAAGATCTGAAAAGGAATTAAAAGATGCTCTTGAGCAAGTTCGTGCTTTACAACGTCGATTAGAAAAATATGAAACTGTTGAGGATGAAACAGAGGAAAAAACAGAAGATCCGAAAACTGAGACTGCAAAACAAGCAACAGCTTCACCAAGAGCTACTTCTAAGTCGCCCACTCCCGCTGATAGGTTAACGAAAACGAAATCGGGAACAAAAAAGAAGAAAAAATAAATAACTGTGACGTAACATTCCATCCATGTTTTTTGATATATACCAATCATCTGTAATATGTTGAATTGATATTTTTATGCAATTCTTATTGATATGTTTAATATACATTTGATAGAATAAATGTCCTAAATGTATTTTAGATTAAAGTCAATCTCATATACATATATTTAAATATGTTGAATAGTATTCAAAAATTCTTTATGAATGGGCATTGAGTCAAAAATTACTAAATTTCAAAAATTTTCTCATCTAAAAATTATTTGACAATGTAAAAATCCTTACATTTGTCAAAAAAATAATGTTGACTATTATTGACTATATATTTTTATTTATAAACTACATAGTATACAGTACATAAAATGTAATGATAAATGTATTGAAACTTTATAAGTGCCTTTTCACTTACTTTCCAATATACATAGAGTAGTGCAGTTTCAATTCCGTCCAGCAATTGCCATTGATTGCATTTCAAATATGAAAAAATATTTCAAAGTTTATCTATATACAATATCGGTCTCTCTGTATATAATGTAATGATAATAATGTATATAGAACTGTACATATATTTTATAATGCACTAAGAATTGTTGAATTAATTCTCATGTTCATTTACTGTATTTGTGAAATTTATCAAATTGGTCATGATTTCTATTTTTATGCCAAACTGCAAACCTATGAAATCTACATGTATCCTCTAAAATAGATCATTCTAGTAAATCATGACCCTTTTTGGTGATGAATGGAACTATATAAGATCGATTTTTGGTGACATAATTTACTGGATGGTTGGATGAGACAATTTACTTTTGCAATTCTTTTACAATTCTTTTTCTTTTACCTGATATTCAAAACGATGGATTTCCTAATGCTAACTTTTTGAATAAAAAGTTCTGGTTTTGACTTATGATCAATAAGTGAAAATTTCAAAATGTCCCTGTCAAATACTTTTGTGTTAGGTAGGACTTAATTGAGATACCATTTCCATTCCATTTACATGGACCAATGTATATATTTCCTTTCACATACATGTAATAAATATGTTAAAGAAAGTTTAAAAAATGTTTTTCTTCACTGCTTTTAATCTCATCACTGGTGTGATATAATCTTCATTAGGACAGTGTGGTTGTAGTCATTGTAGCATCCATTTTGTCATTGTGATTTCAAAAAACTGTTAATTTCATTTATTTTTCCTTGTACAGTTGTTAATGGGGCACAGTTCCAGACATATACTGTATCTAGACAATATATTTGTATCACCAAATTAACCGAACAGAATTTTTTTTACTGATTTGAAATTTATTTCCCATATTTAATAATTACTACTCATTGTACATGCACCACTTTAATAACAGACATGTACCACTTTAATAACAGGCATGTACCACTTTAATAACAGACATGTACCACTTTAATAACAGGCATGTACCACTTTAAACACATGTACCACTAGCACTGTAATCACCACTGTAATCTCATTTTACTCGCAGCAAAACCGCTGAGCTATACAAAGTAATTATATAAATATATAGCACTCGATATATAGATTATAGATCCACCTCTAAATGCTGTAAAGATTGAATTCCCATTTTCAGAAAATTGGTTGCTATTTGATTTGGCAGATTCATTGCAGATTTCGTATGAACTATGGATATACAAATTCTTGAGTGAATTAATCACATCACTGTTATCACTTCAAATTGAACCCAACCCATTGGCAACAGGATCTCTCTTCTCCCCTATCCTATGTGGTGCTAATGGGAGCTCCCTTTTCAGTTTAAAATACACATAATTTGATTTCTAAAATAAATCAGTAAATAAAACATGTGTACACTGAGCAAAATGCCCATTGGATGTTTGTGACCTTTTAACATCAAGGTCTGTGCAGATTACATTGAATATTTTGATTTTAACACAACCAATATTTGAAAAAAGGACTTTCACTCTACTATACCCAACCCCTAGAAATTCATAAGATACTCTGTCCAATTGTATTGTTTAGTATATTTTTGAAAGTACCTTATTAACATCTAACGTCATCCAATAATAAATCAAATAAAAAACAAATATAAAACAAATAACATAATCATTACTAATAAGCCAAAAGGGTTGCTCATGATCACTAAATGCAAGGTATAGTTGAGTGACTTTATAAGTTGGAAAAAGTATGTTAGGTAATGTAATATAAATGCAATATGCTAATTTATCCTATGCCAAGTAGAGTTTTAGGGAGATAAGTTGGTAAGATATATCCCGTATCCTGATTTTGAGGTTTCCATATCCAGAACCTCCATATCTCCCGCCATATCTCCCGCTTCGGTTCATATCTTCCCGCTTCCGGTAAGTAGTGGAAATGCAATAAAATGACTTTGCTTAAGAATGATTTGATTGTTTTTACACCTTGTACTATTGAAATGGCCACATGCACCTGAAACTCTACTTGGTATAGGATAAAGCAGTTATGTACGGTCAGTTTGGATATTGGGTTCATCCCTCGTGAGATATGCACATCTACCTTCGGTCCCTACGGTCCCTCAGGTAGATATGCATATCTCCCTCTGGATAAACCCCATATCCAAAACCTCCCCGTACATAACCCTTATTTATATAAATCTCAATTTCAATGATTTATATTCTCCCCACAACCAACACTGTTCAAAATATGAACATTCAAAATTTGAATTCATACAATTTTGGAAAACCCAAAAATATTGAAAAAATAAATTCCTAAATGGATATCCCACAACCGCAGATCATTTGTATTGCTCTGTCAAATATCACAACCAATGGATGGATTTACAGTACATGTTGTATATACAATTATAAATATGGAATGTCACTTATTCAATGGGACGGTATAAAATGTAAACAATTCTGCGGTAAAATATAAGCCGCATAACCTCCATCTATCTTTACATGTGAAATGTACATTGTCATTTACATGTTCCATTGTGAAAAATATATTTCAACTACATTTGGCAGATTATTATACAAAATCAGTACATTTTTGAAATGTACAATATTGTCACAAAATGTACAATACTGTATCAGTATTTAACAGTGAATTCACAACAATGAAACTATTAACATGATTTTTACACTTGATCTTAAAATTACATCATAATATGAAAACAAATATGTACAAAAACAAGGAAATGCCAGAATTCAATTGTATCTTATACTGGATAAATAATATTTATCCCATTGATTGTACATTAAACAAAATTTGCATTCTAATCAATACATTAGTACCCAACTAAGCAGATAATACTCTATGGAAAGCTGTATGTACTATGTATAAAATACTAATTATCATATAAAGTGTTTTTACATACAACTTACCAATGAACATGTTTATGGATTTCAGTATATTTAAACTCTAATTTAATTTTTAATCTCATTATACATTTGTCTTTTACAATTACAGCATTGAATAAATAAATAACATAGACCTAGTCACCAATATATATAAATGCTATTAGATATCATAATCTCTGACTTTTTAATATTTTACACGAACACACAAAAAAAGCACCCTAATAAAATATTTTAACATATAATCCTACATGTACCTTAGCAGGAGAGAACTTTGACAATTCAGGACAAATACATCATACGCTTACAAACAGGAAACCCTTCAAGGTTTTGTGAAACATTTGTTAAAGGACGATTCTCGGTTTGGAGAACGAAGTTCATCAATCTAAATGAGCATTATCCCTGCTTCGGACAAATTTGATTTTTTTACATAATATAGATTTAAATGTCTTCTTTTGAATAGTCATAATTTAATTTGGGTAATGTTTCTAGATTTTTCGCAAAAAAATATTAGCGCAGTACACTGATGCAAATCTTTCCCCAAATCGAGACTTGTATTTTATTGAATCGGTCTATTTGAGCATTATCCCTGCTTCAGACAAATTTGTTATTTTTACATCTTGTAGATTTAAATGTCCTCTTTTGAATATTCATAGTTTAATTTGGGTAATATTTCTATATCGTTTTCATGAAAAAAATTTTAGCCCAGGAGGCTGTTCTCCAAACCGAGAATCGTCCTTTGCATCCGTTTTCACATTTTATTAATAATATATCTCTACTTGCAAAATAAAAACAACCTTCTCCCCCAACTCCCCGCTTATGAGAAAACATACTCATGCTCAAATTGGGCACATTAAAAATACAACGTTTTAATGGTCAAGTTTTGAGGGCTCAGCAAGCAGAACATCCAATTATATGTTGTATACTACACTATGGAAAAAATTGATACAAAATAAAATACATAAATACAAGCATATACTGATAAAAATACAATAAATCATGGTTTTGCTAACACATACGACATACACAGAACTAACCCATTTTATTCCACTATTTGATAGTGGGTATGGACCCAAATCTCACACTAACATATTTACATTTCATTTAAATGTAATCTCCTTTCAAAGGACTTATCCAATGAGGTCACAGATAACTTCTCTCTTTGTATGTAAAATATCAAAAATCAAATTCTGGAATATATCTGGATGGACTGAATGGAATTCTGATGCTTTATATAATATAGAGCGCTTTCGTTTTGTGCATTTCTGATTAATATGGTATCAAACGATAATGATATTTTTGCGAGATCATTGTCTGTCTGTCATGGCTAATATTTCTGTCTGTTTCTAGGAAATTTAATGTATAGAACAGTGAATATCTTTTAGCTGATTTTAATATATCGTAGTTATATCTATGATTTCTTACCATAAAAAGCAGATCTTTCACAATTAATGACATGTCATGTTGATCTCAATATTGAACCTACTGGTCAGTTCTAGCCATAAAAGGCAAAACTTTCATAGTTAATGTGTCATGTTGGGCCATAATGTCATAGGCAATATCCAAATCTCCTCCTTGAAGAGTTCTGTTGTTAATTTCCAGAATTTCATCACCAATTCCCAGGAGTCCAGCAAACAACTTCTCTGGGTGTCCATCACTCATCCTAGATATGAATACACCTGAAAAACATAAATCATGCTTGAACATTTAGGCCCTTTTCAATAAGAACAATTGATGTAACCTTGGAAAAGTATTTTCGTAAAGGGCTTTAATTTTTACAACTTTAAACTTCCAAAATGCTATTCCTTCACTATGTAAGCAATCTAAAAACATCATAGTCATAATTTAAAATCTTTTTCGAATAACATGAATATTTGGAAATTCTTATTTATGATCTGTTTGATGAAATATCAATTCTAGTTTCTATACATCTCCTTCAAATTGACATAAACTAATTCACCCTTTAAGGTCAGTATTTTTTTGATATTTACCATTGTTGTATTTTGCGCTGCCTTTTGCTATGTAGAAGCCAAATGGGCCATGTGGTGGTTTCTTCAACTCAATGACCTTGAAAAAAGACATCATAGTTTTCATTCTATAGAAAGTCAACGATACAAATGACAGAAACTTATGTAAAGTCAATGAATATTCAATTACCCTAACTCCATATAATAATGAATATCAAGTGTGAGCAAGATCAAATATAAATAGTGTCATTAGATATATTTTTCCACAACTATTGACCACTAGAAACCATCCCTAGTAAGACTAGGGAAATTCCACAAAAAATGTTGAGGAATAAATAGAGAGATGGTTACCTGTGAGCCATCTGTATTAAGAGCAAGTAGCTTGCCTATAACCCGACCATGAGTAGGACTGTCAACTGAGTTAATAGAGAGGCTGGAGCTGCTACGCTTCAAAGATGGTGACAGTGACCGCCTCCTAGGAGACCTGAAATTATTTACATATTTGGATTATTACGAAATTATATACATATATGGATATATTTACACAATTTGGAATATATGTATGGGAGACTTCAGTTCACTGTTTAATAAACTCCTATGAGGTCTTATTTTTAATTTGCTTTAAAATGTATTATTCCATTAATATTTCACTGAGTGATAATTTATTTTAATACATAGATATCCGAGCACTTATTTCAATATCCATAAAATTGGAAGAGTGAAGAATTCAAAGAATTGATAGATTAGTAGAAGTATATGGTAAATCATTCCTAAATAATCAGTGAAGAGTCCTACTTGGCTGCCTGTGCATCGTGCAATACTCCATCATCCACATACTTCTTAGAGCGATCTTTCTTCTTACTAAAACTATGCCGCAGAGATTGTAATGAAGAAGACTTCTTCAATTTTGGAGGCTGTTCTTCTATTGAGCATGCTGAGCTATCTGGGTTACCCACACTGCCACTTTTGTCTAGACGATCAAGACTTACAGCTCGTTGAAGTTTTGCGATTTTACTTTTGGCTGATTTACGCAGACTTCCCAAGCGCTCAACAAGAGAAGATTTTGAGCCACGTAGATCTTTTGACATTTCCAGGTTACTGGAAAAAATGTAAATCAAAATTTATGCTGATTATCATTACAAACTATTTCCTTTTGAAAGGATTAATCAAAAAAACTGAATACTGATTTACATTTAATCAAACTTCACTTTTCCATATTCATAATTTTACTTACAAATGACATTTTAGACGAACACAAAATCTACCTTTTATATCTAAACAATTGAGGATCACTCCCACTTGGTGTATTTGGGCGATACAGCCAATCAAGAGATCTATCCAGTCCGCCAGACATATCTGAAGCCATTGATTGTACTGACATCATTGATATTACCCCTGGGCTTGGGGGTCGAGTGTGCTCCTGAGGTTGCACTGACTGGGGTCGGCTTGGGGGTTTTGTTGAAGATATCCCGGAGCTTGGAGGTTGGACAGACTGTGGTCGCCTTGGAGGTTTTGTTGATGATACTGAAGAACATGGTGGTTGGCAAGGGGGTTTTGTTGACAACACCTCAGAAGTTGGGGCTTGAGCAGATAGTGTCCGACTTGAAGGCTGAGACATTGCAGAGTGAGGACGTGGAATCCTCGATCTTGACTTCCTTTCATTTTTCTGCTGGGATTGAGAATCATCAGACTTTATTCTAGATGCAAGACCATTTATACTAGGACCCGCTGAACTGGGACGTATTCTCCTTGGAATACCAGTGTTCATACTCTTCTGATTTAAAACTTCACCAGAATCATGATAATCTACATTGTCTTTAAAGTGCTGCCTTTCAGTATCTATACAACCTTTAAGTTTAGTGTCAGGAGTTTTTAACATTTGAGACCGATCATTTTTGTGACCATATATGGGGGTATCATTGTCTAAATGCTGCACAGGGGTAATCGTCCTTGAGGATGTGTCTGACCTTGAATGTGGAGACCTCCTAGTGACAGGTAGTAAATCTAATGGCATAGAATCATCAACATCTGAATCATCAATCATATCTAAATAACTGTTTTTTTCACGACTATGTTCACTGGCTTTAATCCTCCTATGATACTCATTACTTGGGTGGTCATACTCGTGATGACCCGAATCATTAAAATATAAATCCCTGTTGTTAAATGAGTTCCTTTCATGAATACTCTGATTAACTGAGTCAATGTGGCCTTCAGATAATCTATCTTCTATATCCATTGCGTTAGTACGTTGAATATACCCAGGGGGTAAATCTCTGTGGACTAAATTGTCTTCATATTGCTGTGATTCAAAATCTGTATCATACTTATTTAGAATGCGATTGGTATGGTCTGATTTGGAATCTATGTGATATCCGTTAGATATATGTCTATCAGAGCTACTGTCCTGTATGTTTTGATGGTTTGCATCATATGAAATGCTTGTATGGAAATCCTCTTGTGGATTTGAATCTCGTTGATTTTGATCTCGTTGATCAGAGTATCGTTGTCTATAATTAGCTAGGATACTTTTAACAGGAGTTGAACGATTTGATGAAGGCCTTGATGTCGATCCAAGCCCTGATGATGATTGAGGTCTTTTTGATGAAGGTCCAGGGCTCAAGCTCTCAGATGGTTCTTCCTTAAAGTGGACACGCAGCCCAGGGGAGGATGATCTTGAACGATGACCAGAGGATGCACGGGAACACGGACGTGACGGCAGCCTCAATCTAGAATTTGAATCGCCACTAGAGTTTGGGGATCCATCATTTTGAGCTTCTGGGGACAGATCAAAATGTGGATTTTGTAAATTTGATGTCTCCAAAACACTGAAAGTAATATAAACATGTATGTATTGTTTGTTAACAACCAAATAAAATTCTAGCTTAAATACAGTTTATAGACTGCACTTGAGAAAAGGCTGTGTTGAGAAAAATTATTAAATCAGGAGACCCTCTTTATCTAAATCATCCTACATACAGGGTGTCCAAAAAAAAACAGGACCGTAAGAAAGTTGAATAACTCGGTCAATTTTGCATATTTTGCCTTGAAATTTAAGAATTATTTAGTTCATTCAATGTGAATTTTGTTCTGAAAGTTTGATGACAATCCGTTTATTGTGTCAAAAACTACAGTCCTTTACAAAACATGCTCAAAGTGGGCACTTCTCCTCTCTATGCACAAACGAATCCTGCGAACAAAGTTGTTAATGACCCTTACCTATACATATTAATGTGGATGGTAAATATTGGGGTAGTTATTGCCCTCTTAAGATTGTTAGAGGCCTGTCAGTATACACATTGGCTTTAAGAAATCCTCGAAGACAAAAATTTGGGGGATTTAGATCAGGTGAATGAGCTGCCCATATGGTTTGCGTTCTGCAACTGATGAGCTGACCACCAAAGCATTGCCTAAACCATTTCAGCATATCATTTGCAGTGTTGGGGTGGTATTGGCTTGTTCAAACCACTGCTTAATTATCTCCTTAGATGTCCCTTCTGGTGCTTAGTGACCTCCAAAACTTGGTGAGAACTTACTGGTCCTTGTTCATGGTGATAGCAAGTCCCCAGTCACTTTCTAACCAAAAGGGACTGATGATTCCATGTTTCCTCATTGCCACCCAGGGAGTGCATTGTTCAGAATGCAATGGATGCTGTAACACTTCATCAGTAGGATGTAAGCCCCAGTAGCAATTGTTCTTGGAACAAACTTGTCCATTCAGAAAGACATGTGTGTAGGAGGATCATCAACATGTTTGTTCGCCGGATTGAATTGTGCATAGAGATGAGATTTGCACATTTGGGGCATGTTTTGTAAGGAGCTGTAGTTTTTGACTCAATTGGTAGATTATTATCAAACTTTCACAACAAAATTCTTATTGAAGGAACTGAATAGTTCTGAAATTTCAAGGCAAAATATGCAAAATTGACCGAGTTATTCAACTTTCTTACGGTCCTGTTTTTTTTTGGACACCCTGTATGTAGCATCTCTTTTTGAATCACAGACCAATAATTGAATTTCAGAATATTAGTAAACAGCTGCACTGTGAAAATGGAAGTGACAAAATATGACATGGTTTACACATTTCACTGTTCTCACTAGGATCTATGAGACATGGGTGCAAAATTCTTATTTTCAGATTTCTTTTAGATGTGCGCAGCTTTTGACTGCAGAATACTGTACCTTGTATGTTGATGTAGCTTGAGCTTAGGTTGTATACTGTGATCTGCCTTCAAAGGACCAGGCACAGCTCCCCTGGACAGGTCAGCTTTTCTACTTTTACGATTTTGCCGGGCTTGGATCCTAAAATATACATTACATGAATATGTTAACTAATGAAAAAGGAGCAGAAGACTGGTACCAAAACATTACTTTTCTAACTGTCCTTTCAATTTAAACTTTTCACACACAATCCATTTTAGGTTGAATTCAGTTACGAGTTAAACAACACTATTTTTAAATGCATTATACATTTCACAAGTACAAGTACTCCTGTTGCATGAGGGAAGTATAAATATGTACAGTCCAGGCTAAGAAAATGCAAATGCCCACACAATGTACAAGACTGACTTGAAAAGAAGAAAAATGGTTTTAAATTACCTTGCTTTGATGTTAGACATAGGCTTAATAGGCTGCTGCTGTTGATCTGATGATGAACTAGATGTTTGCTCCCTAAACACTGGCACAATACCAGAATCTGCATCTGAGTCTGAAAATATGGAAATACAAAAGGAATATACGTGGAATTCAGATATTCCTGTAGTTGAACTATCAAACTTCTAACTTCATATGATGTTGTTTTCTTGGTAATAATCTACTACTTTAACACTTTAAATCAAGCAATAATAATCCACTATCATCACATGAAAACATGAGCAAATAGCTTTTTAGCTTATTTAACTGTTGATATGACATGACTTGGCTAATCAAAATGCAAGAGTCTGAATGATATGTTAGAAAGATCTGTAGCAAACCACAATGCTTTAGCTTCTAGATTTTAAAATGCTGCGTTGACCTACCATGATTATGTTTTCTATGTGGCTGATTATTCCTGGTTTTCTGACTTTCCCAATTGATGATGTCACTGTTTGAATTATCACTGCTACTGAACTGTAACCGTCTGTGAGCAAGATGCATCCTCTCCAATGGCAGATCTGAACCCTCTACACATCCGCCATTAGAATGCAAGGAGGATGTATCAAGGGTGTCAACATCAACTGCACTATCGGGCCCAGAATCAGGACTTGGCAAGCGTTTTGCAGCGCTTGATTTTTGCCCCGAGCGTGATCGCTCTGCAGCTAAATGTTTCTGTATTAATGCTTGGAGTTGAGGCGATTTGGTTGTGTATGCTTCTTCCCGAGCTTTGGGAACGGCAGCATGATTTGCAGTAACTGGTTTCTTAAGTGTTTTCTTTGACAATGGTGACCGTTCACTAGACAATAGTTCCTGCATAGATTCCTTATTTTTACGAAGCCTGTCTTTCAAAGAAAGTGTCGAAACATTTGAATTTGACCTACTGAGACTTGACGAACGAGCTTTACCCAGAATGCTTTGTATTTGCATCTCAGCTAAACTTGCTCTGGATGGTGGCCGATCAGCTGTGGCAGATGAGGTTTTCTTAGATTTGGACCTTTTTCTACTTTGGCAATCATACATAGCAAGTTCTTTCTCTAAGGAATGATCATCACTGGGAAGCGAGGAATATCTTTGACTTCCATTAATCTGATTCTGAAACAAGGAAAAAATCATAAGTTTCACCATTAGACTGAAATGGACAATGTTCCCTTAAAATTTGGTAATTCAATTTTTTAAAGATTGCAAAAATATGTTGCATAAATATAAACATGCTAACTATACAACATACCACGTCTGAATTTATTGATGTTTTCTGTTGTTGTCTGGATCAATTGTTACAATACTTATACAGTATGAAGACTATATTCTTTAGTTCTGACATTTTTGAAAATTGAATGAAAATATCAGACTATGAGCAGGAACCTTGTATGTTAAATTTGGTATTACTTCTATATATGGGCAAGACCATGTGGTAAAATCATTTTCTTATGTGTTACTTTCCCCAGCTTTAATCCACTTGAAAATATGCTGTGTTACTTTTTATAGCATTTAATTGTACTATACTGGGGGAGATGCTTCGCCGAATGAGGTTACTTCATCTTGGGGCTATTTCAACAATGTGGTTATTTCAACATTGGCTTATAACTCCAATTATTTACACAGTCCTCCATGTTTGTTTTATAAAAATTTTAAAAAGAAATCGAAATCTCCAATGGGCAAGATCATAATCCAAGATAGTCGGCCCTGGAAATTTGAATTATCGGCCTTGGTCGAAATAAGCCCATATGGCAAAGTTTGACGCCTCTCCCCTACCTGAATTGAAGTGTTATAATGTTTATTTTTGCGAAGTAATAAAATGCTTCTTCAAATTGATAATTTTATACATAGAATTTCAATGCGATAGTACTGACAGACTGACTTAGTTATAGATGGTCAGTATGACCGATACAGACTACAGTATTGATTATGATGTCATTCTTTTTGTTCGATCTGTTCCTTAAGATCTTATTTGGTTTATTTCAAAATAACATTTAAATCAACCAGTTCAAGAACCGCCTCGATGCACATTGGTATCACCATCCTTTAAGGACAGGGTGCATGTTGGGAGATTTTCTGCATTCCTCAATTGAGTCACATGTTATTTTTCAAACATGAATAACTCCTTCCCCACATTGTCTACATCTTCCAAGTTTGCACAAAGAGTGCACTTCTGTGCCTAGAAAAGCCTTGTGAGAAGGTTTGTTTTGTAAAATGTATAGAAAATGAGAAAATTCAGAGAAAAAAATTTCTGAAAATTTTCTGATTTTTTTCACTGAATTTTCTTGTTTTTTATACACTTTATCAAAACATTCTTCTCACAAGTCCTTTCTAGGCACATAAGTGCACTCTTTGTGCAAAACTGGAAGATATAGACAATGAAGGGAAGGAGTGATTCTTGTTTGAAAAATAACATGTGACTCAATTGAGGAATACAGAAAATATCCCATCATGCACCCTGACCTTAAAATTCAACTACGAAATTGCTGGTGTACAAGTAGCCCCCAAGCTACGTTAGTTTCAAAAAGTATCAGAACTGTCATACAGGCAATGTCTGCCTAGGACGGAAAATTACTTATAAACTTATAAATTAGCCTACACTGTTGCAAATTAGAAATTCATGTCGCTACTTACAGGATCAAAAGCGGGAGATGAAACATTATCTGTGCCAATATATGTGTCCCACAATTGTTCGCCACCAAAGTTAGAACCACTGGATTGCCCATTTGTGAGAATATCTCCATCTTTTTCCCACAAATGTGAGCTATTTGGCGGAATTTTATTTTCTTGATTTTTTTCAGAAAATCGATGGGCAAAGAGATGATCCTTTAGCGATTCTATAATATCCTGGGTAGAATACATCCTAAAAGTTAATATATTTTATAGCATCAATACATATTGCTTTTATTTTTGTAAATATCCAGCCATAGTTTTTTACGATGGTGGCGAAATAAGCGAAAGTTTAGTCGAAAAACTGTTACGGCCATTTGTTTACAACAATGGCGGATCTTCTGGACACCCCAAATTAATTTTCATCGATATACTTATTTGCAGTATGTTATTCTTACGATGGACAAAATTGTATTTAATATAAAACATATTGAAATATCATATTTAACTTCATAAAAATATCTCGTTCAACATTTTTATATTATATGTTTTAAAGTTCCCTACGAAAAAAATATCTGGTGATATTCACTTCCTTTGCTGAGTTGTAAATTTTACAGTTTGCAGGGTTGTTTTGCTTTCAAAGCATCCATCCTAAAAGTGTCGCTATTCTAACTTGTCAAGATCCGGACCTGGTAAGGTAAGTGTTTATTCGTTCCAAGAGGCTACTCTTGAAATGATTGCCAGCTCGAGGTATTTGAATGAACAGCCTACTCAGAGAGCAGGAGATTGTTGTGTTGGGAACTCACTACTGTACTCAGAGTCCTGTGGGCGGGGGGGGGTCTTTTCAGGACAATTCTATCTAAGTCACAGGTGTTCTCTGGGTAAAGTGTGAAATCCCCTGCAAATACATAATGATGCAGATATTTTCAGGGGATTTCGCACTCTTGTTACCCAGAGAACACCTGTGATCTGAGCTGCCAGAAGATGACAGCTTCTGCTTAGAAAATATGTAAGTCTTTATAGCTCAGTCGGTAGAGCATCAGACTTTGGATCCAAGGGTCCTAGGTTCGATTCCCACAAGGGTATTGAATTTAGCATACTTTCTTTCAATTTCTTTATCTGGCTTGTTACATCTGGCTTTTCTGTATTTTGAAGTTTGTTTCTTGCAGTGTTAAGAATCGGTAGAGGTAAGAAATATGTGCATGACTAGCGACAATAGATTTCGAAATGAAATAATAATAAATAAGTTCCCCTGTGTTATCTACTGACCTACATGTATCCACATCGTTGATGTATGTATTTATAGAGACGAAGGCCACAGAAACTTTTATAAGCAGATAAAAGCTTCTTCCTGGAAAAATAGATCTGTCACTTTTGACTTATTCCACTGAATGCTGTATGTTATATTGTCATTTTCTTGTGCTGCTTGGTATGTTGAAGTAGCAACTTAAGAAATCTGCATGAATTTGGAGAACTGCATCTTCAGAGAAAATATTTCAACTTACTCGTTGTGATGTACCTCTGATCTCAGGGCTCCAGAATCCCAAATATTTCCTTCTAGCCAAATTTATTGTTTCATATTATTATTTTTATAGAAGCTAGGAGTATTGAATTCTGGAGTTCTGTGTTCAGAGGATGGAAATGGATGTCAATTGTCATATTAGAGAACTATCAATATATGTTCACTCAAAGAAAATACAATCCATTTAACATATAATGTGAACTATTTGCTAGTTTTCCTTTATATTCCCCTAGATAAGTTGCATACCTTATTAAGGCTTACATGTTGAATTAAACGCTCATGCCCTGCTACGTGCTACCCCATTTTGTTCTTTACTCACTTTGTACCTTCTTGATAGATATGCATGTACTGTGCAAGACCAAGTGGATTCATAAGTGTCTTCTTCTGTTAACTCCCACCCATTGTGGAAACCATAATGAGTAGAGGTGTCATGGGTCAGATATTCTTCGGGTCGAGTCGTGCAGAAAAAAGGTGTGCAGTTCGGGTAATTTTGGGTTGGGTCAGAAGAAAACAGAAAAATGAGTTTAATACAAGCAACTGAAACAACTGGGTGAATACACAGCACATAATAAGACATTTAAGCCTGACTTACTGCATATTATGCTTTGAAAAGTGATAGAAACTAATAGCATTACATAAATCATTAGAGAAGAACCAAAAATTATTTTCTGTTCGCAATTTATACATATACAAGAAATAGGCCAGCTAGAAGTTTTTATATTTTTTTGCTGGGAATATAAAGCATTTTACGATAATTTAAGATATGACTGAGTGTTCTGACCTGACCTGGTATTGGTAAGTAGTTGTTCATGACCCAACCCGAGCCTTCCGACGCAAGATTGGGTTGACTTCGGGCCGGTGTGACACCTCTAATGATGAGACACAATGCATGCACAGAGAACAAGCAAGAGTGGTTGAAACAAGATTTCAAATTAATGAGGCAACCATGCAGCACTGCTTTGCAACCATATCCATATGGAGCATCTCTCTGCCTCTGTTCCAATTTCTGTACTTGCTCTTTTCCTCTTGAACTCTGTTAATCCAAGATTTCACCTTTTTATGAAATATTTCTGATATTGTTTATCACTATTCTACTTGGTCTAAAAACCTGGGGAATCAAGCAGTACAGATTATATTATATTTTTCTTATGTCTTAACCATACCTTTTTACTTTGCGATGCTTCGTCCAGCATGTTTGCTTTATGAATTTATTTAGAACAAGCAGTAAAGAGCTTTTTTCATTTCAGAGCTTTTGTATCATATTAATACGCACGCAAACAACACATTGATGTGAGCAACAGTGATGTCATTGTAGTCAATGGCAATGGGAATACAATGGAATAAACCACTTGTTCTTGGAACAAGTCTTGTTGGACTCCTGTTCTTTACATACGTATCATACTCCCTTCTTACTAGGAGATCTGAGCCTACCCATCAGCTGAAAATGTTCAAAACTTGGAAGCGCCGCGAAACAAGGTCCCTTCCGGAGGATATTGAAGCGAAATCAGAAAAAGTTGATGTGAAAGTAAAGGAGCGAACATTCACATATCAATCTCAGGTAGGTAGATACTCATAGCAAGTTTACATCACAATGTATAAACATTTATGAAGTATTAGGAAGATATCTCTGATCTGAATGGCTCTCTGTCAATCAGAGAGCACTTACCTTTAAAGCATGTTAATGGTGAATCAAATGTTTGTCTATTTGTTTGTTTTTTTGTTTGTTTATTCATTTTTTTCTGGCAACATATGACCATCAGCAATATCAATTTAAATAAGTCGTTTTATTGTTGAAGTTCAACTGATATACACTGTCCTCGGTGTCTTGTATATGCTGTAGTACGAGGGGTGATCCAAAAGTCTTGGACGCCCTGCTCTAACTTTGCTATTTTCTAATATAATTACATGAAACTTTCAGATAATAAAGATCAACATCTTAACAACTTTGTGTATAAGTTTTAAATAATATATTTTAGCTACTTTTCTAGATAGTTTTTAATAGCGGGTCCCTGCCACCCGGAACGGTATTTGAATATAGCAAATCACGTCACAACTGTTATAATGTGGCAAATACTTTAGGTGCAGGTGCAGAACCTAACACCAGTCATGATATGAGAAATTTCTGATTTTCAATCTGAGTGTCATCTGCCATCATCATCTTCACATATCAAGACCTACTTTTCAACGAATTTTCCACGAATTTGAACACATTTTTCATACCGCTTTACCAATGAATGGAAGACATTTATGAAACCGCCATTGCTTATGTGATACAAATGCTGCTGGAGTGCCACTCTAAACCTCATCCAATGAGCAAAAAACATTTTCTTTCAACCTTTCTTCTTTCAACTTTGAGAAAAGGAGGACAATCACACAGAGCCATAAGACTGTATTGTGCATATGGTAGCTGCTCAAGGTCAATAATAGTGAGAATATATCGTAGTATACTTTGTTCCACTTTGATTTCTTTCATGTTCTCCATTTCAGCAGTCATCTTTGAGCAAAAGTGATACCAGAATGAGGGTTCCTTGACTGATGTCATTTTCTTAGAATTAAACATATACAACCATTGTCAAATATGACATGATAATTAAAGCACACTTAATTGATTGCCTGATAACAAAGAAAGTAAACTAACATGGTTTAACATTCAAAATTCAAAGAAAGATAGTGGTCAAGACTTGCGAAACAAGTGAAATGGCGGTAACATTTAAGGCTGAAAGTTGTCATGTGCGAATACCGTTCCGGGTGGCAGGGTCCCTATCTTAAAAACTACCTAGAAAACTATATCAAATAAATAATTTCTCCATGAAATTAACACACAAAGTAGTTAGGTTGTTGGTCTTTATTATTGGAAAGTTTAAAGTAATTTTATCAAAAACCAACAAAATTAGAGCAGGGCGTCCAAGACTTTTGGATCACCCCTCGTATGACTATATTCAAAGAAATTCTTTTATGAAAAAAATATTCCTATTATAAGACTAAAACCACAATGTAATTATATTTAGGAGGTGAAGTTACACTATTTAGAGGCCAGCCCAGCAAGTGAGCCCAAGCTCCATATTCTCCTGCTCCATGGAGCTGCCTTCTCCTCCAAGAATTGGGAGGAAATCAAAACTTTACATCTGATTGCTGCAATGGGCCACCTTGCCATTGCTATAGATCTACCAGGTTAGTTACTTCTCTCACCCTTCTTAACTCATTGACCAAACTCTGTTGGTAAGGAATGAAATGAAAAGGAATGCAGAGTAGAGTGGGAGTTCCTAGATTCTAACTCTCTCTCTCTCACTATCCTTTATGTTTGCAATTACATAGTGTATCATATGCATAATAACGATCATACAGGGTGACACACAATTTTGATTTTTGTGTTGATAGAGTATTTAATTGAAAAAACATTGGTTTGCTTATATGTTATTTTTATATTGAGAGTGTTTCATCAAGATATGCTCTCACATGAAATCATCCAAAAATGTTCAAATATACAGTTGGGATTCCTATCTTAGTCTTTATTTGAGTCATTTCTGGATTGCTTTCACACATATTTTCAATCATAGGCCAGGCCTATAGCATATCTAGACAGATTTCCTAACTTACATTTTTGAGTGGTTTGGAGTCAGAGCATGCATCCACAGAAAACAAGATATATCAAAATTTCTTCATAATTGAGAAAGTTTTCTTAAACTAGAGGGTGTAAAGATATTTCATGTCAACCTGTTTATAATGTATCAATAAAGAAAAGGAAGAAAACAACTATTTTTTACAGAGCTTGTACAATTGTGGTCAAGCCAATAATGTGTAAACTTAGGCTTGTTTTTCCATGTTACTTGTATGAAAGATTGTACATTACCTATGCCTATGGAAATAAAATAACCTTAAAAAAAATCGTGGTTTGTTCAAATTTTTAATACTAATGTCTGGTATAATGCATGGCCAGAGAAAAATTTGGAAGATCTTGTAAATTTCTTGTAAATTTTTTTGCAGGTGCCAGTAAAAGCAAAACTAAAGGAATCAAAATATCTGATCGGGCAGATTTCTTGGACACAGTCATCAAACAACTGGACATTAAAAAGCCAATCATTGTGAGTCCTTCCATGAGTGGAGGTTACAGCTTGCCATTCATAATGGGTAGCAACTCAGAGACATGTACAGATCGAGCCCTTGGATTCATACCTGTAGCCCCCGTAGGAACAGATAACTATAAACCTGTTCAGTACAACAGATGCCAAGTAAGTATGAATAATTCAAGACTATGATTTTTGATGGATATGGTTTTTATTCACCCATGGTTATTACATGTACATTAGAAATAATAGAAAACGCGATTTGATATATCCGGTATCCAAAAGTGGACAAAACATATCAGAAATTGTTTACTTAACTCTCCACTCTGTAAGTGATAGTAATATTGTTAGATTTGAAAGAAAGAGACTTTTATAGATAAAATCTATTAAAATCAATATTTTAATCAATTTTTTGTAAAAAAATGTTCTTGCTCATGCTAAACGTCAATTATTGGTCATTTCATATTTAGCAGTATTTGTGATATTATCATGTCTGAGTTTTTATATGACAATGCATAAGCATAAGCATAAAACATCATCGATTGAAATATAAAACTTGCAAATTTTAAGATTATAATAACTTGTACTGCAATGATCCTGTGCTAATTTGAATTTCTTGCTGTTATTGAAATACTAGAATAGTAGTTGGATTTGCTGGGATTGGTGGATTTCAACTGATCCATCAAAAAATTAATTAAAAATTAAAAACTACACATCTCATGCTAAGTTTGAAACAACACCTTTGAGGAATGATAATCATTCCAGAGAGTCCAGGACTTAAATCCTTAAATGTACTAATTAGGACCGAAATTCAGTTTTTGATGCATGTTGTATGCATTTTTGCTATTACTGAAATAATATTTTATAGTTGCCATAGTTACAATCCCTAGTTTTCCAATGATTTTGTTTCAATATTGATTTCATTAATGTCAAACAAAATCTGTGTTCTTAGCAATAGGCTAATTGTATTTAATAATTTTCAGTTGCCAACTATGATTGTATATGGAGACCAAGATTCTGGATTAGGACTCACTTCACTTGGAAACCTACGCAATCTGCCAAACAGTGAGATATTCCCCATAAAAGGAGGTAGTCACCCATGCTACCTGGATGAGCCGGAATACTGGAACAAATTGGTGTACAATTTTCTACTGGAGATTGAAAGTGATCAAAATTCCAAATAGGGGACTGAAAAAAAAAAATTAGGATTTTCCACTTAAAACTTTCTGCTATGGTATTTATATTTGGAAAAGTATTTGTAATTTTAAATGTCATGCAAGAAGATGAAATCTTACCAATTATTTTTGAATACGAAACTAGATCTAGAATATGGATTAAGATTTTAAGCAATAATAGATGGCAGTGAGAAGGATGGGTTAAACATTTGCTCTAACTGTATCAAGAATTGATATCAGTGATTTTAAATGAACTTTATATTTTTTTAATTTCATGTACTTATTCACCCATCTACTGTAAAACATGTTCATTTTAATCATATTTTCGATAAATTAAGCCAATGTCTGATTCTAATTTTACCATTGCGATCAATGGACAAAAAATACTGAAACTGTGATTTTGTTCTCATGCAGAACACTGAATTTGTGAAAACCATGCATGCATTGAATGTGCTTTACAGTATTTGGAATGAGTTCTATTAATTGGAGAGAAGTTACTCTGATAGCAGAACAAATAAGAAGAAAAAAAACAATGAACATTTCATGAACATTTTTGCTCAATTTTTTAAAATGTTTCTATTGTTTTATATTACCACTAAAATTGGCATCTGTAACTATTGTTACACTTTTCAGAATGATGACATTTTGTCAAGTATACGAATTGTGTATCTACTTTTGTTGGTAATATTATTATATGCTTTTGATACAGTCAGTTACTGTCTTTCAGAAAAAGTGAAGAATGTATCAAGAAGTGCAAATGTGATAAAGTCAGTGAATGCAAATGAGCAAAGTATTTTTTTATATGATTGTATATATTGGAATTTTATTATAAAAGGGTGCCAATGATTATATATATAACTTGATGGGAATTGGGTTTATAATAATAAGCAATACTATAATGTAAATATTTCAACTTCTTTTTGCCTCTAAAAAGAGTTTGAAACCAGAGAATTTTTCATTTTTGCCAGTTTTTGGATATTTGCATCTAAAACACAATGTTTGATATTTGATTTCATAAGAATAGTAAACATAGACCCATTACATACATTTTAACAAATAATTTGTGAAGATTGGATAAAAATTGCCAAAATTCTGTGACAGATCATTCTGTCGCTCTGGTTTCAAAATGGATTTTATTTGTGACAGATATATTCGTCATTCTGGGTATTCAAGAGGTTAAAGTACAGTGGTATGTCAAATACAGCTTTATACACAGCGCCAAGAATTGAGGGAATTTCTCTATTCATTTATATGGAGAAATAATTGAAGTGGTCTCTGTTCTTTGCAGAACACTAAAATGCAGTTGCATACTGGGAAAAATTCTATATGGATTATAAATAAATGTGATATGGAATATCATAAAATTGTTTGATTTTCTAGATTACTCTCCATACCAAGATGTATCAAAGTATGATGTATCAATGAGTAAGAATCCTTTCTCAAACAGAAAATGGTCTTGGTTTTCTCAATAACATATTATATTTAAACTTGTAATTTTATTTCTGAGTGAATTTAATTTTATGTCACCACCAGAATTTGTGACATATTGTTAGTCACCAACTTATTTGTGGATGGTTTTCGGTGGTTGATGTTCAGTGGTCTGTGTCAGTAACAAATGGCAGGTAGTGACATTTTGCATGTAAATGCCTTGTTTCAGAAATACCATACAGCTGTTGATGTGTTTAACAAGGAATAAAAGCTTGACATTTTCTATGTGAGAAATGCACTACAATAGGATGTAATTTACAATTAGGCAGTTTTGAGAATTAAGTGCACGTAAACATATTCCACATTAAGCTGCCAGTCTAGAGTGCTTAATCTATATTAGTGAAAATTGGCACATCCTTTTTTATTGTAGGATATCATTAGGCACTTTGCACCAGTTTTTTTCTTTCCTGGATAAAATATGCAATCCGGATTTTGACACTGTACTTGACATCTTAATTGCATCTTAATTACTCATTCGTTATTAAAGAATAAATAATGATAGGCCATTCAATATGGTCACGGTGAAATTCAGCACCAGTTGGACAGAATGTCGGACAAAGTGTCAACCAAAAGTGGGTGCATTTGTTCTGACAGAGTGTAGAATTTCATCATATTGCATGGCCTATCATTATTTATCCTATGCCAAGAAGAGTTTTAGATAAGTTGGTAAGATATATCCTGTATCCTGATTTTGAGGTTTCCATATCCTGAACTTCCATATCTCCCGCTCCAGGGCATATCTTCCCGCTTCGAAAAAATTTTTGAAAAAATAAGAAAAAATTGAAAAAAAGAAAAAATGTGAAAAATGTGAAAAAAGAAAAAATTGAAAAAAGAAAAAAAAATTGAAAAAAAATTTGAAAAATTGAAAAAATTAGAAAATGTGAAAAAATTGAAAAAAGAAAAAATACGGTCCCTCAGGTAGATATGCATATCTCCCTCTGGATAAACCCCATATCCAAAACCTCCCAGTACATAACCCTTATTTATTCCGATTCAAACATGAAATAATGAAAACATTGTTCAAAGAATTGGGTATTGAGGTCAATGAAATAACCAACCTTGCTGTTATCTTTGCCATTCCCTGATGTGACATCTCAATATAACACAATACATGTACATAGATTCACTGAAGCAGATCGAATAAATGCACAGTCGTGCATGTATGGAGACTTCGAGAACTGCTATGCTGCATTCTGATTGGTTGAGAAAGTTTAGAGAATGGTCATGTTCGAATGATAGATAATTAGCCAAATGAAATCATCCACATCTAGTGTTTTATTCAATTTTAAATGTTTATGAATATTTTGAGTGTAGCATGTCCAGAAATATGCTTTACTTGGTTCAATGTGAATCCAATTGACACAGCTGTGTTTTATGTTGCATAAATCTGGACATATATCAATGAGATGAATATCAGCTTGGAATTTATAACAGAAGTTTTAATTCACATTTGAATATATTTGAAGGAAAATATCTCAATAGACTAGATGCAAGTAGATATAAACTTGATTTACTTCATTAAATATTCAAAATTCAGTCAAAGTGATGTCATATTTGTAATTTAAAAAAGTAAAAGTACATCTAGAAATATGGTTTCGAAAATTGTTTATCAACTTTGAAAATTTAGTTTTTTGGGAAAATGTGACTTTTACATTTTTTCACTATCCAGTCAAGTTCCGCAGGGAGACAGTCAGACAGAGGATGCTGACATTGATGCTATAATTGATAGAGTAGAAACTATTCACCAGTTACTTGCAATCTGTATACTGTATTCCAACACTGAAGTATCATTTTGGGAAAAATTGGATACCTGTGTTCATGAAATACAATATTCATGAGATTCACAAATTGCCAACCTGAATCTGTGTGTTTCAATATTTACTTCTCAATACCTAATTTGTCAAGGTTTCCAATATAATTATACTCTTAAAGTGTATTGATGATAGTTAATAACTATTGATATTTATTAACATATCATTGGACCTCATTTTCAGTTCAATTGAAAACAATGTCTAAACATATATTTTCTCTAAAATAATGCTTGATCCCTGTCATAAGTCCATTTTTCAAAAAGGTGAGGCATGCCGCCTCACCTGCACAATGCCTGGCTACACACATGCAATGATTGTGCTGCCGCCTCACCTGCACAATGGCTGGCTACACACATGCTATGATTGTGCTGCCGCCTCACCTGCACAATGCCTGGCTACACACATGCTATGATTGTGCTGCCGCCTCACCTGCACAATGCCTGGCTACACACATGCTATGATTGTGCTGCAGCCTCACCTGCACAATGCTTGGCGCTACACACATGCTATGATTGTGCTGCCGCCTCACCTGCACAATGCCTGGCTACACACATGCTATGATTGTGCTGCCGTCTCACCTGCACAATGCCTGGCTACACACATGCTATGATTGTGTACCCTGCGTGCAGAGTCTAGTTAAACTACACTCTGCCTAGTAGAGACCATATTACAGTTTAGTAGCCCCGCCCACACGACGGGTACAGGTGACAGTTTGAGTAATAAATCACTTCTGACCTATGCACTGACCTTTCTTCCACCATTCAGCGAGCTTGAAGAAACACACGCCAAATGCGTTCTAATTAAATATGCGCATGTCATTGGTCAATTCCGGGCTCAACGATGACGTCAGAAGGAATGACCATATATAGGACGTCGGTCAAATTTGGCCGACGAACACTGATTGGCGCGGCGAGTTCACAGGTTTATTTTAGTTTCAAAGAGTGAAGACGAAGCTCTCTTTTAAGAAGTGAAGTCAAACGAATGCAAAGGGTAATGATTGTGCTGCCGCCTCACCTGCAGAATGCCTGGCTACACACATGCTATGATTGTGCTGCCTCCTCACCTGCAGAATGCCTGGCTACACGCATGCTATGATTGTGCTGCCGCCTCACCTGCAAAATGCCTGGCTACACACATGCTATGATTGTGCTGCCGCCTCACCTGCACAATGCCTGGCTACACACATGCTACAATTGTGCCTTTCACTTGGTTAAGAACCACAATTTCAATTCCAATTAATACGTGATAATTGTACAAATTGGTATAACATTACAATAATTTTTACAAATGAGATTGGATGTAGCTAATCATAAATAATTCGGTTGAGAATATAATGTTGATTGATGATAATATTGCTTTTATTTCAATATAATTTAGAATCATAAAAATGTAAGTGCAGAATTAGGAGGCTTTTAGGGGACAAGGTCAATAAACTGTAGAATAGTTATTGAAATAATATTTTGCAATTTGGATGAGATAAAGTCAAATTAACATCCTTATATGGTCATACTGTGAGCAATATATAATGTGATTTATAATTTTGGAGGAATTATGGGCAATAATAACCTTATATGGTCATAATATTAAGCTGACCAAAACTATAAATGAATTAGAAACAAAACTTAGATATATCATCAATGGTGAGATTTGAAAAGGGTTTTATCTTATCCTCTTTTTCTTGTCCTTTTCGTCTTTTTTTAGAATTATTGTTGAATTACCAGGATGAGCATCAATTTAGTGTTTGTATGTACCATCTAGTGTCTAGTATGAACTATAACAGATTATTACCACCTTGCCGGGCTAGTTCTAGGGGTTTTATTGCTAGTTTAGAAGGCATTCATTTTTTTACTTTATTGACCTGAGCAATATGTGACGTAATAGTGGTGGTCCATATTGCCGGTCAAGAATGCAATTAACGACCGGCAATTTTCCCGGGAAATTAGATATCGTTCAGTGCGTAAGATTTTCTTGCTGTTTCAGTCCTGGTCACTAATGGTGGTAATAATACTAATAACATCATTTCTGCGGGCAATATAGTGAAATATTGGACCTTGGGGCTATGGCCCTCGATTCAATATTTCACTATATTGCCCATCGAAATGATAAGGAATACTAACAATAAAATTTTAAATCAGGTATTTAATTGTATATATGTATTTATATTTCAAAATTACAAAATTGATGTTAATGTTGACATTCAATAGCATGCAAGTACATGTAGTTGCTATACAAATAGGTTTTGTCAATGGATTGTATAAGACTCCTGTGATCTGAACCTACAATCTACAGGGTGTGCAAAAAGATGTTATCATTATCGCAGGCCACAGGAATTTTATTAACTTCCAGATTATAAACTCCACTAGTTTATGGGGCCATTTATATCTACAGACCTAACATTTATCATGGGATAGATTTTCAGATTAATTTTCTGGATGATTTGTTGGTGAATTTTTGGAGGGTATTTTTATAAAGATTTATTAAGATGAAGATCAGATTGAATCTCCAAATATTAACACGCCTAAAAAATCAAGTTTTTATTTGGAAAAATTCAATTGAATGGCATTTCATTATTTATTCCGATTCAAACATGAAATAATGAAAACATTGTTCAGAGAATTCGGGATTGAGGTCCATGAAATAACGAAACTTGCTGTTATTTTCGCCTTTTATTTGAAAACACTTTTACTTTTGGCTAATTTGGTGATTTCAAAAATTCACCAATTAACATCTTCAGCATGATTTAAGAATAAGTCCTGGCTAGTATTAAATTGAAGTCAATAACAATCTCAAATTATTCTAGTTATTTGTTAAGCTAGATAGCATTAAAATTATCCAATTTACAAACTTATCTTCAGTATTGTTTGTACATGAGTTCAATACGTGTTTTACACCATATGTTGAATGGATTTACAAACAAACAAAAGTTTAATAAATTATAAAGATTCAAACCATTGGAAATTTATAATAATATTCTATTGCTCTATTATTCTATCGTTTGAGGAGTTCAAAGATGCCATCATTTTGGCAAATGAAATATGAACAGGATCATCATACGAAAGGATAAAACACAAGCTTTTTACAAACACAGTCCAAATGTTAATGTGGCTTTTATGATGAATGTAAATTGTATACTTGAATCATATTTGTATGTACATAATTAAGTTAATTCTCAGAAATAATTACAAAATTCACCCCTGCCTTTTGACTGTTTTGATACCTGTATTTTAGCTACTATGTAAAGAAATCTGTTCAAAGTTCAGATTTCACATTTTCGACAATGTCTCTGCCACGACACTTCTTAGGGTCTTCTATACTGAGAATGTTTATAAACTTTGTCAGTTGTAGGTTCAATCCAGAAAAGTATTCCGCAAATTTCTCGTCGCATCTTTTAAGTCCTGAAAAAGTATGTTTTGAATGTTTTATATCTTCAGTATTAAGTTTTTGCATCTACATTGATAAAAGGATTGATGGGCTTTTTGGCTTTGCCCTTCTCATTTTTTCTTATTTAAACCAGATCTAATTTATATCACAGGTAACACTGAAGTAAAATTCATGAAATTTGAAATCTAAAACTGTGTTGGTGATTTGAAGCTGAACCTTTAATCTTACAATGGTATTCTTGTTGATATACATGTAGGATAGATGCAAAAGTCTTACCTCTAACAGTTCCCATGGCAATATTGCTCAGGAAGGTTGCCATGGAAATCTTAATGGGGAAATGTCCATGTACAAGTCATCCTTTTAACAGTTGCTATGGTAATCAAACAGGGGAAAGGTAGATAGATGCCCATGACTCTTACCTTTAGTGGTTGCCAAGGTAATCATTTCTCATGGTAATCTCACTGGGGAAGGGCAATTGCACATGTCTTACATTTAACTGTTGTCACGGTAATTTAGTTGGGGAAGGGTGCACAAGCCTTACCTTTTGTGGTTGCCATGGTAATGTAATGGCAGATGCATGTCTTCCCTTTATAGGTTGTTCTGGTATTCCCATTGGGGAGGTTAGATGCACAAGCCTTACCTTTTGTGGTTGCCATGGTAACTAATGGAAGATGCATGTCTTCCCTTTATAGGTTGTTCTGGTATTCCCATTGGGGAGGTTAGATGCACAAGCCTTACCTTTTGTGGTTGCCATGGTAACTAATGGCAGATGCATGTCTTCCCTTTATAGGTTGTTCTGGTATTCCCATTGGGGAGGTTAGATGCACATGTCTTACCTTTTGCTGTTTTCCTGTCAAGTTTATTAAGATGTTGGCAAAAGTCATTAATTGAATTGCCATCTAGGTCATCCAGTTCAATCATTACAGACTGTTCTTGACCTCTGGAGAAAACATCAAATAGACAGCCTTTACTCTCTTCCTCCACTGCAACAGAAGTAAAATTATTTTGGATTATAATAGAATTTAGTTACTTAAAGGATACATTCATTATCATTATGATAAATAGGTTGAACTTGTTCTTAACATGCTTTGAATAAAGACTTTATCTGGGTTGCAATATATTGTGATCAGTTTGTTTATTTTCTACAGATTGAAACATAAAAAAATTGATTAAATTGAATAAAATATGAGCCAATAACTTACACTGGTCCAAATGTAGCATCAATTCACTGGGGTAGAACTCTACAACAGTAAACATGTGAAATTAAAGTCATTTTTGTCATGTATTGCTATTTGTAAGCAGTTTGATCGGCCAATTTAAATAAAAGTATGGCAATTTGAAAATTTATTAATTCATTAAAATATGAACAACAAATCGAATTATTGTATTGAACCTAGTCCAAATATCAGGAAGTATGATGTATTAGGTAAAAGACCATGTGCAGTATGGCAAGTGATTATAGACGGTCATATCTTTTACCTTAAGTACTTTCTGGGCATAAATACAGTGGTTTCTATCAAATATATTTAGTATATAGATGTATATGTTTTCTTTCAAGTGAAGTATCCAAGATGATAAAAATATCAATCGATCAATTCGAAAAATTATGAATAGGGACCCAACAGATGTCAACATTTTTTCAAAATATTGAACCTATTTACTCAAAAGAGGATCTCCTTTTTCTGATTTTATTGCATGAAAAGATTATTCAACAAGGGGTCTAAAACATCTTCAAAAATAGAATGGTATTGAAAGTCTAGTTTTGAAGATATCAATTTTCGATGACCAAAATTATGCTGAAAACAATGGATTGCATGAGTTTTCCCGATGGAAAAATATCATGGGATATGTGTTTTTTAACTTTAAAGCATTTCAATACCCACCCTCTTAGTAATTGTTAATATTACGTCGAGGAGATTTTTGATGTGTTTAAATTGAGAAAAACAAGATCCTCTTCTTAGAAAATAACCCTAACATTTTTTAAAGAGTGCCAAGGTGGGGCCCTAATCCATAATTTTTCAAAGAGTCGGATTGATATTTTACTATCATTGGGACTTCACTTGAAAGAAAACATATTGTTTTAATGAAAAACACTGTATTTATGGCCAGAAAGCACATGGACCTTTAAAAACGAGATTAATGGGAGAGCTTTCCTTTAAGGGAGAGGTACAAAGATACAGGTACAATATATGCACAGGGTAACACATATCTAAATGCCACTGGGAGAAGTCAAAAGTGTTCAGTATGCAATGTTCACATATACAGGGTGACAAAAAAAAATGCCACTCACATAATGTTAAGTTATGCAACATTATTTGGGTGGCATTTTTGTATCACCCTGTATTGTTTTTGACATGGGAAGCACTGAGAGAATAAAATTGAAACAAAAATGAGAAGTTCAAATCAAGAAGTGTTTTGATTAAAGTGTTAAAGTGATCAAAAATGTGGTCCTCCTCCTATCTTCTTCACCAATCAACACCAAAGAGCCCCAAAGTAGATACAGGAGATCAAGATTAAAGAGGTCTGTATATACACTGGTTTTAATATATGTAGCTACCGTCTGGTATGGCCATGTTAAGCTTCTCCAAACTCAGGTTTGGGCACATGAAGAGGTCCTTTCTGAAGAGAAGGGGAACATGTGCTAGTAATGTCTCCAGCTTCAGAAGGTTCTTGATTTCACCTTCACACTCTGAGCCCATCTCTGCTATGCAGTCCATACTTTTCTGAAATATATAATGCAGTATAGCATACATCAAAACTTCAGAATTATAGTGGCACCTGGTTCATCACTTGGATTCATTTAAACACAACTGTAATTTATCTATTTAACCATGCTTACAGTTCATTCCTCCCACAGTGACCAGTGAGCATACCTATGATCCCTATTTTAATCCCTAATATTTTAACAAGGAGCATGCATAGGATATAGAGTACTTCCCACTATTTGTGGTTCCTGTCTATTTCAAAGGATAAGAAGAATGTTGATGGGCACTGAATGGATCCTTTGGGGGATTGAGAATAAAATGCCCAACAAAAAATGGTCTTTTTGTGTTCCTGTTGCAACACTGCAGAAAATTTACACATAAACAGAATAGTTAATACTTCTAGATATTCTAATTGAGAAATCAAATACCTGGATGCCCTCACATAGTCCCAGAGTTTGAGTGTTCTTGACGAAGCCTACTAAACATTTCTCTGCCGAACCAGCAGCACACACAGTATCCACTACAATAAATACAAAAATTTAAGTATGTCCAAAACAATAAAATTAAAGTATATCCATGACAATAAAATTAAAGTATATCCACCACAATAAAATACAAAATTAAAGTATATTGACCATGTCCACTGACAAAGAAATACAAAATTAAAGTAAAACTACAATAAATTAAAGTATTTAAATTATTCCACCACAATAAAATACAAAATAATGTATATCTACTACAATAAAGTACAAAATTAAAGTGTATTTCATACTTGAGTGGGTTTGGGGTAGATATCACCCGGGAATATATATCATATCTGAGGAGCGGGCAGGATATATTGTATATGTCCCGCTCTAGGCCAAATGCGGGCAGATATAATATATCCATCCCACTCCCGGGAATTTTTTCAAAAGTTTAAGAGTTTAAAAATTTTCAAAAAAGTTTAAATGTTACAATTCTATTGTATTTAACTGAAGTAATATTATGAAAATGTTAAATATGAATTGTGCTTTTACAGTATAGGCCTATCTTGTCATTTGAAAAAGGTGGTAAAGGTTATATCTACCCCAAACCCACTCAAGTATGAGATACACCAGTTATGTACGGTCGGTTTTGGATACAGGGTTTATCCCAAGGGACATATGTGTATCTCACGAGGGAACGCAGTACATAACCCTTATATATCCACTACAATAAAACACAATGTAAAGGATATCCACTACAACAAACGTTTAGTATATCCACCATATATATTACAATAAAATACAAAACTAAAGAATATCCACTACAATAAAGTACAAATTAAAGTATATCCATTTTGCAAAGTCAATATTTTAACCTGTGTAAGTACCTACTTGACTATTCATTAATGATACTATTTATTGTGTTTCACTAACCGCCAACTTGAAATTATGAAATTGATGAGGGTAATCAATTTCACTCCTCATAGGTTAACATAATCGACCCCGGACACGACCCGAGTTCATTCACCCACAATTCATTATGAGCTTAAATAATTTTCAAACATTGAATTGTACATTATCACTAAACAGAATGAAAGGTTTTTGTAACCTGTGTCCAGATCTGAAGATTGTGTTTACGTGAGACTAGCGATTGAAAGGTCCCTGTGTAAAAGAAATTATGGTCCCCTGGGGATTATGGTCCCCTTTCTACAAGGCCCTTACTGGCCCTGATTGTGGAGGTTACGATAATGAGGGAAAGATAAATATAAATCAATGGAAAGTAGGACCATAATCTGATAGGACCTCCTACCCGTTTACACCGGGTTCGACTTCCACATTGTGCAAATGTTGTACAAACAAGTACATATTCTTGATGAAGAAAAGTGATAATTTAGCAAGACGCTTCTTTTAAAGCACAGACCGTCTTTCTAATATTAGAGAGAGGACTTGTTCTCGGGTTGTCATTTCAAAAATATTCTTATTCCATCAAGGATAGGCTAAAACCCTCGTCCCCTAGTATGTGCAACTAGAAACGTCACTGCCATTCATTCATTATCATTGTCTCCTGGGAACGTGCTTGGTTTCAAAGCTTGCTTAATATTAGGTTTTCAAACCTAAATATTGAGTATTAAAATAATTATTTTAGATACATGAGTTCCTTCTTTGAAAGAGGTAGACTAGTTGTCTGGTTACTAGTCTTAATTTTATATTTTGGATCCCTGACGGTGTTATTTGTATTGAAAAAGTCAAAATATAGAGAAGTTCAGGGCGCCAGGCTAGAAACTTCTGAAATGGTAAAATGTTCAGAAAATACTAGGCTCTACTGTAACTAATACCAGACTTGCCAATTGAAATACAATATATTCTTTAGTAAATGCATGTTAAACTACCAATTATTATAGTAGACAGGTATTAATTGCAACCTTTTTTAAACAAATTCGATTTCTAAACATGAAAAGCAATGGCATGTCTCAAAAATGTATGAGAATTGTTGCCTAGTATTTGATCCATTTAAAACATTACGCCCATTTTGATCAAAATCCAATTGCGTTTTTTATTCAACCGGAGTCAAATAGATCGGGACGACACAGACAGCATATAATCAAAAATAACACAAAACCATTGACATGAAGAATATGAGAGAAATCCAATATCATTGCATATGATATTTGTTTGATTTTAAAAAAGGAGTAAATACGAGCAACGAATAATTAAGGACATTTAAGGAACATGTCACAAGAAAGATACGAAATCACTAAAAGAACATATTTCAATGAAACTTTTTTTGCAAGGGTCAAGTCGGCCAAGCATCAATTTCAATCGGTCTCATTTTGACAATCATTGACAAACATTCAATAGAATAGTTGCGGTGATCGGTTATATAATTGAATGCAGTTACGTGGCATAGCGTGTTCTGATTGGCTGAAATTGGATACACCTTGCCTTAGTATGTGTGAATTTTGTTTTCGAGTATTTAAAAGTCGAGCATTACAAATACACGGATATTAATAAAATATGTTGTTATTGAAAGCATATCATGAATATTCTGTCTATTGATTACACAAGTTCCAAAACAAATAATATCCTGTTTTCTCTATTATTTTTCATCTCCTGCTTAACTGTTTCTGTAACTTGGAAATTCTAGAATCTTATATTCCTAAAATACTAGCTTACTAATAAGCTTACATGTGATAGTAGGCCTGCCAATTGAAATACAATTTATTCTGTTGACCTCCAATGACTCTCGATGTTGTTATTCAATTTTTTTTATAAATGCCCATTGAATGTTTTTCTTTATGTCTTATATTCTATCATGTCAAATGTATTGTGTTAATCCCTTTTCTTAGTAAATCAAGCAATCATGAAATAAAAATTGCTTAAAAGTCAATGCTCTGTTAGTGATTAAGCCTACTGACGTAAATATCGGGGGATACTGCTTTAAGCAAGCTGACATAGGGCTGCTCCTGCGGGAGTCAGTGTCACAAAGAGGTTATATATAATAGGGGTTGTATTGTAATATGCCAAAGGAAACCCCTGAGACAACGACTTGACATAATTTAAAAACCAAGCCAAATACCCACTGAGTACCGAAACGTGCTATTCACAACAGTGTGAATGACTAAGTTTTGCGTCGCTTCTTTACATTTCAATTTATTTTGATGCAAAATGCCAATAACGAATGGAATAAATTATATTTATTCATTTATTACAATATATGGCACAGTCTGATATACTAATAGTATCTTACCAACCTCCTATATTACATCAATTTACACTTGCAGCAATATAATAATGAACAAGTTATGAATATTTGGATTTAAATCACATAAGTTGCATGATTAAAGAAGCTTACCTGGTGTGTTTTTAAACTGATATTGTGCAACGCTCTGAGCCTAAAAAAAATCATTCACTCTTTATTTGTCAGTGTTTCCATTTAAGAAATTCATCAGCTATCTTTGAAATTACAATTTTTATTATGTTAAGCTAAAAGCAGTGAACAGAAACTATCAAGTTTTTCTCTGAGTAAAACATTGGAACTTATAAATCGTGTAGGTAAATGAAAACATCGTAGATCAATTCGAATGCTGTTTAAACAGTGCTTCTTCTATTTTACAAAGTGTATAATAAATGCTTCATGTATTATATACTATAATAAAACCCCTATAAAGTCACCAAAACCCTTTTTACATTATTTGCTAAAACTGCCAAACATGTATCAAATGGTGGGTTGGAACCAATAGATTGAAGTGTACAAAATTATAAATAGTCTAATGAATAATATCAATTTCCAACTTTTTTGTCTTTCAAATCATTGAGAATAAAAAATAAAATGTTTTCTTAAAGGATGTATATAACTATTTTCTTAAGCTTTAATAATAATCAATAATCATAAACAATAAACTGTGGATACTTTTTCTTGCATCACTGATTGGAGCAAACGTTATTTCGCTCTACCACTATTATTTTGTTTTACTTTTTTGTCTTATATGTGTTGTAATTAAATATAATTCATCTCCAAATATTGTTGGGAAATGCATAAAAAATATGATAGTTAGATAGAAACTGACGTTCTTATAAAAGTATCGACCTATGAAATAAGTTTTCTTATGATATCAATAGTTTAAGTTTAGTTTAATATAGTTTATTTTTGTGTCACAAGCAATAATATTAAAATACATTTAAAACACTTTTTATAAAAACATTGCTTCTAGCCGATGCCGGCTTATGAGACACCAAGTTAATACATAAAAATACATACAAATAAAATTTCCAAACTTATTTCTGGGTTGTTTGTATACACGAAAATGTAGAGATACTTACCGAATGGTGTATGAGAAATATGTATACAATTCCGACCTTAAGGCAATCCATAGTTATAGAGTTTTCAGTTTCTATGTCACTATGTTGACTTGAATATATCTTTAATAGCAAAACCAACTTCTATTTATACTCCAGTCATGTGGTGAGCTCTTTATTAGGAGGCCCTACCAGTGATCGCCGCTTTTGTAGAGAATATGTAAATTGTATGAATTTATTCATTTTCTCTTCGTGGGTAACATTTTCAATAAATGTACAACTGTTTCGGTTGGAATATTTGACAATTTTCTATCATGTGCTTATGGTGACTTACATCAAGTATTCAGTTATAATAGTTGCATATAGTAGAACAGAATAAACATAAATACTAATTTCAAAGTTACATCCTTGTACTTTGAATATTTGAGGGGGGATGTTACAATGTTACAGTGTTACAATATATGTGTAATGTAAAAAAAAACTATCAAATTCAAATCGAATCAATCTAATTCTATTTAAATCATCATCAAAACATTAATAGCCTAGCACCAATAAAGATTAAACGTCCGTTCGACCAACTAAGTGATGGAAACATGTACGACACGGGGCTTCCGCAAAATTACAATTTTTGTTCCAGTTGAACTTATATTGAACATTTCCAAATCTAAAGCATTTTAGTAGTAGAATAGCCTCATAAACTGACATAATGATAAATGTTAATATAACTTGACATTTCATTCACATATTATACGTACTTATAACACAATAATTGATATTAGGAAATGGATTTGATTTGGCATCCAATCTTGATAAAATATAGGTTTCAACCTTTTTAATACCATATATTATCAATCTCCTCTTCATTTGGAAACGTTAGTATTTTGAACCTACCACTGTCATAGGGCAAGAGCAAAGAAAAAATGTATGTAAAAGACTAGTTTGACCCAAAATCGGTCCAAAATCTGAAAGAAGCACGTATGTACATTCAATTGACTGAAAAACGGTTATTAATGAATGAAAATATTTATATGCAGTCTGCACTGAATTGACTGGACGATCACTTAAGTGTGACACATTATTCACGCCCATGTCAACGAGTGAGAAACACAATCCCAATAAGCCATTCCAAGTCATTGGTTTTTGGCAATATTTATGTTTAAATTATACAAAAATAGAATATTTATCTTTATTATGTTGTATGTTATTTATAGATGTTAATCTTATTGTAATAGGTAGTTTATTACTCGATTTTGGAGGATAGAATCCTACGGACACAAGTCGATATTCGACCCTGACCTTGATGATATCTACATTGAAAATGTCCTCAATGTTTTTATTTTCTTGAACTTATATTTTGATCACTTCTTTATTTGTCAGTGTTTCCATTTAAGAAATTCATCAGCTATCTTTGAAATTACAATTTTTATTATGTTAAGCTAAAAGCAGTGATTTTTGTTTGGAAATGAGACCGAAAATCGCGATTCAAATTCTGAATTAAACATTGTTGGACATGACGAATGAACTACCAAAAATGTGTACAAATCGACAAGATCATGACGTTATCTAGTAATAATCATATTAGGATTATAAAATAAAAGTAACCCTGTTTATACATGCCAAGCATGGTTGGTGAAAACTAAGGAATAGATATCGAAATGTATTCAGATCTTTAATGATACATGCATTTTGGGGCAAACATCATTCCCGTGAAAATAAAAGTTATGGTCAGTAAAAAATTAACATTAGCTTTCAAAAATATTTAGTTATCATAATTATATTATAATCAGCATATCTTATCTCATATATGTAAAACGTGTTACAAGGAATCTTAAATAAATCTGAAATCAGAAATTTGCCTATTTGGACAAACGCCCAGTGGCTGTCACTTGCTACTTGTAGGATATAGCCTTTCCCAATGGCCATGATATAGTAGGACTAGGGACATCTTGAAGTCTAGTGGCATACAATCATTGTGGGATCTGCACCCAGTACCATCCCTTGAAATAGTCAGTCTCTCACAAGATTTAGATAAAAAGCTACTCTGGAAATTCCGGATGAATTTAACAACAAATTACAAATCGAATTAAAGAGCATTGTTACATTTTATACATATAAACAATAACTGGAAAAAGACTTGGTAAAATAATGCATATGCGCCAAAGTTTCAAACTTTTAAATTTCGCGCCACGAAGTTTGAATAGAGTTGAATTGTGGGAAGGATTTGAAAACGAGGCGTTGCCAACTACAGGATGGAAAAAATTGAAGGATATGAGGTAAAATTCAATCACTGTTTTAAGCATTAAACATAAGAATATTGGTATTTAAAAGATATTAGCACCGAGATGAATATAACATTATCCTAAGTATCCAATTGTTTTAACTTTTCAGGTTAAGAAACGACTGGGAAAAGGAGCCCAAGGATCGGTATTTCTTGTCGAACACGAAAATGCAAAAAATGGAGAAAAATTTGTGCTGAAAAAGGTACAGTTTAGTTTACTACTGCTAGAACTCTCCATTTATTTACTGTGAAACCGATTTCTTTGTCTTACCTTGTTTAGATCTTTAGTGGAAGGTCTCGTCGGGTTAGGAAAACTCCTCGAAAATGAGATCTGTTGCAAAAATAAACTTGACAATTTATCAAATTTTCTAAAATTGTAGACAGTAGAGCCAATGGCTATAGACTCTAGAGTAGAGCTCTAACTAAGGGTTATGTACTGGGAGGTCCTGAATCTAGATTAGATTTTATCCCATAAGAAATAATTGTGTATTTCTCAAGAGACTTCTTGGTTTTATGGGAGATGTACATATTTCCCGAGGGATAAACCCTACGATCCAAAACCAACTGTACATACATTGTAACAGATGTGTTCCATCACCTACTGAGGTTCTAGGTACATTCTACCTTCTAACTAGATTCCAGAAATTTTAAAGGTGCAGATAGATACATGCAATATCATTGTAGGAATAAATAATATTTTTAACTCAATACATTCCTCGCAATATTTGTCTTTTTGTATAGTCTAGGATGAAGAAAAGAGTCCTATGTTTAGTTCAATCCCCTATTGTATAGGTTAATACCAATTTTTGCAAGAATATTACCCCACGCAAGACCATCCCCTGTATAGGTCCTGTAGTGTCCAATGTACTTTCAGGTTGAGTGCAATGATGAGAGCGAAGCCAACAAAGCATTTAAAGAGGTATGTTGTACTATAATTATATTATATTATGTACAAATTATGTATGTCTATACTCATTGTACTGGAGTATATCCAAAGTGTGATATTTTATCAAGTTTCTGAACATCCTCCTTATATATTTATTCACTCAACTACCTTTGTGAGACTAGAGGGGAAGAGAAAAGGAGGGAACACAGGGGCTTGATCCAAGACTGTCCTATATCAGTTCATATGATTAAGGTTTTACATCAGTCCATGAGACTGTCAGAGATTGTTATGTATTTGGTTCACCCCTCATTGGCTCACATAGAGAGCTTATGGGATTGACTAGGTATTCGTCTGTTCGTCCATTGATCCATCCGTCTTTATAACAAAATTGATGGACTTCCCTCAGAGGCTATTATTATTTTCATCATTTTTACCAAGAAAAATGTCGATTTGTATCCAAATATTTTATTTGATAATTATAGTAACATCCTGTTACTGAAATTCTAGTCAGTCACGTGAAATATATCTAGCAGCTCTAATAATCCTCCCTTCAGCAACAAGGACGTTAATTGGCTATAACACAATGCAACCAAGACGTTTTGAAATTCACCAGATAATGTCATGGTTGCTGAAGTGAGGAATTCTCACTCTAGTATTGGAGCTGCATTATATAAATCAATCCACACTCAGATCCAGGATTTTATGATAGAGACGGCGCTAATATTTCCCAAAAATGCGCGAGAATGAATGTCAGGCATACGCTATAGGGGGGAGGGGGAGGTGGTTGCACCCGGAAATTTTGGAAAAATAGATTGCAATTTGGGGCAATCTGAGCATTTTCCCACATTTAATTGATGAATGACTTCATGAAGAAAGGCTTCTGTTTGAGACAAGTTTTTTATATTTATTTTCTGAATTTTTCTGAGAAATTCTAACACTATGACAGGTATATTGTTGTATTTTATCGGATTTTTGAATGAAAACATTTCAGGGGGTCTCACCCCATAGATCCGCTAGTGCAACCTCCTTTTGGTGAACATTTCAGGGGGTCGCACCCCCTAGATCCGCTAGTGCAACCTCCTTTTGGTGAACATTTCAGGGGGTCGCACCCCCTAGATCCGCTAGTGCAACCTCCTTTTGGTGAACATTTCAGGGGGTCACACCCCCTAGATCCGCTAGTGCAACCTCCTTTTGGTGAACATTTCAGGGGGTCCCACCCCCTAGATCCGCTAGTGCAACCTCCTTTTGGTGAACATTTCAGGGGGTCGCACCCCTTAGATCCGCTAGTGCAACCTCCTTTTGGTGAAAATGATGAAAATAAATATTTCTTCCAACAGGAGTACATCCATTTTGTACCAGGGGTTGCTGTATATGTAGCATATGTTTTTTGAAGATTTCAAAGCTCTGGGAATTACTGTTTTTGGTGTTTACTAGAAATATCTTATCATGTGATGAGGTGATTTGAGATTCAAAGAATAAAAATGAGTGAATTGTCCCAAATAATAGAATGGATACTTTTATATAGAATCAAATGAGAATAAACTTCCAAGAATCAAATGAAATTAAACTTATCCTTACTTCCCTTTGAGCTTTATATAGATACTGAAAAGAAATAATAGACAAATACAAACAATCAAAGATAGATTAAAATATCTTATACTGTAAAGAACAACTAAAGATTTGAGATTTTGATTTCATGCCTTTTATATCATATTAAAATAATTGATAAGAGTCTCAAAAATCAAATTTCTAAGAAAAAGTGCCAATTTGATTGCTCCTTTTGTATGATAACTAAAGAGCCATATTCCTGGAACTCTCATACAGTATAGTTGTTTAAGTTGTAATCTATTTAATCACAATGAACAGTGGTCATTAATTATTAACGAGAAAGGTATAAAAGGGATTATATCAGGATATATGGTAACATTGTAAATAATTGTTTCAGGATTCCGATTTCACTATAGAATAACCACACATTTTCCAATGTTCGACCAAAAAGTGACCAAATATTATATTTGAACGTGGCATTTTGTAGCTATGCAAGTGAAAATGCTCCAAAAATGGCCTATTGAAAGCTAGCTATATTTTTGAGACATCCCAATGTATAAGAGTTAGATTTCATTAACTAAGCTAGATTAAAACAATGGCCAAAGTTCAGGAGAGATATCTTAAGTGTTACATGGAGACCCCACTTAACCCTCAAGTGCTAGTTGATTAGTTGCAATAAAGTCACATTATACTTCCTTCTATAGGGAGGGAGCTATACATTTGGATAGGGTTTAGATGTGTACTTTTGGCTCGCAGGTTGATCCTGGAAAACAACTGTAACACATTTCATTTTATGCAAATTCTTCGTCCTATTTAAATGCCATTGAGGAAAACAAAATATATTTCGAAAGGCTGGGCATATTGATGCAAAAACACTGTGTTTTAAGTGAATGAAGAAGATATTTTCATGTCATGGTAGAATGGTTTAAAATCCTAATATTTTGATTGGATGTTGGAATAACATTTCCTACAAAATTATTTTTCGACTTTTTTGGGAAATGCAAGAACTACCATTAATTGTTTGTGAGTAGGGAGAGAAAAGAAGAATAAATTATTCATAGAATACACAGGCATACTCGAGTAGATTGATACATTATATCTTATCGGGTCAAACATGTTTTATCTGTGTTTATCTGTCTTTGATACCATTGCATAAATGTCAATGTTTTCATTCTATTTACTGTTCAAATAATGTAAAGCAGACTAACATTTTAGGATCTTTTTGTATCTGATAAATGGGCCGATACAGTTGTTATACTGGAGAATTTGAAGGGTGGGGCACGGTTAGATTGGCCAATAGGAAGTACATTGGGCCCCCAAAAGAATTTGAGAAATTTTTTTTGCACATAAAAGGCCCCCACCCAATTTTAAAACTGGGCCATTTTTGAGGAAATGGCCCCAATTGAGATTTTTTCAATATCTTTTTGCGTGCCCCCCCCCTTCCTTTGCTAGCTTAGAATCCAGGTCCTCTCATGGTAAATAGCATGGGCAGAAATGGAACATTTACAGTATTTAGAGTTTGACACTCTGCAACATATGTTGGACCACTAGGAAGTTCAATAAAATGATAAATACAATAATAATTTGTGCGTTTCAATTTGCAAACAAAGTATGTAAACTCACCAACTGGATACCTGGAAAACACTTTCCATATTAATCAAAAAGCACCCAGACTGATATGACGTTAAGTAAATACGGGTAATACTATGAATTACTTCATTCTTGATTGTGTCTGTCGTATCAATGTTTGTTCATACCATGGTAGAAGGTTATGTAGCTATTTCATGAGTTATGCCAAAATATATTTGCACATCAATATATTTCAAGTTCAAGGAAACAATTCTGTGAAGTCAAAATGAGGTTTTGCTTTTATAGTATTTATAGCATTTTCTGTATTTGATATTTTATAGATCATACGGGCAAAATCACCAAAATAAAGTGTATATCAATTACAGGGTGGTCAAAATAAACAGAAACCCTGCATTTTCCTCATATCTTTGTCATTTTAGGAAATTACTCCCTAATAAATAAAAACATTTATGCATCATTCAATTTCTTAGAAACCCACCATATTTCATGACTATCAGACTGATCACAATGTTACAGCACTTTGAACAACATGCACCCCAGGTGTGGCCATCATCTTGATGTAGGCAAACCTGCACAAGTTATCAATAACCCAACTGCATTCCTCAGCAGGTATGGCCAGAATGACACGGATGATCTCCCTTATGAGGTCTGCAATTATCCTGAGGTCATTCTGGTGCACTATATCTTTGTCGTATCCCCACAGGTAGAAATTAGGTAGGGACATTGTTGATGATTTGTGCAGGTTTGCCTACAGCGCAATAGTAGCCACTAGAGAATGTTGTACAAAGCGCTGTAACATTATGACTGTCAGTCTGATGGTCATGGAATATTGTAGGATGGTAGGAAATTGAATGATGTAGAATACGCCAAATTTTAGGGAGTAATTCCCTAAAATGACAAAGATATGAGAAAATAATCTATAAAATAGGGCCAAAGTTTCCATTTTGACCACCCTGTACTTTAGTACATTTGTATCCCACCATGCTGTTTAAAACCTGTTGTGCTTTATGCTCATGATGATTGTTGTTAGAATATTTTAACATATTGGTTTAATATATTTTAGTATATTGGTCTTTGATTAAGGTCTTTTCATTTCAATGTAATTTAAATCTCTCAAAAATGTTTTGCTAGATAAAGTAACATGAGACCAGGACAGTTGTAGCTTATAAAAACAATTGTACATGCTTTTGGATATACTATATATAGTGATCTCCCCAGCATTAAAGCAAGTAGGCACAGCACCCACCCGAGATTTTGAAAATAAGCTTGCACCCATCTGAAAATCCATTTGGACTCTATGAAAATGAGAAAAATCATGGAAAATGGGCATATTTTGACCAATTTTGGTCTGAATTGTGAAAATGAGAATTTTGCACCCACTTGAGAAAAGATTCTGTGGAGATCACTGCTATAACTGACAGTTAAGGCCCCACCCCCTTATAGCTGCCCTGCCTACTTCACAAATATCAAATAACATGGACGAATGACTAACGCTTCCAAGAAATTGAACATAGAATATAACAAATAAAACAATGATAAAATGCATCTTCATTCTTCATTCAATTCAATACTTGTATATGTGACAAGAAAATACCATAACTATATAGATGTATGTACTTCTTATTGTAAGTTGGCATTTAACGCTTAACAGTGCACACAAGTTTAATCAATCCCCTCAAACTTGTACTTTGTAATTAACAAATGTTACACACCACCTGCATTGATGATCTCATTAATGTCAGTAGGATTGATAGTTTGAGAGATTTCATGAATATTTCATTGACAAAGTTCAGATTGCAAAATATACTGATTAACATGTCACTCAATACTTTTATACTCCAAAAACAATTATTTTGCACTAAGTCCTATTTACAATTCCAAATTAAAACATGTAATAATCAAGTGGTAAAGCTTATTATACAGTACTGTACTAGACTGGACTGTATTGTACTGGACTGGACTGGACTGGGTTACACTACACTACACTACACTACACTACACTACACTACACTACATGACACTATATTATACATGTATTTCAAATCAAAAAGGTAATAAGACAGATGTTAAAATAAAAATATTTCAAATCAAAATGCTGGTAATAAGACATATGTGAAAGTTAAAATATTTAATTTCACAATGCTGGTAATAAAATGTATGTTAATTTTAAGATATTTCAAATCAAAATGCTGGTAATAAGACATATGTTAAGGTTGAAATAGTTTAGAATAGATGGATAATACGACGTAATAAGACGTATGTGAATGTTAAAATATTTCAAATCAAAATGCTGGTAATAAGACATATGTTAAGGTTGAAATGGATGTTGACCCATTGAGAAGTGATTTTGTTTGTCCAACATCATTTGAAACTGTATTAGTATCTTCAACTATTTTTGGTGTGAAAAGTATTGGTTATAGTATTTGTATTGTATTGTAAGAATTGTAATGGCATCATTATGAATGAAATTTCTATTGGTCTATACTAGGCAGAGGGTAGTTTATAACTAGACTCTGCAAGCAGGGTACAAAATGATTTTATCCTATAGAGACTTTTAAAAATAAGTTTGCAAGTAATAGATTATGGATATTGCTTTTTGGGACCTTGCGGAATTAGTTCACGAAAATCTTAACAGAAAATATTCCCCCCTCATTTCTTAAGTTACTTTAAATGTTTGTGTTACAGGCCATGGCCTTACAAGAGCTGAAACACCCTTACATATGTGGCTACAAAGAATTCTTTGTAACATGGGACAAAAAGGTATGTAAATATATGTATACATACTAGGATTATCCTTACAATGGTGCATAGCACTTAAGTCTGTGACATATGTATACAGGGAGGGGTGCTTGTGTTATGGACCCCCTGTATTTTAATTTATTTTTTATTTAAAATAGTAGAAACCACTTAAGTTTGTTAAATTTCAGTGATGAGATACATAATTCCCACATTTATTTTCTTTAGGAATCGGCCATGTTTGTTTGTATTGTGATGGATCACTATGCCAATGGTGATCTCGATAAGGTCCTTAAACAGAAGCGAGCCAAGAAGGAGCCCATCGAGGAACTGATCATTAAGAAATGGCTAGGACAAATGGTTGAAGCATTGGTGTTTGTACATAAGAAAAAAGTCATACACAGGTATGTATTTATTCGATTTACTTTGGAATATTCAAACGGCATTGATCTTCAATTCATAAAATATAATTCTGACTTCAGGCCTTCAGTATGAGGGTCAGAATAATCATACAGCTAGTCCCTGGTCTTCAATTTTAAGGCGGCCAGTTTTGATTTTTAGGTACTGTATTGTTCACAGTGTGCTATGTTTTTTTCATATAGGGATCTCAAGCCAAGTAATATATTCATGAAGGATGACCTTGGTATTTCATTGGGAGACTTTGGTGTAGCAACCATTATGGGAGATGCTAGGACCAAGACGAGGACTACTGTAGGTAAGCCACACAGCAAACACATTTTACTTCCAAGTTATTTGTAAAACAGATACCTATTTTGACAAGATGGATGGATGCCCTTGTAGGGTAATTGTTGTCTTTTAGAGGGATGATTTGGAAAAATGAACAATGACAGGGAATATTTTAAAAGAAATGATTTTCTACTTATAGAGAGAAAAAACTTTATTTCTCAAAAATAAGAAAAAAAGGCATGACCATGTTGTGAGTGGATGACCACCAGGCACATTATTTGCAAGGGCCTAAGATTATTCTTGAGAAAAATGTGTTTAAGACTGAACTGTGTTACCATAGCAACATTTTATTCTCTTGTTTTATTATTAAATAACTTATCAGGGTCTATGAACTGGATGGCGCCAGAAGTCCTCGAACGTCCATATGACGAGCGATCCGATGTCTGGTCTGCGGGCTGTATCACACTAGAGACTGCGACGTGTGGAATATTGGACTCCCAGCAGCAAAGTGGTCTTCTGTTCGAGATAAAAAATAACCCACAACCCCTCGAGGAAACTTTAGAGAAGATTACACAGGCTGGATACTCACAGGATTTGGCCTCAGTTATCCGCACTATGCTTCGAAGGAACTTTAAACAAAGGCCAACTGCAAAGTAAGAACTGGATAACAATAAAGTATGCCAAGAAGTTGAAATTGAAGAATAATTTTAAATCAAAGTTTGTAATCCAATTGAGAATTGGACAGTATAATCCATGGGGTTCATAATATTACATGTTCACGTACGTGTTCTTTTTAAAACATGTAGCTTAACTGTTCTCATAATACTTTCAGGGACCTCCTAGATTTGCCTTATATTAAAGATTGTCTTACACTTATAAAGTCAGAACTGGCAGAGAGGCAACCAAGAATTGGGTCTTCAATTCCTAAAAGTAAGTTGATTTACTTTTTTAAGTGCCTTAGCACTCTTAGTTCTAGTTATGTCTTGTTTATACATAATTTGATTCTAAAATCAATCTGTGTGTCTGTGTGGGTTGGATCTGTTAATGTCAAAGTTAACATTTTAATGTCACTACCAGAAGTAGTGTGATATTGTTATGGTCTCTTGTTAAATGGTTGTCACTACATTTGCCAGAAAGGCATGCAGAATTAAGGGGTCCAGGGTGGAAAATGGTCATATAAGACATGACTGCAATTTTCCATTATGCAATGTGTATGTTGAAAAGCCAGTGCCTTATAACTCAGTGATAGAGCATTTGTCTGTTAGCAAGGGTCATGGATTTGATTCTCATAGGAGTGAAAAGACTTTCACATTATCCCCTCTTACAGAAATTCTGTGTTTTCAATATAAAATGTCAATCTATTTTTTAGAACCAGTTCCAAAAGGCAATGGCACTGACGCTGTTATCAAATACCTCCAAGAAAATGGTCCAAACGAGGTCAGTGTCCAGAGTGCTTTGGAGTATCTTGTTGAAATCACCAAGGAAGAAGGGACTGTCATCAGTAAAGATGGGAAGAAAACTATAACAAAAGCCATGAGAGATCACATAAAATGTGTGGAAGTACAAATAGCAGGGTGTAACATTATAAATAACCTTATAGTCACAGGTAACCAAAAACAATTTACTGAAATACTTTTTAAGGTAGATCCCCAATGTGACAAAAATTTAATGCAATTTTCATGATTTTTATGTGGGTATCTAAACATGCATAAATTAAAACAAACCTCAAAAACTGAAAAGAAATCTTTTATACTCAATAGAGAGTGACATAGTAGTTATAATGTAGTGTACAAATCTCACCATTGTCTCACTTGACAACAAATATAATCACTGTATGTACAGAGATCGCCTAATATTAAAAGTGGGTGATCAAAGACTCGACAAGATGCGCAAAATCCAAAATGTCGGAGGAAAGGTATGTTTGTTTGTCTTCTCTTTACCAGTTTAAAGTCATTCTACCTACAGATGGTATTCCATATGCTGTATAAGAGACTCAAGATTCATTTGGTAACAGGATTCAGTGATTAAATCAACCGAAATACCTGAACTGAGTTGATAAAAGAAGCAAAATCAAAAACCCGTCGAACGAAAATGTATTTTTCACAAAATTTTCTGTTTTTAGATTGCCAAAACCACAAAACCAATATCATCTATGGTTAATATACATAAAACTTAACATTACATGCATATCAGACGTTCCAACTCCCCTTCAGTATCGAGTAAGGAGGATGTTATAAAAAAAATTATGATCAGCCAAGTGAGTGATTTTACCATGTGGATTCTAATGATATGTTCTTTGCATTTCAGAGTGGTTGGATTTACATGTTTCTATTGTCCTTCACTACGAACTGTTAAATTTCAAAGCATTATAAATCAACTTATAGAACACCATGAAGATGAAGATGAGAAAGATTATTGAAAATAGAGGCAAATTAAGAATGACAACAAGAACTATGAGCTTGACAAGTAAAGATTTGGTTTTAATTACAAATCAAACAAATCTTTAATGTACATATGACCAAAGCCTAAACTGGAACTTTTCCTCAGTCCCATCCACATAACGTTGTCTAGAATAACATACTAGTAGTATTTATTTCACACTTTGTTTCTCTAAAAACGCCTACTGGGCGTTTATTTTGCATTCGATTACATACAATTCCAATATTTTCAAGCTAATCACCTATACTATAGTTGAAAATTGATCAATAAATCTTCTGAATATTGAACTATAGAGCAGCTTTCCCCTATACCTATTATTTACATATGACCCAAGTTAGCCACTTCGTGGTGAAACTGGGAACTGACTACTGGCATTTACTGAAGGTCATTACATTTTTATATAACTTATTGATACCTTGCTGTCAAAGAATGATTTAACTCCCCAATGAAATAGATAGTGTACAATTCAGATTTAATAAGTTTATTATGAGACCCCATGTCCATAACAACCACAATCATGAGAATGGGTGATACAGTGACATACATTTCATTTATGATTTATTCAATTCTTGCATTACAATTCGACAATCGTCTTGGATGCCAAGGTGTAAAGTTTTCATACCTTGGAATGAAAGGGCAAAATAAATGGACTGAAATGTGACTTTAAAAACTGTTCCATTTATAAGGTGTTACGCTTCAAGCGGTTTTTCTCTTAGCAGTGTACAGTGTACATATCGTATTGTATTCAAATAAAGACAGAATAACAAAATATACGCATACAGTGACCATTTAATCGAATGAATCAATGAACGGTGATGTACATGTTTATTCTAATTTGGACATACATTTTGCATGAAACCCCATTTTTCTTCTCTTTAAAGCATATAGTTATGGGTGTATGATCTGCTGAAACTCACGCTATTGGCTGGTCCATTCATTTCTGTGTTAAAATATTTATTCCATGTTATTTAAGAGGAAACGTGAACTTTATCATGGTCAAATGAAAGCCCAGGTCCCTACCTAAGTATAAAAAATTAGACTGAGTAAAAATCTTCTCTTGTTTTTGATATTTTAAAGCTTTTTAAATAAAACAGCACATATTATATCGCATTAATATCTTTACATCGTAAAATCGATCACATATACGAAAAATGGTCTAAGTAATATATGTTTTTCAAAGCATATGGGTGTTCTTGTGCCTACAAAACCTTATTGAATCACCAGTAGTGTGTAATATAAACACAAATAAATCTTTTAAAAATAACCGTTACACGATATTTGAATTTTGCGCATCTTGTCGAGTCTTTGATCACCCACTTTTAATACTAGGCGATCTCTGTACATACAGTGATAATCATATGTAAAACCAAAGAAAAATGAAGATTTAGATAATCATCAAAATTAAAAAAAGAAGAATTTGCCAGAGGTGGGAGTGGTGATGCCATGAAATGCACTTTAACAAGAAATGATGGGATGACAATTTTTCTGGTTAGAACCATGGGTTAAGTTTATTATATTTATATTTCCAGCTGAGCAGGATGATATTCTATACACAAATGAGATCATCCCAGTTATCCCCCTAGCCATGAAGTCCCACTCAGGCTCTTCCCAGCTCCAACAGTCCGCTTGTGCGGCTCTCATGGCCCTTTCAGCTGATGGTGAGAGAAACTTACAAAATCAATACACTTTTCTATTTTCTCGTCATTGCTTTACATGTAGATTTCAAATAAGATATAAAATATTTAGATATTCAGTTGCGCAGAAAAAACATTTAGGTGTGTCTTATCAGACTGTGCGTCTCAAGTTTATGTAAATGTGTTGGTCACGTGAACATTTCAATTTTGTGAAGGGTTTTTAAGTTGAGAATATTCCATCTTGAAGCACATTTTGAATAATATAATCAGTTGACAGGTAAAGTTCTTACTTTTTGTATGTTATACTCGTATGTTAGCTTTTGCAGATTGATAAGTTAAGAACCATAATATTTATAAGCAAACACTTTGAGACGTAAAACGATTGAGTCAAAATTTTTTCGGTAATTTATCATGTTTTGAGGTGTTTGAGGTAAATTTAAAGATAAAAACATTTGATTTTTACAACTTTATTTTGAGTAAAAAAATAAGTATATATTGAAAAACGAAATATCTTGATGGGCGATAATTGGTTTAATTGCAAATTGCATGTGACATTTTCTCGCTAAAAAACTGATATAATACCTTAAAAACAGGTTCAATTCTACAAATAAGGCATACTAACCAAGCAGAAGCTGTCTGGTTTTGATTGTATAACATCAAAGTGGCCTGAATTATGATATAAATCACCCATTTTAGGTTCTTTACCCCTTGTTATTGTTGTATTGTTACAGAGGGTGCAGCTGAAGTAATAGGTAATGTGGGGGGTGTACAGGATGTACTTAGTGCCATGAGGACGTTCCCAAGGAATTCAGAACTCTGCGCTACATGTTGCAACGCCATCTGGAGTCTCTCAGTCACAGGTGAAGTATTTTCATAGTTATTTTATCATTTTTTGAATGTATTCTGCCTGATATTGAATCTACACCAAGGTTTGGTACATATACATTTCAAATGAACAATGCTTTGTTTTATGTGCAAAACCTTCAATAAAATAAGTTAACCATCAAATCCCCCTTGACATATTAAGCATTAAGAAATAGTTTTACACCAAAAAGTGTGGTTTAATCTACTTATGAATGGCGGATGAATACACTGAGGGCTGGTAGTTATCTGATATTTCCATTTTATAATTTTGGTTTCTAATTTCAGAGGGTAATGCTAAGATAGTGACAGAAGAGAAGGGCCTTCAAGATGTATGCAATGCAATGTCCAACCACAGTGACAATGGTGATCTAATAGAAGCTGCCGCAGCTGCCTTACTCTCCCTCTCTATGGAAGGTAAGCTCCTTAGCTTGATGCATGCAAACAGAATCAATCAATCAATTCATTGAACTCCTAACATAAGCCCCTGTAAAGCCAAGCTTCAAATCAGAATCTGAGTCAAATATATGCTCTTTTTGTAGCATTTCTCTGATGTCTCGCATTGCTCTTCGGGAGAATGCAGTTGGTGCAATGCCACCCCCCTTTTTCCAAAGGTTACCTTTTTTCTTCCTAAAAGTCACCAGATTGCAGGAATAAGGTCAAGTTTTGACAGCTTCACTCTCTTAGTTACTTAGGATCTGCAATTCAAACCTCCATTTTGAAAACATGCATGCAGACATGTCTTCTCTCCCTCTCTTATGATACATGTATTTGGTATTCTAGATGACAACATGGAGCTAGTAAGTGACCTAGACTGTGTTGGGTTACTGATTGCTGGTATTGAGGCACATATACTGGATATTTATAAATGTTCTATATTTGTTATTCTAGATGCCAACATGGAGCTAGTGAGTGACCTAGACTGTGTTGGGTTACTGATTGCTGGTATTGAGGCACATATACTGGATATTTATAAATGTTCTATATTTGTTATTCTAGATGACAACATGGAGCTAGTAAGTGACCTAGACTGTGTTGGGTTACTGATTGCTGGTATTGAGGCACATATACTGGATATTTATAAATGTTCTATATTTGTTATTTCTAGATGACAACATGGAGCTAGTGAGTGACCTAGACTGTGTTGGGTTACTGATTGCTGGTATTGAGGCACATATAGGGGATATTTATAAATGTTTTATATTTGTTATTTCTAGATGACAACATGGAGCTAGTGAGTGACCTAGACTGTGTTGGGTTACTGATTGCTGGTATTGAGGCACATATACTGGATATTTATAAATGTTCTATATTTGTTATTTCTAGATGACAACATGCAGCTAGTGAGTTACCTAGACTGTGTTGGGTTACTGATTGCTGGTATTGAGGCACATATACTGGATATTTATAAATGTTCTATATTTGTTATTTCTAGATGACAACATGGAGCTAGTGAGTGACCTAGACTGTGTTGGGTTACTGATTGCTGGTATTGAGGCACGTACATATACTGGATATTTATAAATGTTCTATATTTGTTATTCTAGATGACAACATGGAGCTAGTGAGTGACCTAGACTGTGTTGGTTTACTGATTGCTGATATTGAGGCACATATAGGGGATATTTATAAATGTTCTATATTTGTTATTTCTAGATGACAACATGGAGCTAGTGAGTGACCTAGACTGTGTTGGGTTACTGATTGCTGGTATTGGGGCACATATAGGGGATATTCATAAATGTTTTATATTTGTTATTCTAGATGACAACATGGAGCTAGTGAGTGACCTAGACTGTGTTGGGTTACTGATTGCTGGTATTGAGGCACGTACATATACTGGATATTTATAAATGTTCTATATTTGTTATTCTAGATGACAACATGGCGCTAGTGAGTGACCTAGACTGTGTTGGGTTACTGATTGCTTGTATTGGGGCACATATAGGGGATATTTATAAATGTTTTATATTTGTTATTCTAGATGACAACATGGAGCTAGTGAGTGACCTAGACTGTGTTGGGTTACTGATTGCTGGTATTGAGGCACATATACTGGATATTTATAAATGTTTTATATATGTTATTCTAGATGGCACATGGAGCTAGTGAGTGACCTAGACTGTGTTGGGTTACTGATTGCTGGTATTGAGGCACGTACATATACTGGATATTTATAAATGTTCTATATTTGTTATTCTAGATGACAACATGGAGCTAGTGAGTGACCTAGACTGTGTTGGGTTACTGATTGCTGGTATTGGGGCACATATAGGGGATATTTATAAATGTTTTATATTTGTTATTCTAGATGACAACATGGAGCTAGTGAGTGACCTAGACTGTGTTGGGTTACTGATTGCTGGTATTGAGGCACATATACTGGATATTTATAAATGTTCTATATTTGTTATTTCTAGATGACAACATGGAGCTAGTGAGTGACCTAGGCTGTGTTGGGTTACTGATTGCTGGTATTGAGGCACATATACTGGATATTTATAAATGTTGTATATTTGTTATTTCTAGATGCCAACATGGAGCTAGTGAGTGACCTAGACTGTGTTGGGTTACTGATTGCTGGTATTGAGGCACATATACTGGATCTTTATAAATGTTCTATATTTGTTATTCTAGATGACAACATGGAGCTAGTGAGTGACCTAGACTGTGTTGGGTTACTGATTGCTGGTATTGAGGCACATATACTGGATATTTATAAATGTTGTATATTTGTTATTTCTAGATGACAACATGGAGCTAGTGAGTGACCTAGACTGTGTTGGGTTACTGATTGCTGGTATTGAGGCACATATACTGGATATTTATAAATGTTGTATATTTGTTATTTCTAGATGACAACATGGAGCTAGTGAGTGACCTAGACTGTGTTGGGTTACTGATTGCTGGTATTGAGGCACATATACTGGATCTTTATAAATGTTCTATATTTGTTATTCTAGATGACAACATGGAGCTAGTGAGTGACCTAGACTGTGTTGGGTTACTGATTGCTGGTATTGAGGCACATATACTGGATATTTATAAATGTTCTATATTTGTTATTTCTAGATGACAACATGGAGCTAGTGAGTGACCTAGACTGTGTTGGGTTACTGATTGCTGGTATTGAGGCACATATAGGGGATATTTATAAATGTTCTATATTTGTTATTTCTAGATGACAACATGGAGCTAGTGAGTGACCTAGACTGTGTTGGGTTACTGATTGCTGGTATTGAGGCACATATACTGGATATTTATAAATGTTCTATACATGTATTTGTTATTCTAGATGACAACATTGAACTAGTGAGTGACCTAGACTGTGTTGGGTTACTGATTGCTGGTATTGAGGCACATATACTGGATATTTATAAATGTTCTATATTTGTTATTTCTAGATGACAACATGGAGCTAGTGAGTGACCTAGACTGTGTTGGTTACTGATTGCTGGTATTGAGGCACATATACTGGATATTTATAAATGTTCTATATTTGTTATTCTAGATGACAACATGGAGCTAGTGAGTGACCTAGACTGTGTTGGGTTACTGATTGCTGGTATTGAGGCACATATAGGGGATATTTAAAAATGTTCTATATTTGTTATTCTAGATGACAACATGGACCTAGTGAGTGACCTAGACTGTGTTGGGTTACTGATTGCTGGTATTGAGGCACATATAGGGGATATTTATAAATGTTCTATATTTGTTATTCTAGATGACAACATGGAGCTAGTGAGTGACCTAGACTGTGTTGGGTTACTGATTGCTGGTATTGAGGCACATATAGGGGATATTTATAAATGTTCTATATTTGTTATTCTAGATGACAACATGGAGCTAGTGAGTGACCTAGACTGTGTTGGGTTACTGATTGCTGGTATTGAGGCACATATAGGGGATATTTATAAATGTTCTATATTTGTTATTCTAGATGACAACATGGAGCTAGTGAGTGACCTAGACTGTGTTGGGTTACTGATTGCTGGTATTGAGGCACATATAGGGGATGCAAAGGTTGTCAAGAATGCATGTATGGCACTAGCTAGTCTCGTAGAACCTGATGGTATGTACTAAGTATACAGTAATATGTTTTAAGGAAAACTGAAATTTAATGAGATCTGCATTTCTTTTGATTTATTGTATTATATCATCATTTTAAAACAATGATTTTCAAAATAGTGTTTTATACATTATTAATTTCAAAGAAGTTGTATTTTTCTGTAAACATGTAAAACTTCAAATTCTGATTTCTGATTGTAATTAGTGGTGTATGTGACATACATGTAGATTTAGCTAGAGTCAAATTAGACTGGACATTGCCCCAATAGTTAATAACAAGATGCTCCAATTTTCAATGATTTTCATCACAACATTATAATTTCAGAGGAGAGTGCGTTCAAAGTGCTCAGCAACAATGAAGTGTCAGGAATTCCAATTGTTATGAAGGCATACGAGTCTCACAAAGATAACGCAGAAGTTGTAGAAAATATTTGTACATTATTTATGGAACTTGTAGAATATGGTAAGTACTGCTTCAATGTGTAATATATAATCTACAGTAAAACCTGTGTATATTGAACATTTTTTGCCAAGGAAAACCTGTTCAATGTTGGTAGGTGTTCACTACAGAGGGTGATTCTTTATACAGAAGTCAATAGAGTATGTGTGGAGGAAGGATGTCCACTGGTTTACTAGAGAGAGGTGTTCACTAAGACAGGTTTTACTGTATTAATCCTTATTTGGTCTCATAAGAATTTGTTATTGATGTAAACTATAACAGACTAAAGCAATTTATATTAGGACATTATTGTATTTGTTTCTATAGAAAAATGTGTTTTCATATTGCACATAATTTACTCATAGAAAGCATAAAGACAGATGAGGTATACAAACATTTTATTGTTTATTTTACCAGATGATATATGTAAAGATTTGATATCTTACAATGTACCAAAGATGCTGAAAGAAATTCGTAAAATGTTTATAAAAAATGAGGTGAGAAGACGTGGTTATGGTGGCTTTATTTAAGTATTTAAAGTAGTTATATGCTATAAAACGCATTTATTCATTCTCTGAAAACAAAGAGGATGAACGTGTTTTATTTTACACATTTTGGCGTTATGTTGTTTTTTGATGTTTTTATGAAAGATGCATGGGGTAGATTACAGTTCTTCTACTTAATTCGGTGCTACTTATTTTGGCGGATTCGCTGTTTTGAAAATTTGGCAACTGCTTAATTTGGCGAACTTGCAATATTGCAATGTATATACAACGATTGAATTATGAAATATTTAATTTGGTGGACTTCAACAATTTAGAAGTACAGTATATGTACGAAGGTGAAATGAAAACATGAAAAGCAACATACATATCCAAAAAGTGCTTTTTATATTGCTTATACCATCATAATGCTTTTGGAAATACTGAAATGAATGATAGGATTGCATTTACGGAAATGATAAATGCAATTGCACCATTTCTTTCACATGTATGGCTGCCTTAAATTGATCTACAAATACTCGTATAAAGATTGTGATTGAGAAAATTCAGTTGTCTTTAATAGACTTTGCAAAATGTTTTGAATTATGACTAATGGAATTTTGGAATGATTATTCACAATATTTTGCAAGTATAAGACTTAATCCAAAAGTGCCATGCTGATTATACCGCCCCCCCCCCCGTCCTGCATTCAGTGCATTCATTCATACTGTGCCATATTTTCTGTTTGTATTGACCCATTATTTAAATATACAGGGTGTCAAAAAACAACGGCACCCCCCTCTACAGCAAAATGTACTTAATGTTACATAGTGTGTCATATCCCATTTTAAAGACAATTTAATTCTGGAGTTACTTGAGAAATTTCAGCTTTGTATGATATGATTTTACAGATTTACAGCCTGTGTTAGTAGGTGGTACGGCCACCACTTGCTGCTTGAAAAGCAGCTAATCTGGATGAATATGATTTCAATGAAGATTCGAAAAAAGGTTCAGCATTGCGTAATCGTTTAAGCATTTTCCGCATATTCTTCAGAAATACATCCTTACTGTGTCCATTTTCAAAAGGCCCCCTATCCATCAGTTCTCCTACCCTGTCTTTCACAACTGAACACATACGCTCAGGGTAGTTGAGATCTGGGCTATTCCCTACATATTCATCATTTCCAAGATTTGATCTTAAACCAGTAAAAAAGTAGCAAACAAAGTACTGAAGTAGCAAACTTCGAAACAATGTAGCTTTTTTAATTAAAAGTTTTATTAAATGAAATTTGATGAGTAACTCCAGAATTAAATTATCTTTCAAATGAGATATGACACGCCATGTAACATTGAGGAATTTTTGCTATGGAGGGGGGTGCCGTTGTTTTTTGACACCCTGTATGTATGTCTATCCAATGTCCTTGCGCTATGTCTTTACCATGCCTAGTATCCCAACTTGTCAGCTTATCAGCCAAATCCACCTCTATTTCTTTGCTTATGCATGTAGCTTGCTTGTTTTTGGCCTTTTAGAGGATATAGCCGATGACATGGCACATCTAGGTGTTGGGAGTGATCTTCTCTCAGATGTACATAAACGATATAAAGATAATAGGGTAAGACTGGGATAGGATTCATTCCCATGGATTATCATACATCTGTGTTGTGTTTGAGCTTTTACTTGCACTATAGTAGTTGTATATAACCTTAACCTTTTTGGCCAGACCAAATGTATGTGGTCTTACTAACCACTATAGTATTTAAAATGCATAGGAACATACATTTGTGGACTACATCATCCACATTCTACTTTATATGTTGTATAGAGCACCTTGTTTTTATAAACATAATCCTAACAAAGTATGTTATAATGACATTTTACTAATAGCAGAGAAGATGAGCTCAACCACAGGAAAACTCATCAAGTGTTGTAAAACAAAAACTCAGGGCTCATCCTAAAATTACATTTTTTTGAAAAACTGACCTTAGAGCATTTATGATTAGGTTCCCTTTGGCTTTGATCACTTGTCCTTTTAAATGCAAATCAGGCTGTTTTATATGTTAATATGGCTGCAATGGAAATCATTGAGCACATCCAGACAGAATTGGAGAATGAGAGTTAATTCCAAAGTCTGTTGTGATTGGACCCATCAGGGTTAAGGTTGTTTACTTCCTTCCTAATCCTAGCTAACATCTCTGCTTTAAATGTCATCAGTGTTTCAAATCACATAGTTTACAGTAAAACCTGTCTAAGTGGAACACTTTTGGTTCCTCTCAAAAGTGTTCCACTTGTAAAGGATCATTTAACATTAAGTCAATTGGTCTTGGGACTGAAAAGTGTTCCACTTACAGTGGTGTTCCACTTCGAGATGTGTTCCACTTTACAGGTTTCACTGTACCTCAGAAAGTACTGAATGGACAGCATGTAATCTGTTATTTCATGTGTTGTTTTTAACTAGGCCACACTAAAACATAAATATTTTACTATGTTTAACACTTGTGCATGTATGTTCTTATAAAATCATTTAAAAAATTAGTAAATGTTTTATCCATTTTTTGTAATAAATAGTATAGTCTATATTTTCTTTTTTGATTCATGTATAGAATTACAAAGATAAGAAAACAATGTAGTACATGTACTTCCAAATAATTTAAATAGTCCTCATTCATGTTATTTGACATAGATTAAATGCATTTTTAATGTAACATGTTCATGAATGATGGCTTTCAGAGTGTTTCCAAATACAAACTGGGGTAACTGTTATGAAAATAAATCAAGTGATAATGACTCTCAGGGGTTTTCAAAATTAGAGCACATTATTTCAGTGACCAAGGCAATAGGGAGAAATATATTAATTATTAAAGCAAAATCTAATAGAAAATCTAAATGTTATGAAAACTCTGAGACCAACATACATCAAACCCTTGAGTTAATGTTAGTCTTAGGTAAACTACAGTATAACTAAAATCATCATAACAGTTACCCCACTGGCCACTGTGTACAGTTGTTTAATAGCATGTTGGGATACTTTCAGGATGTCATGGCACCTTGTGAAGCTGCCCTCACAAAGTTAGGAGGCGGCAAAGCTAGCAACAGACCGACATCTGCTAGAAATCGGCCAAAAAGTGTTGCAAAATAAGAAATAATAGTCAAAAGCATTATTGGAAGGAAGATGGAAATAATTAATGATAAATTACAATGAAATTCTCAAAGAAACAAAAAGGGTTTAACTGTTGAATTACAAAAATTCAGATCAGATTGTTGGTGGAAGGAAATTATGAATCACTTGAGAGAAAAATATCACGGTGTGTGTGTTTAAATGGAAAAAAACAGGCTAAACAATGGAATTACATACATGCTTGTAGTCAGGACTTTAAATTATACAGAATTGCTTCAAAAGGTCACTGATAACCACAATGGCCATTTTCATCATTCGGTGTAAACATTAGGATTTCAATGTTTAGTGATGGGATAGGCCTGTTTGAGAAAAGTATATACCCCTTATCAGATTAAAGATGAAAATATGGTATCTTAAACTCAACAAAATTATTCTGAGCAGTGGTCATGTGTTTGTGCATATGAAGTCCAGTAATCATGTACAGTGGACATATCTCTTTTCTTTTGATTATTCCGTGCATATTTATTGAAATACTGAAGGTGCCAATAAAAGCAAATAAGACCAATCCAATAAAAGCAAATAAGACCAATCCAATAAAAGCAAATAAGACCAATCCAATAAAAGCATATAAGACCAATTCAATTCCACCTATTGGATATTAGTCACGCTAACCGTGTCCAGGCAGAAACAGGATATAGGTATACATAATTTCAAAAAGATTCTTTCAATTTTATTTATAACTATTTCTGCCTGCAAAATCTAGCCAATATGGACCCTCGTTTCTTTGGTTGACCAAACAAATTCAGCATTTATCGGAAATGTCTATTTTGCTGAATTTTTGAACTGAGCATAAATCTGTCATAATAGAATTGTCAAATAACTATTGCTTAAATTGATCTTGCCAGGTTCAATCAGATAATTGATCCAGTTCGAGTCCGTCCACATGTTTTACAATATATTTATATAAAACCATCTTATGCATGTTTTGTAACATAAGTATATGTTTGTATGATCCGAATGCAGGCAGGCATATTTAGTGTCATACTGCATTCATTTAATACAGATTTTGTATTGTCTCTCTGTTAATTTTACAAATCGATGATATCTTATTTACTAATACTTTATTCCATATATTTTAAAAAGTTTACAAGTCCGTCCAATGTTATTATAATGATATTTAGATACATGTATGGCTGTGTCGATTCAGGGTGAAACATTATTTTATGAATTTTTAATAATGATACAAACAATTTATTAAAGATTATTATTCTTTAAATGTATATAAATTATATATAATTTGTAAATAAAACAATGCAATATGAAATACGAGTAGTGCTGTTTATTTATTTATTCAATGCTTGGACTTGGATCAATATATAATCCATACTCAAATCCAGAGATTTGAAGGACTTATACTAACATATTAAAGAAACATTATCCATATGTATTACATTTCTTTTTATTCTTCCAGATAACATAATAGACAATAATATTAGTTAAGGACACACTTAAAAAGTGTATTATGACAATTTGAAGTCCAAATCTTTTGCACTCCTGGTAATGGCCAGTATATGCATATTTTTGTAAATTTGCAAAATAAATACAAAAATATTAAATAAAACCTGAAGTGCATTACAATTTTTAGAAACTGCAAAATCAGTGAATTTATTAATACTTTTTATTTATACTTTTTTTTGAATTCCTTGGAGTACATTATTACACTGCATTTAATCTATGCTACATAGCTGAATTGATTAACAATTGCACTTGATGATACCCATCAAAGAAAAGACATAACTATCTAAAATATCAATCTGTATATAAATAATCATTTAAAAACATAGTAATACTGTAATAAATGATGTCCTCTCTTTCCATAGTTCATTGAAGACTGCATTTCCTCCAAAGTCTGTCATAAACAAGAGGGAGGGGGTGGTCTAGTAGTGGCACATGTGTATAATTTAGTGCAAAACTTTTGATACTATCAAAAGTCCATCTTAATCAATAACAAGCTCAGTAGGTCTAAACTCAAAATTCTTACAACTTAAATTAGTAGTTTTAAGTAACAAGTGACAAGCATTTTCTACGACTAATATTTATCAATGAAACATATTTTCATGTGGCAATATCCATATCTGTGCCATATATATTCAATTCAATATTCAACCATAGAAACTTGAATACTATTAAACCTATCAAAGGTCACCCATTAAACCATCGTTTTACACAAGTAACACTATTTACAATCTAATGTACATTTCACTCTATATACACATTGTACTTAAAATTAACATTATATACACTCTAATATATTACTATTAAGTAACAATATGTACATTCTAAATATACAAATTCAGAATTATACTTTTAGCTGTTTTGTAAAGGGATACATAATACATACATGTAAGAATCAAGAAGGTGACCATACTATAAATGTGGGACCAATATAAACAGGCGTGTCTATGCAGCTGTAAAATACTTTTTAAATGTGAAATTGTTGATAAATAATAATAATACAGATCAATAAGTAAAGCTAATTTTGCTCCATAACTTTTATTTTGCAAAATGTATAGCCCACATTTGCACAGGGTTAGCATAACACATTCCACTAATCACCCTATCCTAAAATATGGCTATTAGATATGTTGATATTTGGCACTGTAGTAGTTGGTGTGTATTATGCTACTGCTCCTTTGCAAGTTAGAGCTGTGTATGTTACAAAATAAAAGTTAGCCTTACTTATTGAACAACCTGTACTGTGCATAATGTTGAGGTTTGAAATTTGGATAAATAAATACCCTTTAATAGCTTGAACCCTCGAAGAAACAATAACTTTTAATTGCTTTGAATTTTTGAAAAAAATACACCCTTCAAAAGTTTGAATATTCTGACTTGGTAATATAATGTAAATAAACAATAAGACATTTTTATAATTTTATATACGATATTAGATCAGGGGAGACTTACCCCAGAGTTCAAAGATGACATGCGCTTATAATGTAAACCTGTATTGAGATGACCTACACCTCTGATTGGTCCAAATCGATAAACAAAAATGGCGGATTCAAATATTATGTTGATTCCTGGCGTATTATAGGAATATCCTATGGTTTTGAAAAAATATCATTTATATCCATGAATGGATATTGATATCTTCATGAGTGAGCGCAGCGAATGAGTGAAGATATTTGTATCCATGAGTGGATATAATTGATATTTTTGAAAAACCATAGGATTGTCCGTTTATCCCATGGAAAATCATCATCAGCGAAAAAAGTTGAAAAATATAATTTGAGAAAAATTTTGAAAAAATGAAAAAAAATTGAAAAAAATGTGAAAAAATGTTGAAATTATTTTTGAAATTTTGAATTTTTTTGAAATATTTTTGAAAATAATTAAAAAATGTAAAAAAAATTTGAAAAATTCGAAACCATCGAATATCACTTTTCAAACCATCGAATATCACTTTCTAAGACGTGATATTCGATACTTTAAAAGTGATATTCGATGGTTTGTGAATTTTTTGCTAAAATATGATATCTTGATCCACATTTCAAATATATCTTCATGTGATATTCGATCTATATCCTTGCAACCATGGGATAATAACCAATATCATAGCTTGGTTTTTTACATCAAGATAAAGAAAGATGTCAGGAGTATGCTAACTTCAATTAAAACATCACGATGACGCGTTATATTTGAAAACTAACTGGTGAGAATTTGCACAAACGAAGGTGGTACGCAAGAGACGTAACATGTCAGTCATCGCTAAAGCTCTGAGGCTTTTCCCCTCTTATATTAGATATTCAAAAAGAGGTAGCAAATCTATGTACACAAACATCAACTTAAAAATTTGGTCTGTCACATTTACAGAGCATACATGTAACCATGGTAACGAATTATTTCTGTTTCTCACATGTAGGGTCCTATGTATATAATACTTCATGTAAGGTCCATATTATTATCTTTATTTATGAAATATAGACCCTGTAGGGCTAGGCACAAACGTTTTCTGTACCCCGAGCGACAGAAGGGAGTCAGGGGTTCGAAAGCTTTTGTGCCTAGCCCTAAGGGGTGTATTCGACGATATTACCCCTACTATGAGGTCTATATTACGATTTGAACTTGAAAACTCACCAAAATAATTCAGATATCCATTATGGTCCACCATTACCACGGCCCGCCGTTATGACATCACACATTACTCGTATTACCAGGGTTATTGTTTGCGAATATACCCCGGGTGAAATGTTGACATTGTTCACAGTTTATAGAAGGCGTGAATACAGTCATGTTCGAACATACAATACTTCATGTAGGGTCCTTTTTGTTATATAATACTTCATGTAAAGTCCTTATTATTATACAATACTTTATGTAGGGTCCTATTCATTGTACAATACATAATGTAGAGTCCTATATACATGTATCATACATTACTTAATTTAAGGTCCTATTTATTATACAATACTTATGTTAGGTCCTATTTATTATACAATTAATGTAAGGTCCTATATATTATACAATACTTCATTTATCACAGGAACAAACTTGATATAAATCTAAAGCAAGGCATTAACATGACAAAATGTAACTACTGGTTGTAATAATTATAACACATAGCAATGCCAATTGCCAATCGTTGATGCCAATTGCCAATCATTGATGCCAATCGTTGATGCCAATTGCCAACACTGATGCCTTAAGTCACAGAATCACTTTTTGTAGCGACTTTATTCATGGTTCATTACTGTACACTGATGGCCAGCTACTATGTTCCACCAATCAAAATACAGATACCTGTAAGTTCTATGTTATAAGTTATCAGCTACATGTATGTATAGTTAACACTCTATTAAAATTTAATAATAAGAGTAAAATTATAATAATAATATAAATGATTTACAGACACATACATTGGTCTCTGGGAACGTTTCTTGGATTATTTGTACTTTGAGAAACGATCCCCTGGCATCAAAAATTTAGATCTAAATTATGACTTGGATTATGTTAACAGTGTACATTGTACATGTTTATATACATGTACATATTGTACATGTTCATATACATTTTATTGCAGCTTAAACATTAAGCATATTTCCATTTAAACTAAAAGATTGCATACATAAACTTTTGTTTCTAGATATGTAAATATTACACCGAATCCATACAATTAACAACAACCCAAATGTCAGCTTTGTCTTAAATCTTAGAATTCTTATTCCACAATTTTTTATATTTCAAATGGTTCACAATGGTTTGTTCCTAATAGCACTTCATGTCACATACTGTAAATTGGTTTAACATGGTGCTATTTGATTTGGGATTTAAAATTTTCTAAACAGAATAATAAATTTGGCATTTCTTTGATTAGAATGGATAGGCAAGATGCTTGGGAATACTTCTTTCATATATTCAAAAATTGAGAGTGGTGAGAAATGTGTTGCAATATTTTCTTTAATATATGGCACCACATCAATCAATCAGAATACTGAGATTCTAGCAATGACTTTTTAATATAGGATACTACTACCATTGTTTACAGGTTATTGATGGGAATATCCCAGATGCGAGTAGAAATAATCTTGATTTATGTCATCAAAAATTCAGTCAAACTGATGTCATATTTGGAATCCACATGTAAAATTACATTTAGAAATGTGGTTTTGAAAAGAGTTAATCAACTTTGAAAATTGAATTCTCTTTGAAAATGTGACTTCTAGGTCAGGGAGATTACCCATAGACCCCATGTTGTAAAACCACAAAAAGTGAAATATCTTTTCTTGTGTTTGGCAGATAATATTTTCTTTTACTGGACATATTTTAATTTGTATAACTATCAGATGAACTAAAACTGATGAATATTCAAGTTTAAGGGAATTTTGTAATACACTGCCATGTTAATTCCCCGAATCAGCCACCTGACGGCGAAACTGGTAACTGCCTACTCGCATCTGAGTAATTAGCGTCTTATGAAGACTTAGCTATTTTCACCAGGTCATGTGAAATTGTTCTTGCGGTTGGATTTCTATTCCCAACAAATAAAGAGTGAGGGAGTTCCTTAAATAGATAATTAAAACAAGCATCAAATTAACCAGTTTACAGTAGTCAAGAGCCACACCTGATATTTTCACAATATATATATATTTTCATAACACCCAAACTATGAAATTATGACCTATTAAACACACTTACATTATCAACATCAGATATAACTGTAAAGTAGAACGCCTCTATAAGTGAAACACCTCCATATAAAACACTTTTTAAAGTCCTGTTACCCATTTATTTAATGTAAAAAGAACTCCTTCAAGTTGAATAATTCCTAAGTGAACTTTACTGTATTTTATGACTATGAGGTCATAGCTCTGTATTGTTGTGTTTTGTCTCAGTTTGTGGTTGTGCCTCTGGGGAGATTATACCATTCTGTTGGTGCTGCGAGTCCATACTCCCCACATCTTCCTCATTATTAATTGCCTTTTCTAAATCTGGTGTAGACTTTTTGGGACTGTCAGTTGTTTTGGTTGGTGAGGTCATTTTTTGGACATAGGCACCTGAAGGTGCATTTGAATTTGGGACTGCATCAGATTGCTTTAGCATTGCATTGTTATCCACATTTTCCGTTTTTGTATTATTTGCGTTTATTTTAGTACCCGAATCACCTTGTTTTGCAGAGTCTGAAATAGCTGTATCAGTCTCCTTACCGTCAACATTATTGCTGTCTTTCTGGATATCTGCCTCATCTGTGTCATTTTCACTATTTGCACTTATACTAGTTGCACTGTTTGATTTTGAGTCATCCTTTATAGGTGACTGTGTATCTGCACTTTGTTGGGATTTCCTTCTGAGCTCTGAGCTATCAGTTGGATTTGAAACACTTGAACCACAAGAGTCTGTTCTTTGATGGACTGGTGGTGTTTGTTGTTCTTGGCTGTTTAGAGACTTTGTTTCCGGAGACTGAGAATCCACAGTCTTGTCATCGGGGGACTTAGTTTCTACAGTTTTAGATTCTAGAGTCTTAGTGTCTAGAGAGCTAGTATGTTCGGGCCATTTAGGGCCATCAACTCCAGGAAGGAAGAGTTCAATGTCTTCCTGGGGGGTGTCAGGTGTCACTGGACTTTCAGGGGGTGACTGGTTAACGTTTATCAAATTGCCATTCTTCACAAGACCAGTTGATATACATGCATCATGGACCTGGAAAATAGTTGATTATTTAAATCACGTATTTATTTTTAAACGAGATGCAGTGACTGAGAAATGATATGTACATGTTTAGTGGCATTTTGTTTTATAGCAATATAAGGGACTGATGCCTTGAATTTCAACAAAATATAGTGCTTCATGGTGGTAACATAAAAACAGACATTTTTGTCAAAAATTGTAGTAAATTTCTATCACTTTCTATAACCCAATCAAGTATCCATATCATGTTATATTATTCCTGGCCACCCTGTACCTGAGTCATATACTCCTGGCATTCATTCTTGGCCTGTAGCAGCAAATCAGCCTGTCCTTTCAACACACGGATGTTCCAAGCAAAGTTCTCATGGGCCTGAAGAAAAAAACATGCATACATTTAAAATGTTGGTTTCATGAACCACATAGTCAACAAACTAGTCCAGTAAGGAGACATGAAAAGTAAAATTAGAGATAGAACATCATTTCCTAAATAGGTTAACATCATAGGGCATAGGAAGAAGTTGTTTCAACGCAATAACAAGGCCTTCAGGGGGAACAGTATGGCCTTGCAATTCCAAATAAATATATACAAGTAATGTATTTCTAATATGTGGAGTGTTTACTGCATTACCAAGAGGAGCAAAATTCAAATATACTATAGTACTAAAGATACTATATACTTTAATACTATAGTATCAAACAAAATTGTCATCCTTGAGTTAAAATATGCAGAATTCTATTTAAAGTCCCCGTCTAAAGTTTGAAAATATTTTTTTATCATTCATTTACTATTTGCCAGGACTTAAAAAGTGATTTTAGAGATTTTTGAACAAAAACTTTTTTTTGAAAAAAAAGTTGTGAGCATTTCATTTCTCAAATATTCAAATTTCCCGCCATTTTTCAAAAAAAGTTGAAATTTCTTAATCATCAAATATTTCTTAATGCATTTCAAAAAAGATTATATTTTTAACACCAATGCAAAGATTGAACAAAAGACACACTATTTCAATAATAAAATGTCATATTTAATGGGCCACTTCAATGTTTTAGCTTATCAAAAATATTTTGAAACATTAGTGATGTCACTAAGGTAACAAAAACTTTTTGAAAAAAATTGAATTTTTTTTTTCGATGTCAATCTTTTCTAATTATGCTAGACTTTCATAAAAAACCAATGTTGATTGTCTAACCAGGTTAAAAGGAAGAATAAATTATGTTTTAGATATCATTGTACCATTGGTTTCTATGAGAACTAAAATTTTGAAATGCATTTTTCTCAGAACCATTTTCATGCACTGACAAGTTCATTTCTCGCTTGTTTATCAACCGATTTTCTTAATTTTTTCGGCAAAAAACATGGGAGGATGTATGCTATGCATTGGTATGAATTGTGGCTAATTAGAAGATATGAGTGACCTCTTAAAGTTGGTTTTAAATAAATTTACAAATTTTGGAACAAAAAGTCTATCAAAAAACACTTTTTGAAATTAAAAAAAAAAGTTTCACATATCACACTTTGATAACATTGGGTAAGACTACAATATAAGCCAAAGTGGTTTAAACTTTACATGGGGCCTTTAAAAGAAAGAAATACAATAAAATCCAGTGCAATTACTCAAGTGTATTATATCTTTAGTTACTTTAGAAGTATGTTTAAATGTAAAATTACTTCCATTTGCACAATAACATCTATATATTTTAACTATATAGTTGGTAGATGCACAAGTGAGGTGTAGGGGGTGGCAGATTTCAAAAACCGATGAAATACCTGTTATGGGTGTCAGAATTTTTCATAAAATTTATGCAGAAAATAAACCAAAAATTGTCTCAAATAAAAAGAAGTCTTTTCATGAAGTTATTCATATTTTAAATGTGGGAAAATGTTCAGATTGCCCTTAATTGCACTCTATTTTCAAAATTTTTCAGGTGCACCACCCATAGCATATGCTCGACATTCATTCTCACACATTTTTGGGATATATAAATGCCCTCTCTAGCGCAAAACCCTGGATCCACATGTGCGATGTGTAATAATAATGGTATAGTTGGTAGATGTGTAATAATGGTATAGTTAACTGCAGTGCAAAAATTATGAAAGTATGACGGAGGAATTATACACAGTACATGTACACTATTCAGTAAATAGAGATTACACAAGAAATATTATCACAGATTTCTATGATCAAAACAATCTGATTGGTTGGTAGTATCACACACCACATCATGGGTATGAATCGGGAGCACATAGCATGGAAAAAAAGCCATAGTACATACCTGGGGCCTGTTTCTAGAAAAATCAAAAATTACGATTGGAAATGAGGAATCGTGACATTTCAACCATTGCCCAAAAGGCAACCAGTTACCATTCCCAAGGGTGGGAATGGAAATGCAACTGTTTGAACCCTGCACAGAAATTGTGTTCTGATGTGGGAGATAAGGAGCATTTTGTAGAGTTTCGTTAATTTTCAAGTTAAAAAATTAACATTATAGATCCTTGTCCTGGCATGTTTTTTTTATCTGCAAAGCTTTTTAAATAAACAGATGTCATGTACTTATAAAGCTCTTAAATAAGATTCTAAAACCAATGTACAGACTACCCAGAACAAGCAGGTGATGAAGCATGGCTAACTTATTTCTTATTTTTAGATGGGCATTTTCAAGAGATAAGTAAATCAATCAATTCCTTGCCTTGTTTGGATTATCAAGTAAACAATTTAATAAAATTCAACATTTCTTGACCATGAAGTTAATTTGTGAGCAATTGTGATGTTTCAAGGTTGTTTAGAGTCAGATTAAAATGATTTTAGTTTTGTTATTGTTAAATAAAAATATCACGAAAAGACAGATTTCACAACCTTGATGTCAAAAATAATTGTGAAATGTTCACTGATTTGGACAAACTTTAGATATGAATATATTTTAGCTTAAAAGTGTTTCTCCAGTATATACTTGTATACCAGTAGTTATGTAGTTATAGATGAAGATATATAATGTGAGGGTGTATAAAGAAAGTGCACACATTACTAGAGGTGTCACGGATACCCGATTTTGTTCCGGTCCACGGAATTATGCCCTCGGAACGGAACACGGAAAAAAAATTAAGAATTTCGGTTCGGTTCCGGAACAAGAACATTTTACCCTTTCACAACTTCTGGCCCTTGAATCTCCACAAAACAGCATTTTTCTTTCAATATTTTGTATCAAAAGAGGTTCATTCTTTTTACTCCTCTTTGAAGAGTTTTGAAGAGCTTTTCGCTACCAAATAGACCTAGATGATCAGATTATTTTAATCTAATACACGCAGTCACTCTGTTCCGAACCGTTCTGAAGCAAAATGTTCGGAACCGAACTGTTCCTATTTTTTGTTCCGTGACATCTCTACACATTACACTAAACAGGAATTAGCTTGTGGAAAGCAACACAAACCTCATTCTCAAAGTTGGCCCAGCATATAAACTAAATGAAAAGTTGCATATACAATATAAAATGTACAATAAATAAAGTTAAACTAAATCTACAGTATTATAGATTTTCTATAAGCATGCAATATAAAAGCGAGGGGTTAAACTATAAAGAATCCTCTCATACATACAATTGTATATATTGCTACATTAAACATTTTACAACATATGCTACACTATAAAGCATGCAATGAAAGAAATAAAAACATGCATTGGTCTCAGAACAGAGAAACATTGAACTTTTAAAAAAACAGAGAAACTTTTGATTAGTTAAAGCCTTTACCTTGACTATTTTCTTGCCTTTCAGACCAGCATTTTGACATAAATTATTGAGGTCCTCATGCCATTCTAATCCCTGCTGTTGACATTCGATCAACTACAAGAAAAGAACATTTAAAATGTTTTGTTTTTGATGTTCAACATTATAAAGCTAATGTACAAAAATCAAGTCAAGTCAGATATGTCTGAGTCAAAATGTACCAAAGTCAAGTTCAAGATATGTCAGTGTTGTGTTCAAGAGTCGAATCCAGGTGTCAAAGCCAAGTATTTCAAAGTCAAGTCCAAGGTATTTCAAGTCAATATCTGGGTGTTTCAAAGTCAAGTTGTGTTATAGTTAAGTTTAACATGTGACGCAATAATTCAACTGAGGACATTGTCTGGTGATATTTACAATGAACCAGAGAGTGATTCCCTCTTATAAGTCAAAATTTTAAACTACATGTATAATCTGTTTATAGTCTGTTTTTATAAATTAAAACAAATGATATTACTCAAAATGTTATGCAAATTAAGCCTCACCTTCTCATGTAGAGCATCGGCTTTCTGTATGAGGTCCTTACAGCCAATTATCAGGGACTCATAGGCTACCATGCCCCGTCTTATGATCTCTGGAACAGAGCCCTCTATGTCCAACCAGGGGTACTAAAAATGAGAAATTCCCTGATTTTAAAGGCATGTCAATTTTATTGAGTAACAGCAGTTGGACATGTTGCAAAAGGTAATAAGGAAAAGTTATAATATAAGTATTATATGAGAGTTCAATTGCCCTTTTATTATCCAATAAGGATTTTATTTCTTAGACAACGCACTTGTGTACAAAAAACTGGTATAAATACACACAAAGTATGAATAATTACAGTCCAAGAAGCGCTGCAGTATTTTTATGAATAATTAAGTATATCCTTGAACTATATCAAACTCTACCCAACACAAATATAATTTTATAGACTATAGAAGAAGTATTTATAAAATAAAAAAAATGAACCTAATAATTACCTTCATAAAGGGAATTTTTTTAATATTTTATTATTAATACAGTATAAACAAAATGTAATTGTTTTGTATTATCCTTGAATTATATTAGGCTATAAAAGAACTATTAATGAAACTATCAAACATTTTAATATCTGATACATCATCATGAACTTTATCATACTAATAAATGGAAAAGTTCAATATCTTATCATTCACACAAACCCAATGTGTCTCTGTTTTTTTGTATTTTTAGCATATCTGTATATTTTATACATGTACATTCTGTATTCTTCTTATCATAATATATCTATGAACTTTAAACACAATACATGGTCTTAAATTATGCAATACAATGAGTGTGAATAATCTTTTAAATAAATTGCATCAATATTGAACAACACCATTATGTACCTCATCAGTTTCTCGTAGACGCAGAGTTGGTTTCTCTTGTGAATTATGTACCCTGGTAGAGAGTATACGCATACACTGCTTTAGGTTTGTGTTGGTAGCTAGACCACATTGTTCTTTGAAGAACGCCAGCGCTATCTGAACGTGGTCTCTCAAGTCAGTGGAGTCTCGAAGTGGCTGCACAGCAGTCTACAAGTATAGGGTGTTCCATTGAACTTTATTTGATGGGATAATAAGATCATGTGTCTCAATGGGGTGGTTCCCTCAGAGGAGTGAAGTATATTCCTTGGTTTGTAGACCCTCAGTTTTTTTTTATATTTCAGGGGCCCCATATTATCTAAGTCCATATTTCATTTTTATCTCTCTATGCAAGATTTTTAATCCTTTATATTTCATACTTAAGTGACCCCCTTTTGTAGCTGTTTGTTCTGTTGTATAGGGTAACTACAATCAAATAAAAGACTGCAATTACTCACCTTAAATGTCTCATCTATACATTTGACACCAACTATTTTGACATTAGTGTAATCTCTGGATTTCTTGTGCTTCTTAGAAGTTGAGCCACCCTTCTTGGCTTTCTGAAAACAGAATGAACAAATTGTGTTTACAGTTTTTGCGATAATTTGTTTGCTTTTCCTGTCAAGTAAAAATGTTTGAATAATCTGTAATTTACTTATAACTTTAAAAATTGACAAGGGTTGTCTTCCCGTGGAAATTCTGACCTTCAAACCTTGAATTCAGTAATGTGAAAGAGAAGTGATTTTTGAAGTGATGCTTTTTTATCTCATTTGTATTATCAAGAGATGATTATACAAAGCAGCTTCTCAATGCTGGTAAACCTTGTGAATTCTGTAGCTTCAACATATAACACATAGTGGGGAGGTTCTGTTATAGATTAGCATGAACCATACTTACACCACTGCCATATTTACTGCTGATTGCTATATGTACAAAGAGTGTAGTGTTCTCTAAGGGTTCCCCTGTATAAGACATCAGCTGTATATGCCTGTATCCTGCAACACAAGATATAGTCCCTGTGATTACACAAAAAATATTCCATGTGATTGCACAAAGAAAATAGTTCCCGAGATAACACAATAAAGTAGTCCCTGAGATAACAAAAGAAAACAATCCCTGTGATTACATAAGAAAGTAGTTCTTGAGATGACACAATGAGAAAAATTTCTCTAATATTAGATACATATAGTAATTGATGATAACTGAATACTGCCACAGAAATGGGATTACAAAAAATGAAATAATTTACTTACGCCTTGCCAACTCAAAGATGAGTGTGACCTTTGTCAATAACAACTGTCTATAAAGAAAACCAGTTTTTGATCTCATTCAATATTGAACTCACCTGTTTGCATACATGTGAAAGGTATGGTATATTGCCCTATAAACTCACCTGTTTGCATACATCTGAAAGGTATGGTATATTGCCCTATAAACTCACCTGTTTGCATACATGTGAATGGTATGGTATATTGACCAATAAACTCACCTGTTTGCATACATGTGAATGGTATGGTATATTGCCCTATAAACTCACCTGTTTGCATACATGTGAATGGTATGGTATATTGCCCTATAAACTCACCTGTTTGCATACATATTGTGAATGGTATGGTATATTGCCCTATAAACTCACCTGTTTGCATACATGTGAATGGTATGGTATATTGCCCTATAAACTCACCTGTTTGCATACATGTGAAAGGTATGGTATATTGCCCTATAAACTCATCCCCAATGAACTCATCATCAAGAACACAGAATCGAACCAGGGCCAGCTCAGGTAGGTTAACTTGGAACTCAAAACTTTCATCATAGATTGGGTTATATCCTGAAAATTTTAATGTATTAGCTATTATTACAATAAGAGTGGTCAGATTCTTAAGTATTTTGATATTACACTTAGAAATTTTGAATTATCTTGCACTCTGCCACTTTGTTGCCCCCTTTCACTTATTCCCCCCATTCCAACTCATGAGCCATAATACAGGTTGGGTTGCTAGAATTAGAGTTTTCAAAAATAATGACTGAATGATATACAGTGTGCTTTCAGCATATGTGCCTATGCCTATGTACCATAATTCCAATCATGTACAAGTTCTCTTTAAAACGGGAATATGAATATCTGTATGATCTCACCATTATTTGGCACAGTTTTAGTTCTTTCTTCGGCACAGTCTGCTGGTATACCAAACAAGTCTATGCTGACATAAGGATCTGTTACGTCACCTTTAGCACTGCTGCCCTTTGGCTTTGGGAACTGTTGACCACTGATCACCTGTGGGTAAGGAAGAAAAGTATATATTGGCAAATGATCCTGCTGGTCATGCTATTATTTAGAGAAGAGTGGAATTGAATAGAATCTGCAATAAATTACTAAGTAAAATAAGGTGTATTCTAAACATATACTTAAATATATAAACCTTATGGACCATCCATTTTTGTAAAGTTTAAGAAACACACAATGGATATGTTATAGTTAGATACGGGATTGGACTTTAAATTACCAATAGGCCTACTTGAAATGAAATGGCAATGACTACGTAAATTGTTTAGCATTTTGATTTTTAATCCCCTATTTGGTATCTGAATCACTTTGCGTGGTATTTCTTCCTAAATGACAATATCTCTCAACTTATAAGTAATATATACATGTAACTGATAATTGAACATTTGCTGAAGCAGCATCTATGAACTAGATTGAATTGATACAATACCATTAAACTCATTCATATGCATAAATAATAAATGTAACGTGATAAAATTTATTCTGTGTATGTATAATTATGAGATCATCAGCCAGATTCATTGATGTTTACAGAAATTAGAGCACTTTTGATCTAAATATACCCTGTATACCTTAATTTGCAATATTTGCGGTGAGACGCCAGGTATGATGTCTCTTGTATTGGCACTGAAGTAAGCAATCTCCTCTCTCATAATAGCAGGTTTCAGAACATAACCGCAGCGGCCATTTTGTCTGAATCTGCCATCATTTAGGTCCATCATAAGCCCTGCAGTCTGATAGTTAAGGGACACTAATAAAAGAAGAAATCACAAAACATTAAATATTGTATTTGATCAAGGGATCAACATTTTAATTTTTACTTATCATAATAATGACATATCAATTAGGCAACATAAGGCAACTGGGAATCAGTCACTTCAAAGGAAAAACATTGTACATGAAGAGACAAGTGGACATTCAGTTTTACTCAGTTGATGATATCTTTGAACTTGTAACATGTTATATTCTATGCTTTGCCATCTTAAGGTGCTTCTTTACCTGGAATTTTCGTTAAACAATTGCTTGTATGCTATATCATGGAGCCACCTATGGCCAGTGAACAACTACCTTAACCCTCACCTAGTTGGCAGCCACAGTTCCAGAGGTCTTGTGGGTTAAAGTTACTTGAGTCTACCCTGATACCATTGGGGTACACCCTGGACAGGTACCTCTTATTGTGACTGACAAACTCCTCTGGATGTGCAACAGCTAGCCTTATAGCTGTAGATTCACTAAATGAGCACAATTCATTGCACTTTTCTGAAAAACATTATTAAAATCAATTATGTGATGGTCTCCTCATCTGAGCAATTCATTATTGCACTTTTCTGAAAAACATTATTAAAAACAATTATGTGATGGTCTCCTCATCTGAGCAATTCATTGCACTTTTATGAAAAACATTATTAAAATCAATTATGTGATGGTCTCCTAATCTGAGCAATTCATTATTGCACTTTTCTGAAAACATTATTAAAAACAATTATGTGATGGTCTCCTAATAATCTGAGCAATTCATTGCACTTTTCTGAAAAACATTACCAAGAACAATTATGTGATGGTCTCCTAATCTGAGTAATTCATTATTGCACTTTTCTGAAAAACATTATTAAAAACAATAATGTGATGGTCTCCTAATAATCTGAACAATTCATTGCACTTTTCTGAAAAACATTATCAAGAACAATTATGTGATGGTCTCCTAATCTGAGCAATTCATTATTGCACTTTTCTGAAAAACATTATCAAAATCAATTATGTGATGGTCTCCTAATAATCTGAGCAATTCATTGCACTTTTCTGAAAAACATTATTAAAAACAATTATGTGATGGTCTCCTAATCTGAGCAATTCATTGCACTCAAATTATTACGTGACATTATATGTGATGACCTGATCTCTCGTTATTTATCAAATGTTTATGTGGAGCATAAAAAGTACAATGTAGTGATCAACTCAAAATTGAAAATATTGGTCGACAAACCAGATTTAGGCTCCTTTGGTTGCTGACTGGGTCTTACTGAAACTATTGAAGCTAATGGAAATTGACTTTTTCAACTTTATCACACACCATATTGGCCCAAGAATATACATGATAAGGAATGTTCTTTTAAAGTAATTGGCGAAATTCACATTGCAAAGTTAGTTGGCCCATTTGAAGCCAGAATGGAAATAATCGGATTTGATGCCCATTAAAGATGTGGGCCTATGTGAAATCACCTAGAATACATTACAACTTACGGTTTTGAGCTGATATGTGAAAATCCTCAAATCTCACTGATTTGCAATAGTTGACTATATCTGAAAGAGGCCTCACCATACGGATCTTCCTTGTAGAACCCTCCTGAAACATACAAAGATAAACTTATGAGAGATTGTTCTGCTGTTAGTCAATATATGGCATACATTAAGGTGGAAGCAGTATGTGACATCAGTTTAAAAGGTGAAATATAATATGATAGTATAGCCCCGAAATCTAATTAATCCACCTTGAAGAGAAAAGACTAGATAACAGCAACACCAAGACGTAGCAAATCCCCTCACACAGCCACAGCTGCCATTTTTGGAAATTATTTCCTGTAAGCCAAATTTCCATTAAACAAGGTTTAGTACATGTTTGTGGTTATAAGATGAATTATGCAATTTGAGCATTATTAATCAAATACAAAGATGTTTTCTTATTTTCTCTCAATGTATTTAATCAAATCTAATTTCATCATGTATATGCAAATAGTCAGTTAAAATTCATTTTGTTTTTGTTTCATTTTGTTTCATTCGTCTATTGTAAGTTGTATTTTTTAATTTGTGTTTTAAACTGTAAATGACAAGTCTGTTATTCTCTTTACTAGCAATTTAAATGAACTGTTGTGAATATTATTGGTGACTTCTATTGAAATTTCATATTGAAATGGGCAATAAAACTATAGCTACTTTTTTATTCATACAATTACATGTATATTGCTCATTAATAAAATCTAGAAATCAAGATTGGAGGCAATCTTATGGAGGCTTTCATAGGTCTTTTTGACTTTTTATAAGGACTTAATGAATGGTCAAATCACATATCAAAGGTCAGATTACAAAATTAGTTAGTACTTAGTTGTTTACTAGCGGTTGGTTCCCAAGTCAGTTACGAAAATAATAAACAAGACACACAGTGATAAATATCGCACTTTGAAGAGCAAACTGGCCACCATGCAATTTACCCAGCATGGCCAAAACCTAATCAGACCGTGGCACTAGTCTACTCTTCCATCTGCAAACATTTCAAGTTGACAAGGTTAGCGGTTTTCCTGCAATTTTGATGACAAGAATTTATTTGTAGTCTTGAACTTTGGGAAAATTTAGATAACATTGTTTGTGACCTAATTTGATGACCTTCGACCTTGAAAATTTCACTTTTTCAGACCTAAGTAGGTCTTTTGTAATTAGCTGACCTAAATTTAAATCCAAAATATCAATTTAGAAAATCAAATTTTTTACCTTTTCAAGGCCACTGAAGGTCAACAAAAGGTCAAATCTGAAATCTAAGGTCAGATTTGAACTTCTGAGAACTTGTAGATATTTTTAAAAAAAAATTTGGTCAATTTGGAGCAAGTTGAAAAATTCAAAATGGCCGCCAAATTGAAAAATTCAAAATGGCCACCATGTAATTCAGCAGCATACCCAAAACCTAATCAGATCTTGGCAATAGTCTGTTCTTGCATCTGTAAAAATTTCAAGTTGAACGGATAAGTGGTTTTCCTGGAATTTTGATGACAAGATTTGTTGAAAAATTCAAAATGGCCACCACGTAGTTTACCCAGCATGCCCTTAACCTAATCAGATCTTGGCACTAGTCTGCTATTGCATGTGTAAAAATTTCAAGTTGAACAGGCTAGTGGTTTTCTTGGAATTTTGATGACAAGAATTAATTTGTAGTCTCAAACTTTGAGAAACTTGGATAACATCATTTGTGACCTAGTTTAATGACCTTGACTTTCGACCTTTAAAATTTCACTTTTTCAGACCTCAGTAGGTGTTTTGTAGTTAAGCTGACCTAAATTTAAATCCAAAATATCAATTCAGAAAATCAACTTTTTTGACCTCTTCAAGGTCACTGAAGGTGAATGAAAGGTCAAATCTGAAATCTAAGGTCAGATTTGAACTTCTGAGAACTTGTAGATGTTTTTAAAAAAAAATTTGGTCAATTTGGAGCAAGTTGAAAAATTCAAAATGGCCGCCAAATTAAAAAATTCAAAATGGCCACCATGTAATTCAGCCAGCATACCCAAAACCTAATCAGATCTTGGCAATAGTCTGTTCTTGCATCTGTAAAAATTTCAAGTTGAACGGATAAGTGGTTTTCCTGGAATTTTGATGACAAGATTTGTTGAAAAATTCAAAATGGCCACCACGTAGTTTACCCAGCATGCCCTTAACCTAATCAGATCTTGGCACTAGTCTGCTATTGCATGTGTAAAAATTTCAAGTTGAACAGGTTAGTGGTTTTCTTGGAATTTTGATGACAAGAATTGATTTGTAGTCTCAAACTTTGAGAAACTTGGATAACATCATTTGTGACCTAGTTTAATGACCTTGACTTTCGACCTTTAAAATTTCACTTTTTCAGACCTCAGTAGGTGTTTTGTAATTAAGCTGACCTAAATTTAAATCCAAAATATCAATTCAGAAAATCAACTTTTTTGACCTTTTCAAGGTCACTGAAGGTGAATGAAAGGTCAAATCTGAAATCTAAGGTCAGATTTGAACTTCTGAGAACTTGTAGATGTTTTTTAAAAAAAAATTTGGTCAATTTGGAGCAAGTTGAAAAATTCAAAATGGCCGCCAAATTCAAAAATTCAAAATGGCCACCATGTAATTCAGCCAGCATACCCAAATCAGATCTTGGCAATAGTCTGCTCTTGCATCTGTAAAAATTTCAAGTTGAACAGGTAAGCAGTTATCCTGGAAATTTGATGACAAGATTTAGTTTATGTCCCGCCCGCCCGCACGCCCAAACGCCCGCCCAACAGCACAAGACGACGACAATATAGCACTTTTTCAAAGTGCGATAATAATAAGTTAGTTACATGTACTAAGTTGGTTGGCAAGTTCTTTTTCATTTTGTCTTGAGTGACCCATTTGACCTAAATTTGAATCCAAATGAATTTTAATGAACTTTAAAAAAATGGCTGACCCCATATTAACCAATTGGAAATGGTTGGGTTGCCATAACTCATATGAGGAACGATCAAACCATCTGATTGCTTCAAAAATTAAAATTTTAGGAGACAATTAGATTTGCTAAATTGTCCACTAGGACAAAAATATGATTTAATTTTCCAGGTTTTACAAAGGTTAATGGTTTCAAATTCAAGAATTCTTTTAATGATCCTCTTATTGAAATTACACAGGTGGTCAAAATTACTTTAAAGCTCTGTATCGCTAATTTAAACAAGATAAGCTAGACATTTACCATGTACAGTACAATATTAAATCATTCAATTTTCTACTCAGAAAGTATTTTTAACAAATGTTTTACTGAATATATTCCAAAATTTGAGTTGCCCCTTAGCCATCATTCCCCATTTGTTTAACATGGGATCTGCCATTTTTAAATTAAATTTCATGAAATTCATCAATTTTGACATCAAATTTTAACCCATTGTAATGGAGATATAACATTGAATTTTGCAGACTTCATAGAGAATAGAATCAAGATACAGATTTATTTACTTTATCGAGTTTTCTTTCGTTCGAAGCCTAGAAAAGTTGTTCAAACAAATATGGAGCTTAACATGTAAACCTATGAGGAAAACCACTGATCCTTAACTTTTTTTGTAGAGTATACAAAATTGTGAAGAGTCAACACAATATTTTAGGATGGAAAATCCAAAATTACCACCCTAAAATTCTAGATCTTTACAGGGTATAAATATATTAGCATCCTTGAAAATTTTATTTCAAAAGGTAAATAAATACTAAAAAGGTTGGCTTAAAATATGTAATTGGCTTAAAATATGTAATTTCTAGTACACACACTTTGCAGTTTACTTCGACAATAATATACAACAGATCCATAAATAAAGTAACTAAAATGTTACAGGATCAGAATTTGTTTGAATTTAACAAAAAGGAACTAAAAGTCTATTGCATTATGTTGATATATTAATTTTTGAGAAAAACAAGTGTCAATGTTCCCTGTTCAGTTGCAAGGGTTGAATGAAGATCAACAAAATTTGTGGTAACTGGTATATATAAATTGTAGATTCTTTAACAGTAGAAGTGGTCATAAAACTATGCTACAGTCTATATACAAGTGGCGATCAATAAATTATGGATTTTTTTGTAAACACAAAACGTTTAATATCTTTAACCATTTTCAGTGGCTAAATTGTTTCTAATTTCAACTTTAGAAAAAAACAATTTATAGAAAATGAGAAAGTGCATTAATATCAATTCAAAGTAAATACCAGAAAGTGTCAGTTTAAAAAATGAATAACTTATTGATCATCCCGTGTGGGTAGCATTATCATGCAACCTATTTATATATGTACAATACTAGGAAATCTAATCTTGTCAAATAATATGTTACAACAAATGATACTTGTTCTAGCCTAATCTAATACTAGCAGCCAGGCCATTTCTGAACTCATATGGCATTTAAATAGTACAACATATACTAATGGAACTTGGACATTATCACGGGGGATAAGCAAAACGAGGGCGAAGCCACGGACTGCGACTCGCGTAATTCAAAACGAGATTACAACGCATTATAGCTGAACAATGGCGGTAAGTCCAAACTTAATTTGGAAGGCATGTTAGGATTTGGGGTAGATTATTGGTTTGGATATTCTACAGAATAGCTAGTATGTTCCAGTCGGTGATCAACATATTCATACTCCACCTGCAATGACATTCTTGGTGCTCGGCTGTCCAATAGCTTAGCATGAACACAAATGAATTCGAAATCTGCCACAAAAAATGTAATTTTGTCAATATTTGTCCCTAATATACCGATTTAAACAAAGGAATCAGAAATGACATCGAATTAATATAATTATTCATGTTCTGTTGTTACAATTACATCTTCGTGTGATATTTGGTAAGCGGAAAACGTACAATTACATAGGAAATTGGAATTTTTGATAGTCGCAGTCCATCCATCTGCCCAACGCAGTCCGCGACTCAGTGTTGCTTTATATCTGAAGCTGAACGCAATCACAGCCAAAGGTAGATAGCACAATGTGTGTACAGGTGTGGCCGAAATGGAGCAACTTTGGACAAAATTGAATATAAAGGGCTATTTTAATAGACCTACATCGTGTCTCAATCCATTCTGCAAATATATACAAGCTGTCAAATACAGCTGAAATCATGAATTTATGGTGGCTAGCAATATTGATGGACTGTTGGAAAGATCATCCAAAATTACATTAACTCACCAACTCTCCAATTATTTGATATTTTCCTGATATCTTAAATACTAGTTAATGTACCCTTCCCCAACAGCTTTTATTGCATCATCAAAAAGTTAATTGTTTCGCATTTCTACTTCTTATAAAAAGTCTCACCACTATCCAATTATCTATATATTTAACCCTATCCACAAATTGGTTTGTATTAAACATATTACGTTGTCATCTTGCGCTCGACTGTTCTGCCAAATACGCTATTGAATTGCCATATTTCTAGGTCTTAAACGATACAATAGCAATTTGGGACATTGATTCAGGTAATAGATATATGTTAATCAACGTAACTTTGAATGATAATCTGGATGCTGACTTTCTTTTCCTGAAACAATAATAGCGTAGGAATATAGTTTACACTTTCTTATTTATTTCGTGTTCGCGGCTGGACTGCGTTGCTTAGAATATCAATGGAGGCTGTGTTGCGTTGTTGAAATAGCTTTGTTTACTGGACTGCGTCCACTATGAATGCGCAGTTTGAATCTAATTTTCTCCTCATGAACACATTCTATTATCAAATCATTTTCATGAATTATACTCGGAGCCTCAACTAACCTTTAGATATCAGAAACGTGTTAAAACTCCTTTCAAGTGTATAGTAAATTAAATAATATGCACATATTTTACAGGTAAAATCAGAACTTTGCTACTGTTTTAGCTTGATCTGGACAACTGCTTATTTTCTTATTTACAGACCAACAGTAGATACAGAGTAATATTTTAGTCACCGATTAGACACTACGATAGCATTTAAAATTCCTGGATTTCTCTATTTTGTCGGAAGAAGCAGAAGGCACTGCCGGATGTCCCTCCATTTTGGCGCTGGGCTGCGGTGTAAAGTTACGCGAGTCGCAGTCCGTGGCTTCGCCCTCGTTTTGCTTATCCCCCGTGATTATGTTATCATATGAAATATAGTCAATTTTCTAATGGATTACATTAGCTGTGAATAAGAGCTCCTAATTGTTCCCAAAATTATAGTTCAAAATTACTAGGCATTTTTTAAGATTTTAGAGCTAAGGGGTTTATATTCTGTGTTGATCTTGTCCCTACAGACATTTTCAAATGTTTCTCAAACTGTCAATTTCTTCCATAACATGTCAGGTGATTTTTGTTAAAGGCGCCTTAGTGGCATTTCTATGAATTAAATATACAAGAAAATGTGCTCTCTTGTTTTTATGAGCCAATAAACTCAGAAATGCCCTGGCTTCAGATAGAGCTAAACTAAACATTTTCCTACTGGAATGTGTACCCTTTTGTGGCGTTGTTTCCTCTGATCAGACGATTCACTTCCTTCATCCTCCTCAGTGACGTATCCCTCCTCACCATCAATATCACTGATCTTCTTGCACTGAAAGTAGTTCCGGCATATCTTTAATCATGCAAACACATGACTTCTCAGTAAAACATGGAATTGATCCATTTATAATTGTTTCACTTTGTTATTTATGTAGAATTTTATTAACCATCCAGATGTTCAAATAATGACATAAATATTGAAGATAAAACCAAATGAAGCAAGTGTGCCCCAAATAAAAAATACTCAGAATAACAATAATTATTATATCATTGCTAGAATTTGTGTCATTTGATTGGCTAATTAAGTACCATGTGATCAAAAATACCAAAGCGTATTTCACAGCTCCCTTAATTTTTGAATTATAAAAGACGTATTGCCCGGCGTATTGCCCGCCCGGGAATTCTGAATCGTCCCGTTTCGTCCAGTACAGTTGTGACGTGCATTAAAATGGCAGACAGAAAAAATTTAAAAGTCTGAATTCCGATGAAAAGAACGACATATTGAGGGATGTGCATTCAAAAAATACCATTAAATCAACGGGAACGTCTTTGAACAGTTTCAAGTGTTATGTGGAAGAAAAAGATATCGAAATAGACGTTAAATCTATCGATAAAATCGTTCTGGATGGAATTTTAGAGGATTTTTTTCTTGAACTGCGAACGAAGGATGGGGAATATTACAAGAGTTACAGTCTGCAAAGTATTCGTCTTGGACTCAATAGGCACATACAAAGTGAATGTCTAGCAATGATATAATAAAACAAATATTTCATTCTATGTTCGGGCAATACCTGTTGCACTTTCAATGATTTTTGCAGCATGTATTTCCCTCGCCCTTCGGGCTGCGGGCAATACATGCTGCAAAAATCATTGAAAGATGAACAGGTATTGCCCTCCATAGAATGAAATATTTGCTTATGATTCTAGTAGATTTGTTTTTTCGATATTACATTATTTCCACATACTTTCTACAGGGGAATCCATGATGCAAATAAAGGTTTAAAATGTTCTCAAAACTATTGTGAACTGGGATGTATTTTTCCATATCCCCAAGTCCTTCGGGAATATAAAGATACTTTCTCCGAACATATTATAGATGATTTGTCAAAGAATAAGGTCTCCCAGTGCATTAGGCTATCAATAAATCTACCTTGACTAATATTTTGCACTTAAAGGCCTCTGGTGAGGGTAGGTAGGTTTCATTACTAGCTGCATCATCTGTGTATAGTTTATTTCCAAGTACTTTCCGTAAAGTCTCTGCCATGAATTGCTGTTGTTTAGAACCACAGTGATTCTCTAGACATAAGATAACTGGATACCTGGAACAGAATATTTCATCATTTACATCATTAACCAGAATTCTCAATAATTCTTGAGACAAACAATTGTCCATTGATTGTCCGATGAAAGTGTCCATTGATGAAATTATTTGATTAGTGAATGAAATAACATGCACAAAAAGAACTATTCAAAACGTAAAGTATATGGTTAATTTTTTTTTGATATTGCTTTCAAAACTACATCAAATGTCAATGTTTTTATCATTTATCTAGTCAATTTTTAGACATACATATTATACATTGGATTATAACTATGACATTAATAACAAGACTTACTGCGATGTTGCGAATGCATGTTCGTTGATTGCTTCTATTACTGTTCTAAATGGTATTTTCCCTGTTAGTGTGTGTCCATGGTATATAAGTGGGTCACCATCATCAGGCCCATCCCATACATCCACTGAAATATAATAGAGGGCACTGAGATGTATCCTGGTCTGTTCACATATAGCTCTGGGATTATTAAGTTAAAAACATGGTAATTGCCCCACTGTTAAGAGTGGAACATCAAAGATGAAGTCATCGCAACTTGAGACATTTTAGGGCTGTGTGTTAGGTCTGTCTGACCTTTAGATATTTTCTAATTAAAACCTGTCTAATCCGAACACCATGCAAACAAGCCAAAAGTGTTCAAATTAACAGGTGTTCACTTTTCAAGATTTTTTAATACGTGAGTCAATGTGAGCTTAAAAAATTGGGACCGAAAAACTGTTCACACTGAGAGGTGTTCGGATAAGAGAGGTGTTCGGATTAGAGAGGTGTTCGGATTAGAGAGGTGTTTGGATAAAACAGTTTCACAATACTTACACTCTATACATCTGCATCCTTTCCTGAGTGCCCGGATATAAGCCTCCACACTGGACGGGCCTTTAAGCTGATCTTCCATGAGGTATCTATAACAGTTATTCTAATATGATATGTGATGGCACAATAACAATTGACACTGGACGGGCCTTTAAGCTGATCTTCCATGAGGTATCTATAACAGTTATTATAATATGATATGTGATGACACAATAACAATTGACACTGGACGGGCCTTTAAGCTGATCTTCCATGAGGTATCTATAGCAGTTATTATAATATGATATGTGATGGCACAATAACAATTGACACTGGATGGGCCTTTAAGCTGATCTTCCATGAGGTATCTATAACAGTTATTCTAATATGATATGTGATGGCACAATAACAATTGACACTGGACGGGCCTTTAAGCTGATCTTCCATGAGGTATCTATAACAGTTATTATAATATGATATGTGATGACACAATAACAATTGACACTGGACGGGCCTTTAAGCTGATCTTCCATGAGGTATCTATAACAGTTATTCTAATATGATATGTGATGACACAATAACAATTGACACTGGACGGGCCTTTAAGCTGATCTTCCATGAGGTATCTATAACAGTTATTCTAATATGATATGTGATGACACAATAACAATTGACACTGGACGGGCCTTTAAGCTGATCTTCCATGAGGTATCTATAACAGTTATTCTAATATGATATGTGATGACACAATAACAATTGACACTGGACGGGCCTTTAAGCTGATCTTCCATGAGGTATCTATAACAGTTATTCTAATATGATATGTGATGACACAATAACAATTGACACTGGACGGGCCTTTAAGCTGATCTTCCATGAGGTATCTATAGCAGTTATTATAATATGATATGTGATGACACAATAACAATTGACACTGGACGGGCCTTTAAGCTGATCTTCCATGAGGTATCTATAGCAGTTATTATAATATGATATGTGATGACACAATAACAATTGACACTGGACGGGCCTTTAAGCTGATCTTCCATGAGGTATCTATAACAGTTATTATAATATGATATGTGATGGCACAATAACAATTGACACTGGACGGGCCTTTAAGCTGATCTTCCATGAGGTATCTATAGCAGTTATTATAATATGATATGTGATGACACAATAACAATTGACACTGAACGGGCCTTTAAGCTGATCTTCCATGAGGTATCTATAACAGTTATTATAATATGATATGTGATGGCACAATAACAATTGACACTGGACGGGCCTTTAAGCTGATCTTCCATGAGGTATCTATAGCAGTTATTATAATATGATATGTGATGACACAATAACAATTGACACTGGACGGGCCTTTAAGCTGATCTTCCATGAGGTATCTATAGCAGTTATTATAATATGATATGTGATGACACAATAACAATTGACACTGGACGGGCCTTTAAGCTGATCTTCCATGAGGTATCTATAGCAGTTATTATAATATGATATGTGATGACACAATAACAATTGACACTGGACGGGCCTTTAAGCTGATCTTCCATGAGGTATCTATAACAGTTATTATAATATGATATGTGATGGCACAATAACAATTGACACTGGACGGGCCTTTAAGCTGATCTTCCATGAGGTATCTATAGCAGTTATTATAATATGATATGTGATGACACAATAACAATTGACACTGGACGGGCCTTTAAGCTGATCTTCCATGAGGTATCTATAACAGTTATTATAATATGATATGTGATGGCACAATAACAATTGACACTGGACGGGCCTTTAAGCTGATCTTCCATGAGGTATCTATAACAGTTATTCTAATATGATATGTGATGGCACAATAACAATTGACACTGGACGGGCCTTTAAGCCGATCTTCCATGAGGCATCTATAACAGTTATTATAATATGATATGTGATGACACAATAACAATTGACACTGGACGGGCCTTTAAGCTGATCTTCCATGAGGTATCTATAACAGTTATTATAATATGATATGTGATGGCACAATAACAATTGACACTGGACGGGCCTTTAAGCTGATCTTCCATGAGGTATCTATAGCAGTTATTATAATATGATATGTGATGACACAATAACAATTGACACTGAACGGGCCTTTAAGCTGATCTTCCATGAGGTATCTATAACAGTTATTATAATATGATATGTGATGGCACAATAACAATTGACACTGGACGGGCCTTTAAGCTGATCTTCCATGAGGTATCTATAACAGTTATTATAATATGATATGTGATGGCACAATAACAATTGACACTGGACGGGCCTTTAAGCTGATCTTCCATGAGGTATCTATAGCAGTTATTATAATATGATATGTGATGACACAATAACAATTGACACTGGACGGGCCTTTAAGCTGATCTTCCATGAGGTATCTATAACAGTTATTATAATATGATATGTGATGGCACAATAACAATTGATTTACTGGTCTATAACTGGGTAAGTATATATGACCACTTTTCATGAATGCAGATAGTTGTTTTTCTGGTTTGTTTATCATATTAGAATCATAACAAAGACCTTGATTCTGTAATTTATGGCAAATATATGACCTTAGATTTTATTCTGTCCATGCCAAAGACCTCAATTGCTCTGCAAGGAAAAAAATCATCAGTCTTATATTGCACCATAAATGACAAAATCGTCGTCTTTAAATTTAACACAACAATATACACATTAAGCTATTATGCTAATGCTTACAAAACTGTTGTACTTACGTATTGTGTGAGGAGGCGATGAAGTAATGGGAGAGAGGTTGAGTCATGTCTTGTGTCACAGACCTGTGGATTGGGTCAAATATATCACATTCGTTGCTCAATAAATAGCTGGTAAATGCTGGAAGTAGAAATACATACATGTTTAATGGTCAACAGTTATCCTGCTAGGTCAATAACTAGATTTGGCAATGTCAAGTTACATTTTGAAATCGAAAATTCAATAAAGTAAAATGTTACTCAATAAAAGGTTACGGTTATTTCATCGTATTACAGGCAAAATGATATCTCATCAACACTCTTTCGGAAAATTGTTAGAATTTTAGAATATTTTTGGAATTTATATTGTTGCGATCATTTTTGGTGATGTGGATAATCCAATATGAAACAAGAAATTTTATACAAATCTAAGTTCTGTATATATCAGTTGTCTATACGTTATTAATATAAAAAATAGGACTAATGTCTATTATGATTGAATCCGCTCATTCATCAGAGCATCCAGCAAAAATGTCTATTACTTTCCCTCCAGTTGGAATTCTCTCTTTAATAACTAAATTTATCCTGTGTCACTGAACCTGTAAATTTCAACCCGGAACAAGGCAATTACTTGATCAATTCAATAAATTATCAATGTAAATATGATAATTGTTTGTTATGGTTGTTATGGTGATTTATATGAGAGCAGGGTGACCAAACTAACTTTACAAATGAGGAAGAACCATAGAGCTGTCAGTAAAATGACACGCCGATCGTGACATGAATTGCAAAATATCAAGAAAATGGATAAAGTTGCGATGAATAAATAATAAAGTATGAAGCCATTGCTCTAATTTATACAGAAATGTCAGACGACCATGTCTTTATTCAAAATTTAGTGAGATTCAAAGTGTCGAAGAATAACTATGGTGATTTTTTAGGCCTGGGTTAAAGCTACCATGAAGATGCGTAATCATCTTCCTGGGACTCCTTAAGCTGATGAAAGAATATAATTACACATAAGAGAGTGATAGAAGTAAATTGTTTATCTCAACCTCTTCCCGAATTCTCTCAGATCTTGTCCTTTGCTTGCTGTTTCTCTCTAAAATTTGAAAGAAGTGCATGATGTTCTTGTATTTCTGTGCAATTTAGAGTATTAACTTTGTGTCGGTTTACTTTATTCCTTGCTGATTTCACTGTCTTTTACTTGAAGTTCAATTCCACATGACTACCCTCTTAATGTTTTTCACATCCGCAGTAAAGAGAAGCTCCACAAGTGGTTTGATTTTATAACAACCTCATGACATAATGATATAATGAATTAATATAGGAGTCTATTGGGACTAAAACAATGAAATTGGTTGCCTGAGATGAGATTCATCCAAGAATTCTCAACATTCCCCTCATTGTACATTCATATTAGGGATGGAGTCCATGTATCAAGAATTTGGTAAAATGAGTTATTTTACAGTAAAACCTGTATATCTGAACACCTGTCTGAATCTTGGTCCCAAATTTGTTATCTCCCATTGAGTACACATGTTTATAACACCTTGAAATGTGAACACCTGCTAATTCAAACACTTTGGCTTGTCCAAGAGGTGTTTGAATTAGATAGGTTTTATTGTATTTATATTGATGGTGTACACTCAACCTCCTTGAACAAATGTTTGAAATGTTTCCTTTTTCAAATATTTTCAACCAAAAATCAATATATGACACTTATGACAAAATTATCCTTTATGGCCTAGTCACATAGCCCGGCCGATGAGGTTACGATGAGCAAGCGATGCAATTTTCACCGAACTCGGCCGAACACCGGCCGGACACCGGCCGGACATCCGTGGCGTTTGTTGCTTAAAACCGCATCGGTGGTAGCTCGGTGAAATTTTAACTTCGGAGTTAAATTTCACCGGGCTCTCACCGAGCTCCCTCATCATGTCATCGCAGCCCCATCGTAACCACATCGGAAAACACGTCGGCCGGTGCACGGCCGAGTATCGGCCGGTGTCCCGTGCATCTGAGACAACCAGAGGACGAGGTTTTTTAACGGACAGCGGCCGAGCTCCGACCGAGCTCGGAGGTCGATGTGGGACAGAGCATCGGCCGGTCACTGTTCAAAGCCCGTTAACAACCCGGCCGGCGATCGCACGGTGTCCTGTTACCTGCTCGGGTACCGGCCGTATTCCTTCCGATGTCCGGCCGACCTCCGGCCGGTAGTTGCTGCCACATCGGCAGAAAAAAACTATCATTTTGAGACAGACTCCGTACGGTCACCGGCCGGTGTTCGGTCGGTCGCCTGAAGATGTCCGGACGGAGTCCGTTCACGTCACCGAGCTCTGCTTCCGATGAGGAGAGCTCGGTGGCACCAACAAAATCCACCGAGCTCTACCGATGCCGGACATCGGCCGGGCTATGTGACTAGGCCATTACTCCCCCCCCCCTGATGAAATTAATTTTGTAAAACCACAACTGTTGACATTTAAACATCATCCCTTAAGAACTGGCCTTTGAGATATTAATCAATTCTTCTTTAAAGAGTTAAGATTTCCATACAATTATCCGGCATTTATAAGTTACGCCAAGTGATATTTCACTGTCAACAGAGACCTATTTACCAGAATGAGAAGCCAATAACCTTATTACTTTATGAAAATTTATTAAAAAGTCACTGTAACATTCCGTTATCCCAGAGAGTAAATTCTGATCAGCTCACACTTTTCTAAATATCATAATTTCAGTAAAGAACAAAATTTATGTGTAGGTCATACCAGGTCCTAAATAAAGTATCACTCACCCCCCCCCCCCCCATCACATAAATCATATCAATATGTGACATGCAAAACAAAAAACTGTCACAATATGATGTTTTCTTAGTGGAATTGCGATTCTATTATCCAGTCATAACAGCTCAGAGGTATTATTACAAATAATTTGCTAATGTACATCCATGTCAAAAAACGAATGACAAGAAAGTCAAAAGTATATTCAACTCCATAATTATAATAATGATATCCCTATCAAAGAACTGCTTGGAGCTTGTTATTCAAAAACACTTTCAACTATAATTCATAAAACCTGTCCTAAGGATTTAAGTATGGCAAAAGACTAGTGAATTTCATAAGGAATCATAAATCTATGTTTTCCAGAAAAAAGAACCTGGTATGGACTCGGAGGGTAATAAGCTGTTTATCTAAGTTAAGCTTGATATTTATGCCACTGATGCTACAGTCCTAGTGTTTTCTTATAAAGAAATCTGCTTAGTCGCGTCTTGAAATCTCTTACAAATTATATGTCATTATTGATCTAGCTAGTGTTTTGATAACAATAACTTGTGGTATGTTTTTATCAGAGAGCATTGAGATCTAACTTAAAGCCTGACCTTTCAGTAAAACGCAATATTTGGATGTATTCTTATTTTTATAAATTCTACAACTGACAAGATTATGAATGCATATATATTAAAATGACATTGTTAATATTGGTATTTCCAGTGCAGAATCAAAGCACAAAAAAATTTCATACGGCTCTAATTTACAAGTCACGTGATATTCTTAGGCGATGATTTTTCAAGAAATCGGATGGCCAGCGAACCTCGAAGCAATCAAAGGAACAATCGTGATGATGACACCTTTTGTACAAAATCTTTGCCCCAATTGTTCATCAGCGTATGTCCTCTCATTTTAGCTCAAAATATCACTAGGGACATCGGAACAACCCACGATTGCTTTTTATCGAGAGGTCATGGTTTAAGCATCAAAGCCAAGGAGGGTATGTCTAAATAACATATGTCTGATATTATTTTTTATCATGTAACAGCCACAAGTGATGACGTATTGTTATAGTCTAAAACTTTTTTATGTTGGCGGTTGGTGTTTGGTATTCAATGGTAGGTGTTCGGCATCTGTAACAAATGATACATGGTGACTTTTTCCGTGTTAATGCCTCGTTAAATCTGGGTAAGGGGAAAAGTCAGGATAAAAGATGTTTTGAAAGAATAAAGAAATTAAACTGCGTATAATGTTCCTTATGTACGATTAGGTGAGACTACACGTTTCTTGTTTATACGCAAGTGCAGAAAGTGGAATAAGCCCCTGGTAGCATCATATCCCACAAGAAAAATGAGAGTTCTAAATGTCAAGACATTAAGAAATGTCAACTAAAGAAAATTGATAGTGTGAATTTTCTCATAACGAAATAAAATCATTGCATATTTCTTCATATGAAACACTTGTGAGTATTTATTAAAAGTACTAAAAGAAAACAAAATGACACGAATAATTTCATCACAGGATGTCAATGTCGAAAAATAAGGTGATGGGGCGTGTCATTTTACGATGAAATATTGATTACAGTAGCAATTACAGCCATAACACGACTTCCATTAAGGTGGCTATTAGGAGAGTAAGAACCATACCTATATTTAGCTATAAGTTCCTAGAATTCTGACTGCTTTGATTAATTTGTCATTTTAAGAAATTACAGAGTTTTTTAATTGCAAAACTTCAGTTTGAATCAGTAATAAGTCTAATACAATTCAATCAGTTAAACCCAATCTGTTGTCAAACGAAAGATTACAAAGTCCATAAGCGTCCTAAAAACATCTACATCAGAATGCTGTGTCTTGTTTCATAAAATCTATTGATCTATAAAAGACGATGAATGATCTACTACAGACAAACTCTGCCTTTGAGGACACAAACAGACACCATTAAAGCCCAATTTCCATACAAACAACTCTCTCTAATTGCCTTACCGCATAATTCGCCAATTTGTGAAAGTGAAAGAAGACCAAGACAGATCCATTTGCGCCCAAAGGAATATATTTTGACCATTAAAGACCAACAGCAGTCCCATAGCAGCAAAAATATGATACGTCATGAAGTTTTAATGTGACTTCAACACTGGCATATGTATTTTATTGTCACTTGTGTCCATATCTATGATTTGGTAGGCCATTGGAGCTAGAGGCTTTGAAATTCATTTGATGTGACCAGTCAAGACGTTAGGGAACTTGTATGTGATAAGAATGGCCAGAAAGAATCTATAATGGTTCATAAAACCATTAAACACTATTTGATTTGATGAACTCAATTATAAGGGAAAATCAAAACAATTTTAAGCTACGGTCATAATCAAGTAAATTAAATTGATAGGGTAATGCTTGCCAAATTATGGCAGTTACCAAAATACAACACAAAACCTTCGCCTTGAGTTTCTGGCACCCCACCCCATCTCATTTGAGGTGAGGTTTTTATATAGAGACTCTCAATGGCATGAATTTAATGGATCTTTAACCCAAAGGGCAAAATGAAAGCTTTATAAGCCTGGCTTTTGAAACTTCAAAGTAAAGGATTTTGTAAGTTAAATCTATAACCCAAAGTTAAATTAGTTATGTCATCCCTAAAGTTGCTTCACCAGAAAATTAAAGATTCGCAGTAAAAGATATAGCTAGATTCCCTCATCAAAAGTCAGTGTGATTTATGAGGCATATTTATTATAGCAATAACTTTCATATTTCATGTTCAGTCATTTCTCATTTTCATTTGTTGAAGTGCATTTAACCTAGGGATATTCTATCCAAAGACTGATATTTCTGGTAAGAAACATTAGTCATAAGAAATATAAATGGCTGCCATATTATCAAAATAAATGAAAAATAAGCATAAATAAATGTATTTTTAAAAGCATAACAGTATTGCAATTTTATAGATTCTAACAAAAATACTGCAAAATGAGACTAAAATGTATGCCATTAAGCATTTAAACACATTTTTAAAAGTACTTCCATTCCCATAGGACTCATAAAAGCTATGACCAAAATCAACATGCCAATATTTGAGTATCATCAAGTGAGATGAATGTATGCATGAATGCAAGTATGTAATGAGGCATGATTTATATCCCGTTGTTTCAATTCACATACCAGCGCAATAAACGTTAGTCGGACCATGGCCAACAACAATCAATGATGGACGTTTATACATCATCAAAAAAATTCGTGAAAACCCAGCTCAATTTCAGAACTGTCATCTTCCATCCCTGATTAATGAGCATGAATTATAAAGGGGCTAATATCCTAGATGCAGCACATGCAGCTGAATCAAGGAATAATAATCCACTGGGGTTTCTAATGTTGCTGTTAACAGACTTGTTGACCTTATACTATCTTAACTCATTAATTTTTTGATCCTCTGAAGATTTGATCAAAGGAGAAGTAAATAATTTCCGATTCCTTGTAGTATTTCACTTGGAATGTAGGGATCATAGGATCAGTGATAGGACCGGGGAGAAAATATAGATAGAAGAATGTGTCATGAGGGAGCATATCAGACTATGAATTTAAGAGACCAATCTTGGGAATCATACCACCTTTTCGTTATGATGTCATAATGGGTTATGAGGGAGCATATCAAACTTTGAATCTAGAACAGACCAATCTTGGGAATCATACCACCTTTTCCTTATGATGTCATAATGGGTCATGAGGGAGCATATCAAACTTTGAATCTGATAGACCAATCTTGGGAATCATACCACCTTTTCGTTATGATGTCATAATGGGTCATGAGGGAGCATATCAAACTTTGATTCTAATAGACCGATCTTGGGAATCATACCTTTTCGTTATGATGTCATAATGGGTCATGATGGAGCATATCAAACTTTGAATCTAATAGACCGATCTTGGGAATCATATCTTTTCGTTATGATGTCATAATGGGTCATGAGGGAGCATATCAAACTTTGAATCTAATAGACCAATCTTGGGAATCATACCACCTTTTCGTTATGATGTCATAATGGGTCATGAGGGAGCATATCAAACTTTGAATCTAATAAACCAATCTTGGGAATCATACCACCTTTTCGTTATGATGTCATAATGGGTCATGAGGGAGCATATCAAACTTTGAATCTAATAGACCAATCTTGGGAATCATACCACCTTTTCGTTATGATGTCATAATAGGCCATGAGGGAGCATATCAAACTTTGAATCTAATAGACCAATCTTGGGAATCATACCACCTTTTCCTTATGATGTCATAATGGGTCATGAGGGAGCATATCAAACTTTAAATCTAATAGACCGATCTTGGGAATCATACCTTTTCATTATGATGTCATAATGGGTCATGAGGGAGCATATCAAACTTTGAATCTAATAGACCGATCTTGGGAATCATATTTTTTCATTACTCATTTCTATTGATTCTACTTCTTTTGTTGTTGCCTTGTAAATTAGGCCATAGTCCCAAATAGATTTCCCGATGTTTGCAAAAAAACATTACTTACATTCACACAAAGTTCACTTTGTATACCTTTAAATAAACTTAACTTTTCTCCTAGTAAGTAGTGACACATTGACACATAGTAAGTAGTGACATATTGACACTACTAAAAGTGGACTCACCATCAATTCCCAGATAGCCATTTTGTTTGCCTTCGGTTGAGGGTTCATATTTTTGGATTATTTCTAAGCATTTTTCTTTTGTTACTCTTGTCATCTGGAAATAAGAAGAATCTTTCAATAAGCAAAATTTAGCATTATATTGAACAGATCAAATATATATTGCATTACCAATGTTCTACAGCCTTGTAATTGCCACATTTATAGAATTTACATAAATCTATAGAATTTACTTTTGAAATCTATAAATTAATTTATCCATGCTTGTATGGATCCATGTTTCGGAATAAACTATCAATTAATAAACAAGAAACTCTCAAGATACTAAAACCATGATTTTGAACTTAGGCGTCATACAGGGGGACCAAAATGCAACCTATGAACAGAAAAGTGTGGTTACCCTGTATCATAATTGTTTACAATAAGTTAGTTCAATTCAATTCAAGTTACCCCTTGCTCTGCCTCCAGGAATAAATGTAAGTCTTCCACTGACATCATATCTGCACTACTAGAGTACCTGAAACATATAATTAAATCACAGGGTGACCCGAAAATACAAAACACAAAACTGTCGACGGATATGTTATTTATATGACATGAATATTTAGTCAATAAAATAGGATGACCAAAAAATACAGAACGCATATCTTTTATTAACAGTTTTTTGGCTCACCCTATATATAGAACAGTTCATAATTAAAGGCTAACTTGGATATAACAAACAACAAACAATCTTTACAAAAAATGCCAATTAAGAAAATTTTTGGCTTGTATCATTCAGTATCATTATATTCTTGAAATCCTCAAAGTCCATTATTAATTTGTAGAAAACTAAAAAATGCTACATTTATATGTTCATTTTTCTATAAATGTGGAGATCCAGTTATCCACATTTTTGAGAGAATTTACCTATTTTTGTTAATGATCAAATTTTTTTTTTTCATCAAGAGATTTTATTGCCATTAATCATTAAAAGTACATATCATACATGAGGGACCCAGTCGCCAGTGGCATTATAGGTATTGAGGATCAAATGACTCGACTATTTGATAATATATCACAGATCTTTTGGGAGATAATATACAGGGGCGGATCCAGGAACCAACAAGGGGGGGGCCCAAAATTCAGGTCAGAGAAAAAAACGTCCGCGCTTGCGCAGTAAAAAATTTTGGGCCCATTTTCTTCAAAATTTGGCCTGAAATTAAAAAATAAGGCCTTAAAAGGCCCAGTAATGACCAAAAAGGCCGACTTTTTGGGGCCTGAAGGCCTTGTTTGGCCCAAAAAAAATTTTGGGCCCAATTTTTTTTTTCTGGGCCCACCCAAGGGGGGGGGGGCCCGGGCCCCCAGGCCCCCCCCCCTAATCCGCCAGTGATATATATCAACATTTGTAAGCCAATTATACATCTTGTTTGCAATTCCCCCCCCTATGTTTCTGATTCTGCCTACAACGTCTCATATTGAAAATCGAGCTGGTAACCCTACTATCACACCAAACTAGTTCTCACTACGTTCTCGAAAAAGGGCTTTAACTGTGCACGAACGGATTTGACGTACTAAGAACCAACTAAGAACCGTTTGGGATCTGTTTACAAACTTCATAAAACTACTAGAACGAGTAGGTCCTCCAGCACTTAGAGCATGCTCAAAATTTTCTGGTGATCGTCAAAATGTTGCCGAATCGGTTTTAAACTGTGTGCGAACTGAATGAACGTAGCTACAACGTTCTCGGTCTGTTTACGAACTTCATGGACTTTCCCGGACGGGGTATGTGATTTAGAATTTTGAATCGATTCAAAATTCGATGCCGACCATACCGTTCTGTAATCAGGTCATGATCACCTTCTAGACTAAGGGACGGTTTATACTACGTTGCACACCGACGTGGTGCGACCTGAACAACTGCGAATGAGATGGACGTATTGAAGACTGTTTATGAACGAAGTAGCTAATTATTTTAGACATATATCCCGACCGCAGCCAGATTGAGCCCGTTTTACGACATTTTCGTAGGACTGGCAAGAACGGGTAAGAACTAGTTTGGTGTGATAGGGGGGTAGCCAAGTATATTGATATTTTTGATGCAGATCTATGAAATGATTATCCCTAAATCTATAGTTGCCCATAAGTATAAACTGATTTATTATGCACCTCATTAAAATACTCAAATCTGATTGGTTCTTAGTTGCTTGTAATTTGGCAATACTCTGCTCTTTTCTGAAAACTGCCGGATATTTTTTTAATATCTGACCCTTTCGAGAAAAAGGGTCGGATATTTTTTTCAATGTTTTTGCATTCCCACTTCAGAGTTTTATTTCTTAATAACTGGAGTACTACTTAAAGCTTACATCTGAAACTGGCGGAAAATAGAAGAAAAAATGTACTTAATCAATCACAATTACCCGTATCATTCAAAAGTTACATATAATTCTGCAAGAACGTCTCGAATAAATGAGTTTTGAAAGAAAAAATAAATAAATGTCAAAATAATGTCAACTAAACGACAGTTTAAGCCTGTACTCCAGTAAGTACTCCACTCCTCGAAAAAATATTGGACTCGGCTGCCGCCTCGCCCAATATTTTTTCTCGAATAGGTATTCTGCCATATCCAGCTCCTGATCATCCAGTATTTGTTTATTATTGTGCATGTTTCCAAAATCAAATTCCATTCAATAGTTGGGGTTTTGGCTTTTTATTAGGGATATCTCATGGGTTGGAGTATTTGAAATCATAGCTCTGTTTTGTTAATTAGCATACAGGACTAACATTCTTTCTTCCGTGATATTTTTCTTTTTCTAAAATTGCCTATCACATTTTCCGACTATAATCCAAATATTTATTATTTCAGTTAAGTCATTCTGGATTAAGCCATAAACTTCTTCTAGGCCATCCCATAACTTCTGATTCCAGCTCTATATCTTATTAGCCAATATAATGAGGATGCATTGGAGAGGCCATATAACTTTATCTTATTGCGAGTTTATATGAATTCCAATAAGAGAAACTGATAGAAGCAGAATAACTGAGTAATTACTCAGGATCTATATGAGTTTTAATCCGAGTGCCTGGTGCTTAGTCAGAAAACACTTTCTCAAATCGGGATACTTCCATGCATGAGGGCTCGTTTATTAGAATCTTATTGGCTCTGATAACAAGGAACAGTGGTACTTATGGCCAATCGTGACCACTTAGGACTCTTTGTTTCTTGGAATCAATTTCCTTGAATAATGGAATAGGCCTTTGAATGGGTTTTATGACATTGGAGACTTTAACCCTGAGACAGCAAGACAAACAGAGATTCCACCCAGCAGTGAATTCTATTTAAGACATGTTTCTTCAAATCGCAAACATATTTTGACATGTTTCTTCAGATCGTGCCTCATTTTGACATGTCTCTTCAGATCACGCCTCATTTCAACATGTTTCTTCAGATCGTGTCTCGTGCAGAGTCTAGTTAAACTACACTCTGCCAAGTAGAGACCATATTACAATTTAGTAGCCCCGCCCCCACGACGGGTACCCATGTCAGTTTGGGTAATAAATCACTTTTGACCTATGCGCTGACCTTTCTTCCACCAATCAGCGAGCTGGAAGAAACATACGCCAAATGCGTTCTAATTAAATATGCACACATCATTGGTCAATTCCGGGTTCAACGATGATGTCAGAAGGAATGACCATATATAGAATGTCGGTCAAATTTGGCCGACGAACACTGATTGGCGTGGTGAGTTCACAGGTTTATATTAGTTTGAAAGAGTGAAGACAAAGCTCATGACATGTTTCTTCAGATCTTGCCTCATTTTGACATGTTGCTTCAAATAGTGCCTCATTTTGATCAATTTTAATTGAAATGCTAGAAATAACCAGTGGTAGAGTCTATTTTGTCAAACACGAATTAGTGAAATTCATTTTATTGCCAAAAACATTGCCAAAAGATTGTGGCTATTCTGAATTAAGATGCCATTTTATCCCCGGCAGTATAGTAAACATTTTAAATTAATCACATTGTTGAAGGTGCATTCAACTTTATTGTAACAAACAATATCAGACAATGGCAGCCATTTTGAATTTTTTCACAAGCAGTGGTCTTATATACCTGCAAGTCATCAGCATAAAATTTGTGTAATCTCTGGTGGAATCAAAAAGCTTTTGCTGTTCAGTGCAAAAATTGATAGAGGCTTTTCAATGATACCAAAGCATATAGTATACATCAATGGATCTTTGGTTTCAATTCTTTTTATTTGATAACTAATTCAAATATTAAACAAGGCATTAACATGACAAAATGTCACCATATGCAAATGGTTACAAAAATGTTATAGCTAAATATGTCGATGCCACCTACGCCGACTGCCAGTCATGGTGACTAAAGCATTATGGCACCGCCAAGAAATAAAATTTATTTGAATATTAAGGTCTGTAATATTCTCTGCAACTTTTTTCTAAAAAAAATTTTGGACAAGGTTAAATAACATGATTGTTGGTCTAGCTCAGACTGACTTGTGCATGAAGAACTCAATGCAAAATATTGCCCTTAGGAAGGCAATGCAATGTCAAATTGCAAAAAAAAAGAAGCAATGTATTAACATGACAAAAATGACATCAAATCCCGATAGCTACAAAAGAAGTAGCTCTATCAAAATGTCTCTTGGTGATGACATTAAACAAGTGCTAAAACATACACATTTCAAACCTCATTTCAATAAATGTATGAACAACACCCATGAACAGAACAGAAAACATTTCCATGATAATGATTAACCGCTCATCCGGAACATCTCAAGTAAATGACATATTGACAAATTAGCAAACATTTGTTGTTTTTAGCTCTGACATGAATCGACAGTGTTAAAGATAACAGTAAATATAATGATTTTCTTTAAACAGCTTCAAGTGTCAGAAGGCTTGAATCAATGTTGCTAATGCAAATACTAAACTTTACGAGACAGGGCTTATCTTCATTGAATCTTAATAAAGATGGCCTTTTGAAACTCTTAATTTCAACACTAGATTCTAACATGGACTTTCAATCTCTTAAAAGCCCATGATTCTGACAACAAAAGAATGTTTGTTTGTTTTTATTTGTAGCAAAACTCAAGAGTGATAAATATTGCATTTGAAGAAAATATGGCTGCTATATAAATTATTCAGCATGCCAAAAACATTTCCATATCTTGGCAAATAATTCAAATTAAACAGATGAACAGTTTATTATCTTATCTTATTTAATATCTTATCTAGTTTCTCTTGATATCTTATAGCAATTTTCAAGACTGACAAAAATAAAAAAAAATGCAAAATCTTACCGAACAAGCAGGAAATATATTTCAGGCCTGGTACACATCTCTTTAAATAAATTAATAAATTCTTCACTGCTAAGCCGTCCTCTTTTTTTATCAGGGGTCATCGACAGCTCCTAAAAATAAAGTATACTTTTTAATAGTCCCACATGTACTGTATCCCGACTGTCATTCATGAAGTGCTATGTTTGGCATTTTAGGTTTTGCTTTTCTTTGAGCAGACCTGATCGACAGCTCCTAAAAAGAAAAAGATATACTTTCGCATAGTCCAATATACTGTATCAGACTGTCATTCATGAAGTGCTATAATGTTTGGCATTTTAGGGTTTGCTTTTCTTTGAGCAGGCCATCGACAGCTCCAAAAAAGAAAAAAGATATACTTTCGCATAGTCCAATATACTGTATCAGACTGTCATTCATGAAGTGCTATAATGTTTGACATTTTAGGTTTTGCTTTTCTATGAGCATGTGTAGTGTTCTCTAATGCATATACAAATATTTGAAGAAATTTTAATCGCTTACAGGTATGTATTTTATACAAGATGAGAGCGTTAAAATGTCTCCAGAGACAGTTTATACATATTGGCTTTATTAATTTGAGACACAGGAGTTAATAAATGGTATCTTTTTATTAATAAGAAATTCCTCTAAATATAGCACATGTTCTTCCTGGACATGCCTTGAGGTAATTCGAAGCGAAGCTAATGATATCAGAACATGCTATCTTAAAAAGGTTTTTACTCAGGATAACACGAAAGCCCCCTAATATAAGCATATACTGTTAATAAAGTACAAATTCATATTTGAATACAGAGTACCTGGATGGAAAGTAAGACCATACCTCACAAAAAACAATTCACCACTTTTCAAACATCATGCTATCAATGGAATGTATGGAAGATTCATACAGGTTTGATTTGATTTCTGTTTCTATTTCATTTTATTTTATTCTGTTCTGTACTGTTCTGCGTAGCTCTATTAGTATAAAAGTGGTATTCTCGGACACCAAGTGTTAATACCTGTTTCGCAGAATTTTTTAAAGATTCTTTTAACAATTCTAATAATTACCAAGGAGTGAAATAAATTTAAAATAAAAATAAAAAATGCTTTTTTGTCAAAATGGTTGTGTATTAATACTTCAAAAAGCTTAGGGCAAATAGGTAGTTTGTACGATGATCTTTTGTTGAATACCTAATAAGTGAGATGGCATGAGAATAAAGAGATTCTGTTATATCTGTAGTATATACTAAAACTTCTGAGGCTATAATTTTCCAAGAAAAGCTTTCAGTAAATATTCTTAATTTAGTTTCCAAGAAAAACTGTTTTATTGATTTTTGAAAGGAATGTTAAGGATAGTGTCCAATTATCTCCAGTTGTAGAATGATGATATCAATTTCTTTATAAAGGAGGTGACTGATGATTCCATTGGCACATTTTTTGAAAAATTAAAAGAAAAGGCAAATCAAGGTTTTTATATTTAATCTATAGGAAATGGAAGGGTAAGAACAAAATGAAATTAAGTTCCACAACATTTGAGAGTCCATCCCTTTCATCAGTAAATAAGAAGAGGACAGTCTTTATTGTCAAACTCCTTTTCCAGTTCATTTACTGTAATGTATTCTCTTTAAGAAATGCTTAGTGTTGCAAAAATCTACATTGACATATGTGTGTCTTCAAGAGCAGGCCCATAGCCAGAGATGGGGTTCGGGACCTCCCCCAGCCAAAATTCTTTCAAAATCATGCAGTTTTTCACCATTCTGAGTACTTTTCAGAGCAAAAGCTGTCATGTGTGAACCCTCCCTGGAATATTTTGAAAAGTGAACCCCCCTTGGCTTTAGCTGGCTATAGGTCTGAAGAGGGAATATTGTATGCATATTTGTGATCAATGGTAGACATGTTTTTGCCAACCATTAGAAAAACAGAGAAAGAAACAATTCATATATTTTTCAAAATAGAAATTATGAATCACACTAAACTTTTTTGACGATGCAAAAGCCATACACGTTCTTCTGATTGAAATACTAAATTCTAATTTTTGAAGAATGTATTTCCAGAATCAATAAAGGGTCAGAGAATTAAATTACAGGATGGTTCCAAATGTTTCCATTAACCAATCTGAATCTATATAATTCTGAATAAGACTCTTAATCACCAAAAATTGAATTAAATTGAGAGTCATCCCACAATACGACAGCACCCTTCACAATTGGGATTTAGCTTCACTGCTAAGGATAAAGTGAAGTACCATTGAACTAAGGATGTATTATAGAGCTATTTCGGGATTTGGTCAAAAAGTGAATTTGTTAAAAGTGACCAGAATGTTTTGATTGATTATATGAATGATCAATCAAACAGAGCGCAGGGGAAAAAATTCTGCCTAATCTATCAAAAGACATAATTGTGTATGTTCAGAGATGGCAAAGAAAGTTTGGTGCTTTAATAGCGAGAGTCTTGAAACTTGTACTTGACTGACAGCTCTATAGATTTCTACAAATATTTACAAGGCAAAGTTGATGAGCAAATTGTAATGATTCTGTCGATATAAAAAAGAAACTCTACGTCAAAATGATTAATTGAAACTTTAGACTTAACAATGGTAATTGTTTTTCAATATTTCACCTAGAAATCTTCTGATGGTTTTATATGGTCTTCGTCTTATCATACTCTTGTTTCCTGAAGATAATCAAAATAAGTGAAACACAAATGATCATAAAATGCATCGGTAAGCAATAAAAGATCTAACCTTCAATCCAAATAGTATGGAAAAACCTAGATTGTATAAGACTCTTCTACACATGTATATTTGTAATAAATAATGTTAATGATAAATGGTGGAGCAGCCAGAAAATTATTAAATTCATTCTGCCCCAAGAGTACAAGTGGAACAAAATGTGCCATAAAACAATGGATTTTCTGAGTTATCTGCTCCTGAATATGGGTCATGAGTCACCACAAGTTCAACTTTGTCAACTTTTACTGAGCTTCAAGACATCACGTATGTAACTAATTTGTTGAAATTACAAAAGTGTAACCATTTGTTACACTGTGGCTACAACAATAGGTCATCAAATTATTGGTGACGAAATAGTAAAACTGAAGCAAATATGGAAAAGTCATCCCATTTTTCTGTTCGATGATACCCCTATAAGATGAAACAGGGGCATTTATCAACCACCTTTACCATAATCATTTTACTTTTCACTCAATAGGGAATTCATATCCATCAAATGTAGCATGACATTTAATCATGTCTTTATTCATTTTGATCCCGTGACAAGGAAGTGCTCTTATGAACTAAGAAAGACACAAAAGCATCAATAAAAAGATGATTACCATATTTTTATGACATACCTTAATGGGTTTACCTCTTAGTGATTGCTGGTTTGGTATGCCTGCATTGAGAAATCTTGACACACAAACTTTTATTACAACATCTAAGACTAAGAGTGCGTTCTTTCAATGGTCACGACCCAATAAACAGTGAATACTCTATTGTTTGTTACCGTATGTTACCAATAAGTGATGAGGTCTACATTGATGTAGCAGAATGTTACGGCAACTGGTTCACATTTTAGCAATCAAATTAAAATAGAAACACAAGAGTTTTTGAGACACCCACAACAAAAATAATTCGATGTACAATGTCCCTATTTTCATTTGTGATATGTCATTGTTATGGCATAATCATAGTAGCCGCAATCAGATATTGTATACAAAACGAGTTGATGTCAATGTGTTGATGCATTCTCAAGATCACAAAATACCGCTAAAAAGTAAACTCCAATTGTGTCACTACAATGGATGCATTGAATCCATGCAGTCTAAAGCACTTGGCCTTTAAGTCTATATAAACGTAACATTCTAAGAAAACTAGATATGGATCTCAGCTTATTGTAATACAGTGACAAGATATTCTACTTATCTTATAAACAACAATAAATGTAGTGATGAAGCTTGAAAATGGATTAGAGTAATGTTTTTATTTCCACGGAGTAATAATCCAAATAGATAATAAATACGACAATACATTTGAAATGAAAAGAAACATCAAAGGATATTTATCGAGCATAGGTTAAATGAACTGATATTGGGCTTTGAAAATACCAGGGAAAATTATTTAACATTATAAATCTGAAATGGAAACAGTAATATAAATTATTCACTCATTATTTATTCGTCTATACAATACCTGGTCTGTATTAAGTGTTTTATTCAGTGCTAAACTGAAGTAGGAAATGAAGTGAAGATTTTTCAAAATTTTGGTGAGTTTTCATGTTCGAATCGTAATACCTCAGATACCATCGGGCTAGGCACTATCAGTTTGTGCCTAGCTAACTGCTCTTTGGTCTGTATTTCTTAAATAGGCAAATTTGGTCAAAACAACCAAAGAAAATTACCTGTTGCTAATACCCTTGTATTAATATACCCTGAGTATTATGAGTCTAGTAAAATAGACAAACTCTCTTCTAAATAAGGAAAATCAAACTACATGTATTGGAAAATTATTGAAAAGGGTAGTACATCTGTATATAGTAAACACATATGGAGCAACAAAAAAGTGTTCACTGTAGGTTGGTCTTAACTGCAGAGAGGGCATTGTATACAGGTCTCAAAGAAAAATGTATCATGAAGTAATGTTCATTGAATACAGGTGTTCACTTGAGAGAGGTGTTCACTAAGACAGGTATCACTGTATCTATAATAGTAATGTACCTTAATTTTTTGCTGGACCTTGACTGTGGTGAGACCAGTGTTGAGCTTCTTCATTAGGTTTACGACCTCTCTCTCATCCATACGTCCACTGTCGTCCAATGTAGTTGCTGCAGAGAACATCTCCTGCAGCCATGTACCAAAAGGTTAAGGAAAATGTCATGATTTAAGTAGTGTTACCTACAAGAGGTAAATTCGCTTTTCATAATTCACAGCTGATTTAACTGTTGGAAACAAAAATGTAAATCATTAAAACCAGTAAAAATATTTATTTTTGCCCATATTTTGATTTTTTTAGATAAAGTTTAGTTTCCTCTCCATAACAATGACATGCCAATATATGACCGATATAAACTTTATGAAATCTTGTTAGATTTTTTTATGTTTTCTATGTGCGTGTATATCTATCATCAGAGAAGATGGGATTCAATAATGAAAGAGAAGACCCAATGTTTTACTTGATATCACATTTTCGTGAAGGATTCTTTTATACCATATACTGCATCTTTTCAAGTAACAAAGAACATATCGAAAATTGAACCATGATCAACGACTCATTTATTTTCATCCTACGAAGGAAAGACCAATCAGCATGATGTAAAAATCGACATTACGGCAAATCAGATTGCATGTATTAAGACATACATCTCCATAAGCGGATTAACCTAGCCTGATAATTTGCCTACTAATAGCTCCCTCAATATATAATGATTACCTATTTCTGTGACAAAACATCCAATGATGGACTTTCCCTTGACAAGAAAATCATCTCTTATCAGGAAAAAAAATAGGAGGACATGAATGGTATTTTTCTGCTACCAAATGACTTTGTGTGGGTATACTCGGAAATCTAAAATCTGCCTGAGTGAAAACAAAAAAATCATTAATTTGGTGATATTGTAACATATTTCAGGAATTTTTGAAATTTCAAAAGTGTGTACATGTACTGTAATGTACTGCTAAAACCTTGAGCAGCATCTAGAGTTGTTATATTCTTAGACAATTGTGATTATCTAGTTAACAATGACAAATAGGGTTCCTGATTCAAGGATAACATATGTCAGATATCCAAGATAATGAAACTAAAAGCCTAGAAATAAATCTCTGTTAACTTCATTTGTTTGGGATTGATAATTTTTGTGCACTGCAAAATCCTTCTGAGATATAGTACACTTCGAAGTGATAGTACAGAATTTGGAGCTCAAAAGTTTTTCAAGACATTTCAATTGTTTTAAACGCACATCCTAGTTTTTCGCATGAAAAAATAGACTGAAAAATAGCTGTACTATACTGAGCATATAATGGACTGGAAGAAAATATTGATTTTGTGATTTCTAAAATTCCATCTGATCTATGAGACTAATTACAAACCTTCAACAAGGCATTAACATGTAAAATGTCAATACCTACCATTTGGTACAGATGCACACTTACTGATAAACGCTGACCGTCACAAGATGAATGCTGAATACAGTTCACAAAACATTTGGAGACTATAAACAATATGGGGTTTAGGAACATGAGAGGATGTGTGGCACTGCAGGGCAGTGTTCTCCTCAGGATATTTTCTCAAGTGGGTGCAAATTTCTCATTTTCACAATTCAGACCGAAATTGGTCAAAATATGCCCATTTTCATGATTTTTTCAAGTGGGTGCAAATGGATTTTCAGATGGGTGCTGCACCCACTTGCTTTCATGCTAGGGAGATCACTGATCAAGTTCACCAAACTCATTTTCATCTCCCTGAAATTCAGAGGCTACTTGTATTACAAGATGAAGGTCTCTTTTAAAGAAATATAAAACAAGTAAAGTTACATAATCTTCATCAATTAAGATCAAAATCTCCAATCTTCACATTGATTGATCATATGTGAGACTGCATATCCCAGAATCAACAAACTTCTTATAAAGTAATGATAATGTCAAAGATACACTGTCATCCATAGGTTATGTAACAAACAACAATCAACTAAGGTCTTCTTTCAAAACAAAGACCATTTTGAGGGGATATATAACTAGAGTCTAGGGTTGCTTGTTTTTCTTATAGAAAGCTACATGTAGTGTTAAAGGAAGGACATCCACACTTCTGATTGGATATGATTAATGATACGCATTACATATTGGACAGAAGCAGAAAAACAATCTTGGTGAGATTATGATCGGCACAGCATTAGTGAATTACTAAATTTGATCTATGGGGTATATGAGGCCATCCTAAACAGATACAGAAACAGATACAAGGCCATTAGTAATAAATGTTGTGTAGAAAAACACATGATATATTGACTGTTGACCAAGCCATTCATCCTTGATCCAGGGGTATATCCAGGCCCATAGCCAGGGGGTTTGAGCCCCCCCCCTTGTCTAAAAATTTGTTCAAAATCATGCAGTTGTTCACCATTCTGAGCACTTTTCAAGTGATTTTTGGGCCAAAGTTGTCAAAAGTGAACCCCCCCTCGAATTTTTCAAAAAGTGAACCCCCCTTAACAAATCCTGGCTACGAGCCTGAGGCCTTTTTGATGAAGATGCCTGTCCCTAGTCTGGGATTTCAAAGTAGCCCGTAACCTTTATTCTACAATGTACCCCTGCAACGACGGATCTCCGATGGGACTTTAGAGACTGTTCATTAATTACTCTTAGCCAATCAGACGTGTCATTTACATAATGTCTTTTTATAGTATAAAACTCAAAGACGTGTTACACACTAATCATTGAGTCACTGACGTTTTATGTCTTCATTACTTGCAGCTTATGTGATTTACTTACCTTAGTTTAAATGAGAAAGTATTAGGTTGATGTGAACTCTTACATTTTCCCCTTTGTAACCAATCAATTAGTTGGCTCACTGAGGGTGTTTACTGTGTAGAGAATATCTTCCAAAAAATATACCAAGTTGATAATTTGAAATACATCATGTCCAATTGATGATTTGCGATCACTGAATGGGTTTATCTTGTAGTGACATCACAATTAGGCCACATTGCTGTAGCTGTTTGATTTTGAGAGATTATGACTAGATAAACATTCATTCTAAGCACATGCCAAGTCTAGATCTTACTGACATGATTTAGATAGCAGTTAAGTGCCCCCCCCCCACCCCCCAAATTTTGAACAAATGGGGGACACTTATAGGCATCAATGATTTGTATGAATTTCATCAAAACTTCACACATATAAAGATATACATGTACTCCTGATCTAGTCAAATCGACATACCTAGCAAAAATCAAGAAAAGACCATTTTTTCAGCTCAAAACTGCCACGTGTCCTCCATTTTGTCTCTCCATCATGTCTAATATTATTTTTATATGATGTCATACCAATAAGATGAAATACATGACAACAGTATCCATATACAAAATACTTGAATTCTGATCGCAAAAGGTCAACTGCCAACTGGATATAACGATCTTACAGCCCATCTAGGGACAGGGCTCCTAACTTTCAACAGGTTGAAAACATGATTGAGATAATTTACCAGTCCATTGCCCAATAGGCAACCCGATTTCCAAGTTAATTCTCGAGCATAAAGTGACTTTAATTCAGGACCATGTGTCTACTTAAGTTACATGTAAACTAGGATAGAAAACCAGGTAAATTATTAGTGGTGTAAGTAGTAAAGGATTAAAGCATAAAAAATGCAAGATTGAACTTAATAAAAAAGAGAGAAAATTACATGCTTTGGCTACATGACCATACAAAAAATGTCTCAAAATATTGATTGGTTTATCTGTGCTGTTGAAATACTTATGGGGTCATTAGTTTGAGACACCCTGTATATTATATGAGAGACCTATTTTAAAGTTTTTTTTAAAAAGGATATCTATCTCGCATCTGTTGTCTTTCTTCCAGAGTTCCAACAACTGAAAAAAAACATACAAATTAGATTTTACAGACATTTTATTGAATTGTTGTTATTTCCATATACATGTATATCATTTTCATTTAAATCATCACTAAAAACTACCTATTTTGCCTAGATTTGAATATTCCACTGCATGTATTTTACTTTTAGGTCTTTTTACCATTTCTTCTCCTGTCAAATGACATGAAATTCAAAAATTAATAAATAGTTTCGTATTAGTTATAAAATAAGATAGCATCACTTCTTTAATTTTTACTGACATGTAATTGCAATAAAATTGATGAATATTTGGTGATCTAACTGCATGATAAAAAGTTGGAATTTGACATCCTTCATGACTTTTGAGATTTTATTAAATAAATTGGTAAATTACAGCCCTGGAAAGAAAATTAAAATTTGAAAATGGGATTGTACTTGAAGCTTTCTGATGTGTTTTGAAATCTGAAAATCTGACTAATATGGACTAATAAAATGTAAAATATTGGTATTTGTATACATTTTTAAAGTGTGGGGCATTTAAATACATAAATCAACTAATAAATTTTGAGAGTATGCCATGGCGTAGCAGCAGTATTTCCTTTAAATAAGATTGCTAAACTAGACTTTTAGATCATGTAATCTTGTACTGTCTGTTATTGTGCGAAACTTCTCTTCTGTTCAGAAATAACAGAACATGGTCAAATAATATGGAGCCCTAGATATGACTTCTTATTAAGTGCAGAGAGGGCAAGAACTAATTGTCTGGGGAAACGGAATTTCTGAAGGTCCGAAGGGCTACATATTTCAGATTTGCCAGGAATTCACCTGTCCTTTCTTTAATTAAGAGTTAGCTCAAGAGTATTTATGTCTGGTTGGAAAACTGTAAATTACCTCTACAGGCTGTGATGGCCTCAACAGAATGCGGAAAAGAAAGAGGCCAATAAATTATTTACCCAGGCAGTCTTAATATGTGAATGTCTGGAAGAGTGATTATGTAAATGAATAGAATTTGAGCTTAATAGATTACGAAATATTTAAGATAAATATCTGATGTTTATTTCTTGTCAAATATGAGGTGCAATAATTGTTTTTTCTTGTTTCTCACCTTGTGTCAAGTCTCTGGTTCGTTAAGGGCTTGAAGCAGTTCTATTTTATTTCAGAATATTGGACAGTTGGATTTCAAAACTATGATATATCTGATAAATGATCTTAATGAATTTTAGAGTTCAATTTGGAAACAAATACATTACACATTGACTAGTGACCAATTAATTTACAGTTAACATTCATAAAATCAATGCTGAGCTAAAGCAATACTTATTTTTAATGTATATATTAAATCATAGTTCAGGACCAACCATCAAAGAAAATCATGACTTTCTATGAGCCCCGTTATACATTATCTGCAAGGCAGACTAGGTCTGAAATTAGGATGGTAACAACCGGCTGTGATTGATTGGCTGAGTTCAGGGGTTTATGGGTAATTGTAGAGTGTGAGATGATGTCAATCAGATCAGTCTTACAAAGAGCTATGGCTCAGTGGCAGAGAGAGTCAAGGTTACCAATATCGCTTGGCCCCGGGTTCGATTCCTGGTTCAGACAAGTTTGTTTGTGCATTATGTAATTCTGGGTGTTTGACTGAGTGGTTCACGACTCGTATAAAAGGCTGTGGTGTGTACCTGTATGTCTGTGTACCTGTGCACATAAAAGAAAACAGGGCTTCTCCAAGGAGGGGTTTCTGGCTCTATCTTCGAGTGTAAAATACGTAAAATACGGAATATACCAATGAGGAATTGCTCGCCAAATATGGCGGTAACCAAGATATAATAATATAATAATAATAATAATTAGGGATGCTCTCCAAATATCAATAGTTGCAAAACAATAAAATGTATTTAGTAAGGGGAGGGAGTACATGCCAATTAATGTGTAAAGTATCAGTTTTCAGAATTTGAGAAAATTATCTCTTTTCATTCATTGGCTAGATATCGGATCTGTCTATAGCTTTTTTTGCACAAATATTTAGTTTCTTAAAACCAATGTATTCACAAATAAAACCTTATCACATATGAAATATTTATGAACATTTCGTAACATTTCATCATTTTAATTGAATAAACAGTGGCTGGCAAATCAACATTTAAACATTTTTGTATACCATATTTCTCGCGATTTTGGGAAACAATGGCCGCCATACAGTTGGCGTGGATCAATGTGACTGAGGCATTAGAAACCATTAGGACATCACCCCTTACAGATTTATAGCTCAGGTTTGCAAACAATTCACATTTATTAAATTTCCCAACCTGAAACTTATTTGATCTCTTGCTCAATCTAACAGAAAGTGTTACTAGTTGTATATAATTTAATGATGTATAAATTGCTTCATTTCATTCACAATAATTCTTATTTGATATTATAGCACTTTTTACATTAGATTTAACAGGGAAATTATGTTACTCACGAGCTCAGGTTCGTAGAAATTTCTCATTAATTCAAATTACATCTCAATTGCGTATTTTCACGACATACACAATTAGAATGATAGATCCACGTGTGTTACTAATAATGGATACACTCCTCAATTATTTTGCAATCTTAGATTTCCTGAGTCAAGAACACCTATACTAAATCTGATCTAGAATCTCGAATTACATTAATAGTCTACATATAAGACAAAATCATATCGGAAGTTAAATATGTAACTCATTTAATTTCCTTTTAGGTTTGAAATTTCAACAAGATTCACACCACTTATATGAAGGATCATGTCTAGCTTAAGGGAAATGGGTATGTTTTGTAGATATGTTACTGTTTTCAAACTGTTAAGCATAATCAAAATAATATTTCAATAAGGTTGCTAACTGGAGATTACGTAGATGATGGTTGATGACATCAGTCATTGTAAAACAACCTATAGAAATGAATGAAAATGAGCTTACTGTTTCCATTCTTGCCTGTAATGAGACACATAATCCCAGTCACCCATATGTTTGCCTCATCTGGTGTGTTGGCTATCAAATCCAATGACTCAAAGTTGTCCCCGAATATAATAGAGAATGCACACTCATCGGGGTATATTCCTGCAATGTCCTTATTCCGTAAAATGTCTGTTGTCTTTCCACTGCGTACTTCTTTGATTTGTTCAACCAGTACTGAAAATGAGAGGAATATTCAATTAATAGAATTCAATTTTTGTACAAACTGGTTAGCAAATAAGATATTGTACAAAGAGAAAGTGTTAAACAGTCAAAGAGAAAGTGTTAAACAGTCAAGGAGAAAGTGTTAAATAGTTGATGGATCAAGGAGCAAAGAGGACATGGGTTATAACGCAAGGCATCAAAGCCAAATCCAAAATCAAAAAAATTTATCTCATGATTTTTGGATTTAGAATTATTTTTCAAATTCTTTCAATTCTTTTTATTAAGTACACTATACAGTATTTTTAAAATCTATGGTTTTGTTTCAAAAGTTTATTTACAAGAAGCATATACAAATGATGTGGTACACAAACATATATGTGCAAGATGTTTTGGATTGTGATGAACAGATTGTTAGTGAGGAAAACCTATGACATGTTGACAATCAAGAATACATAAATACACTTGCTTTATAAGGAAACTTTAATCAGAAAATAGGAAAATATCCATGATATAATTTCAAACTCTACACATACAAATAAGCATTAAATACTGTATATAAAATCATATTGAGCCTTAAGCGTTATTTACAGTTGTTATAAAGAGAGGTTTGTCTTGTTATAGAATGCTATATGGTTGGTTCATAAAACAGATATGACATTGTACCAAGATACTATTACGATTAGATAGACTAATAAATTAAAATTATTATAAAACATAAGAGATGTGTCAACCTTTAATAAATAACAATGTCTACAAAGATTATTAATACGAGAGGTTTGACCTAGGAGGACAGAATAAGATACAGAGTTGGGTGAAAATATATAATGTTGATAAGATAAAATATTATATGAAGATATAAGATAAGAAGGGTGAGAGACTTTTAAGTTTTCGATTAAAAACAATATTTTCAAAATGCAAAAATGTTTCTCTCAAAATTCTAATTTTATTTTCTGAAAAAAGAATGACTGACAATTGAAGAAAAAAGTCAACATTTAGTAGAATTGAGAAGAGAGCCACCCTCAAAAATCCGAGAATTATCCTGAAATAAAGTCAAAACTATTGCACTTATTAGAAAATATGCATTACATAGAATGATGAGAGCAAGAAATATTCTGTAAAATCAAAGCAATTTTTCGAAATTTAATTTCAACTCATATCTACTCTTCTACTCTCTTTATAACTTAATTCAAACATTAAATACCAGTACCTTTGTTTACAATAGACAGCATTTCAATAATAATGATTATTCATATAAGATGCAGAACAAAAACGCTGTTTTAGCATTTAGAGCCAATTGTATGCCAGAAAATCCATTTCATATTTTACAAGAAGTAAAGAAAACCTCATCTCATTAAAAACATATCACCTTATAAAAATATTGTTTATCTAATATAATGCTTAGAGCAATTTTATTTTAGCCGACTAAGGAATATCAAATGCTTCACTCATTTGAAATCCTTTTCTAATGAACGATAATCTCTTAGCTATTAAAGTGATATAAAAGTATCGTTTTATTTTCCCTGGGTCGATGTGACCTTGGAACTATTTGATCTCACTCAAGCAAACGATATTTTATTTTCAAGTTAATACGCCTCATCACACCCTTCAGTGGACTTAACTGTTGAAACAGCGATAAAACTCACTTCTTGCTCGCTAGATAAGCGTATCATTCCACCATGAAAGTAAAACTGCAAGATATTGCAAATATTGCAAAACAAATCAGTAGAAAACCTATAAGGCATAATGTAGATAATGGGGTAGCACTTCTTACATTCTCCAATAATGTGGATGGTTAGAATGTTTAATAAGACAATGTACGTCTCAAATTATCCACACTAGCGATTACTGAAGTCCGATGTTTCTAGGGATGGTGAGGCTCCATAGCCTGTTCAATGCTGGCATTTGCTTTAAAAATCACTTATGTTTAACAATCTAATTAATTGAAATTGCCTTTTTCATACCGCCTCCTATAGACATAATGATCCCATTGATATGTAATTTGTAACTTAATTCGAGACTTTTTGGCTAAAATCTAAAAGATATTAGCTCTGAGGAGTAAATCAAATATGAAAAGAAAAGAAATTAAGCATATAGCTAGTCTCCAGCAAAACCCCTTGAAATGATGATTTAAGACCAACCACTGAACGCCAAATGCCGAACACCATCCATAAAAAGTTGGAGACTATAACAATCACCACTTGTGGTGGTGACATGATAAATGAAGTTTATTCCATTTGGAATAATGTTTTTAATGAATCTGAATGCCATATATTTATCATGCAATTGTTTGTCCATTTATCTTTTTTTTTACAATATCACTAAATATTGAACCAAACTGGAAACTTTTTTGAAAAGGTTTTGCAGTCAACATTTTGGTCTGAATATGGGCACACACGTGCCTAATCATTTTAATATTACTTATAAGTAAAGTAAAAAGTAATGACCAACTTCATTTAACCTAAGATAACCTATTCAAATGTTGTAAAATATAGAACGTTATTATAAACTGTGTTCTGATTGGCAGAAATATGATATACCATGCCTTGCTATATGTGACTTACTTAGCTTCTATTCGCGAATGCAACTAACGCCTGTCGGTTACCGGATCAAGCTCCTATTTCATAGGCAACTCATTTAAATATGAATGGAATAGTGGCAGGTACTATTCATATCTAAATGAGTTGGTCATAAAATAGTAAGTTAATTCGATAGCCGCTAGCCGTTAGATTCATTAGCGAATACATGCTTACTTATCAAAAGAGAAAACAATTGATAAATGCCTCTTAAACTTACTTTTTGCTTTATGTGGCTTTTTAGAAGATGGCTGCCATCGAATCTCTATAAGAGCAGTATCTATGGTGAATAGTCTGTGATACTGTCGACTGTTGGATCGCACTTTGATCAGTTCACTGCCATTTTGCATATAGTTTAGGCAATCAGGGGCTGCAAAACACAATATTCATATTTAATTTGGTTTTACTGGGAAAATACAGCAAGGTATAAGATTAAATAATGCTGTAACATGTAATCCACCTGCTGTGGCTTATTGGGAAAGTCAAGGTTACCACTGTCGCGTGGCCCGGGTTCGATTCCCAGTTCAGATATTTTTATTTGTGCATTACATGTGTTTGTACGCTATTATTGCGGGTGTTTGGGTGGTTCATAACGTGTATTAAAAAGGCTGTGGTGTGAACTTGTATGTCTGTGTATCAGTATACATTAAAGAACACAGGGCTCTTCCAAAGAGGGGTTTTTGGCTCTGTCTTCGAGTGTAAACACATAAAATATGGAATATACAAATAAGGTATCGCTCGTAAAAAATACAATACAACATAACAAAATGTCACCATCTGGTTTAGTTAAGCGTAACAATTTTTGAGTTACTTCTAATATTTTCAGACTCCCACTAAATTCATTTTCTATATGTCAAATACAGCGAGACAAAGCCAACAATACAACATGTTAACTTCCATGGTCAAGGTTAACCGATCTATAGAAACGTTAACCCTATCGATTATAGTCTATTGTATTTTTCCAAGAAATGCAATGGCCCGAGGAATGACTCAACTTTAGACTTAAACAAGCCAATAGGATAAATATGTTAGTGCAAAGGCCAAAAAAGATATTTGGTTCAATACCTACAGTACAAGTTAGTTCCAAAACATTTATAGCCCTTCTTAGCAGTCTTGGTGATAAGAACACATTAACCAGTAACATCACCACCAATAATGTACGAGGGCTGATCCAAAAGTTCTGCATCATTTGCTCAAAAAATCTTAATATTTTATGAATACTTTTCATATTACGCCTCAACACCCCCATATATAGTTGTTTCATTTTGGGTAAAATAAGCAGAGATGTCAGGATTTTACCACATCTTTCAAAAATGTGTAGCTTAACCTCCCTAATATGACAATATAAAATACAGTAAAACCTGTCTTAAAGTGAATCAGGTTTGGTTACCTCTAGAAGGTGTTCAACTTGGGAGGTGTTCCACCTATAGAGGTTCATTTAACATTAAGTCAGTTGGTCTTGTGACTCTAAAATATGTTCTACTAACGGAGGTGTTCTACTTTACAGGTTCTGCTGCACTATATTATATCATATTGTATCATATAATATCATCTTTATTTCATTATCCAAATTGAAGAGAATTTTCCCTCAATGAAATCAGTTGCTCTGTTGGAGCAGATTGCTTTCCTTGACATTATAAAATAAAGACATCCAGAAAATAGTTGACAACATTTTAAATAACACAAAACAGAGGAAAAGCATCCAATTACAGACACCAGAAACAGAAAATCCTGTTACACTTGCAAGATAAGTTGAAGTTAACAAATCTATAAACTGTTATCTCGAATGATGCACGGGTGATTCAGTAATAATACCAGGGGTAGCTGAAGAAAATGAAGTCCTGACATATACAAATGGAATCTGCGCCAATGTATTCATTTCAATTATAGAAATTCATAGATTTTCTTGTAAAGGATGGTTAGAGATGTCAGGACTTTACCACAACTAGGATATGAAACCTATTAGGTAAATTAGATCAGGTATAGTCTTGCGTAAAGTCTCTGGAGCCCCGTCCATCAACTTGTCCATAAACTCTAGGAAGTAAGATGTTTTGGGAAGAGGGTCGTTTGGGTTTCAAAGGATCCTCCTATCACAGGGCTTCAAAATCCAGAATATATTCTTTCTTTTTACCCCCTGCAATAAATTGTTAGCATTTTCCCGATTAAGAACTCGCAATCTGATTGGCTGTCGCAACACTGCGACAGAAATCATGTATAAGTCATGGTGCATAATTAGATCACGTGATTTAGTTAAATCGGGCGCTTCCAAATTGGTTATAGCAGGGGAAAGAAGGAGGTACGGATTCTGGATTCCTGCTTAGGAGGATGGTTTTAAGGAAGATTAATCAAAATGTTGATTATGTTAATGATACAAGATGAAAATGAGCAAACCAAAAATGTAGCTATGTTGATGAAACTAGTCCTAGCATTTAAATAAACAAAGCTAATGCTAAATGTCGTTATCTGCTATTTGTTATACACACTAAATGCCAAACACCAACCACTGACTGCCAACCCAAACACCATCCACAAAAAGTTAGAAACTATAATAAAAATATATCACCACTTGTATGTAGCATTTCAATTTGTGAGCTCCTAGATATACAATTCAAAATTTGATTTATTACATTCTGATATTCGTGACTGCCATCAATCACAAGATTTGAGAAGTGCGAGGAAGGAGATGACATGCTTATCCTTCTCTTCTTTATTAAAGCAGATAATAAGAATGGGTGGGAGTGACTTACCAGAATGAATAATTGGCCTTGTCTCCATTGTCATTTAGTATGTCATTGTCCACTCAATTCTCAAGTCATCAGTATTCACAATTTGGGTATTGATTTACAATCATTATTCACAAGTACGGAGAGAATATAATCTCATTCCTATGGTGAATTCTGGCTAGGATATACCACTGAATAGATCGAGTTAAGATAGAAATGCCTGTTGGAGAATGATCAAAGTGAATAAGTAGAGAGCTCAAGTCCCATAAAGCATGAACAAACCTACTTATTCAGCTTCTTTATTTTGAATTATTTTAGATGACAGTATGTGCTAAAAAAGATTCTGGCTTTATGACCAAATCCATCCTCTCCAATTATATATTTAATCAATTTCTGGCTTTGGCACATTCACATCTCTAGGATCAAAACAAGATTCACAGTGATAAATATCACACTTTTTATTGAAAAAAATACCCAGTATGCCCAAAGTCTCAGAACAAGTTTGCTCTTGCATCTGTAAAAATTTCAAATTGAATAATTTTCCTGAAATTTTGACGGCAAGATTTATGCCTACTCAATGAACAAGACACCTATCAGCAAGAGACAACGACAATATAGCCCTTGAAAAAGTGCACTAAAAACACTGCCAGAAAAGAATCAAGAAGGTGCTCAGATACCCCCACAACATCTCGATCCATGGCATATAAGAATCCACCATGGCATATAAGAATACAATGGTATGATCATATGACAAGCTCCACAGGAATATTTTTCAGGAATACGCATATGAACTTAAATAAGAAGTCACATTATACTGGGTGTTTTTCAAGATAGTTATGATATTTTCTGGAAAAAATCTGAATATGATTTTTTCATTATGAAAGTGAAATGAACTCTTATATTCTGGCATTTCTTTACAATTTAGAATGTCCCCAACATGTCTGTGTACTTGATTCCTTGTATATTCCATCATTTCCTGCTCTATTTTGTGCTTCTAAACATGATGATCATGACATTCCACATTCTGTGTAAAGGTATATAAAATTCTAAAGAACTTGATACAGGAATGATCTCCTGGGATCAATGATGAATATAAAAAAATGATTGACTGGCAAATAGCAGAACATTCAAACTCTGATGTGTGATAAGAAAGAACTCTTTAATTATCAGCAAATAATCTGAGCAATAACATCAGGAACATAATACCTTTTCCCATAGCTTCCTTTTTGTTTGGCTTTATCTACTTTGAGTTAGGGATAGTCCTTCTATACCGTTACCGTATAACGTTACTGTAAGGACCCCCAAGATGCCTCCGGGAATGGGCAAATGTTGAGCATAGTGTAACAAGCCAGATACAAGCATGAAAGAAACTGTGATAAATTTAGCCCCCTATGAGAATCAAAACTAGGACTCTAAGATCCAAAGTCTGATGCTCTACCAACTGAGTTAAAAGGGCTCAAGTAGCAACTTGTTTTCCAGGGGTCTCTTTTTGGTATAATATTTTACCATTAAATGCACTGTTAGATGAACAATGACTTGTGACCAAATCATAAATTGCAGCAGATCCAGTAACAGAATGGGTCACCAAATCCAGCTATCTAATCAAAATTGCAGTCATAGCATTTTATGCACCTTTAACACTGTGTTATAGCATGACGGTTACCACACCTCTGAAAACGAAATTAGAATTGCCTAACGACCTCGGGGTATATAGATGTAGCCTACATACGATCATAAAAAGCCAATTGAGCATTGGAAACCACCTAATATGTTCTACTTAAGCCATAATATTGTATTCAAAAAATTGATTGACGGTTACGCGAACCTCGTTCAAATATGTATCCCAGATCCATAGTGTTATTAATTTTGTCATATTCATCAGTACTTGATGCCAATTCTTCTTTTGCCTCTTCATTGCTATCTTTTTGACTGAAATTGGTTTCATCTCGATCCATAAAAATAAATAATAAAATAAATAAATAAAGCAAGACACAATTTTTTTCCTTGCCCGAAAGAGGCTCAAACAAGAGCGTCTCTTGCGAGTCCTGAAAACAAATATAAGCAATTCAATATTCCATTTCTTACCCATTATAACAATTACATAGAAAGAGGCTATCAGAACTAGCAACCTTAATTTGAAAGATGTACATGCACGTAACCATCCGCTAAATATCTAATGTACATCTAATACAATACGTTACCGACTATAGAATTCATACATAGTCGTCTAACGACATTACGTATGAAACCTTATTATTTACAATATGACCACGTTCCTGTTCTGGATTTGTCATTTTATGGATTGTTTATACACAGTTTACTTACTGTTAATAGTTTGAGTGGCTCTGAGGCACATATACTGAGAAATCACTAAAAAATATGAACTTGAACATCTCAGTCGGTAAGTTTGCAGCTTATATTCCGCTTCTAGTAAACCACCTGGCAGCATTCTGATACTCATACCATCTCTGCTATGCACAAGAAGGAAACTGAGAGAAGGCTGTGATATCTCACGATGCCTGGCAGATTTGACCCAGTCTTTATAACCATCCATATATATGTCACCGAATGGAACTAGTTGAAAAGGAAATCTTATCTTTGAATCTTGCCTACAGGCGAGAAAGAGGACATGCTGTCTCTCCCATCC